TTAATAGATGTGTACATATGTAAGTATTGAAGAATGACCCCTTACCGCTAGACACATACGTGCCTCTTGGATACATATTGTACCCACCTAGCCGATTGCGAGTGCGATCTGATCTATCTGGGTATGAACGAGTTAGCAGTATGATGCCGGTCAGTAGGCAAGTGTCATAGAGAGGTGGGTAGGCTAGTTATTCATGTATGTATGTACCTACACAGCGGCACCGATCTAAATATCCCCCGCTTGGAACTGGACCGAGGTTCTCGTGGTTTGGTCTCACGGGGCCGCACATGTTATGTCATCGAGTTACGCACATGCCTAGTACACACGGAAGACCGGCTCGTCGAGTTATACAATCCGACTGGAGGAGAAAGTCCGGGGGCTCGCGTGGCAGGTGAGCAAATTCAGCCAGGCGAGGAAAAGCATAAGGAGGCAGAGGGCTGCAAAGGCCCGAGTCTTTCGATTCCCGATAACTAGGTAGAACACGTGTGGGAGCTGACGGACTTACCTAGGTGTCTTAGGTACCTAATAGGTACCTACGTAGTCACCTACGCCACTTGCTTACATACGGGTCCGATGTACCTAACCGACATCCGAGAGCGGTGACGAAGTCTTGAACTACATTGTACGTATGTAGGTATGCTAAGTAGATATGTAGGCTCTTTGATTTATTTGTTCCTGCATTCTTGTATCTTGATGAGCTTCGTGTCATGTAGATGGCGGTGACGAAGAGAGACAAATGAGTTTCGGGTGGGGGGGTTAAAAAGGAAACACTGCGGGCTACGACAATTAATATCGACAGGGCTGATTGGAATACTCAACGTTCGGGTGTAACGTCTTTTAGGTAGCCATTTTCCCATATGTACATACCTACCTAGTACATATGCCTCTCTAATGAAATGGGGAAAGAGTGCGTGTGCGTGTGTGTGAGTCAGGCGACTCTTGACAAGTCACTAGGCGACTCAACAATCTCGTATAAGAAGCGACAGAAAACAAGATGGTCATTGAGAAAGAGAGAGAGACAGAGACAGAGAGAGACAAGGAAAATAGAGGCCGAATTACTTTAGGGATCTACAACTACCCCTGTATGAGTAGGAGACAAGTAAAGGAAGAAAAGAAAAGAAAAGGGGGAGAGGGAATAGGAATAGGCATTCGGATTCGAATTTCGGATATTAGATCAGCTCCGCGTTGACATGAAGAGTTGTAGCGGTATATGTAGAGGTATGTGCAGCGGTATGTGTGTATGTAGTGGTAGGGTAGTAGTGGTAACACCACCGAACTTGAATATTTCAAGTTGAGGTTTACTGTTCCAAGGATAATACATACATACATACAGTACCCAGTACCTGGTAAGCTTGTGTAACCTCACACACAGCGCCTACCATCATTAACAATACACACGCCGTCACACGGTAGGCATCATCATAACTACATGTATTAGCCTTTAGGTACTAGGTATTGATGTATCCATTGTATTGTACAATACCATGTAGCACGCAGCTGGTGCAACCATCTCAGCGCTAAATATGTAAATAATAAAAGAAATCCCACCCGCCAATCCTTCCAAGACAGTAAATTAACAAATTGGATCAAGTTGATTACCTACCTACCTAACCAACCTATCAACCACTTTGTCTGGCCTTTTGCAAATTCGCCTCTGCTGCAACCGAAGCAATGCAATTACGAAAGCTGCCTACTTGCCCGGGAAGTACCTAGGTTAGCCATGTCATAACCCAATCCTTCTTTTCTTTCCTCTCGGGACCGGGGGCTGACAAGTTAACTCGGGTTACACACACCCACGTAGTAAATATTCATACCTACTACATACCTACTAGGTTAGGCTACTACATACCTACATACTATTCTGTAGATAGGTATGAGGTCCTACACAGTAGTAATAGTAGTAGTATGTCGCAGTAGTATTTGAAACATTCCAAGGCCAAGGCATTGGTTGATTTAAGGTTGTGGCTTGTTACGGGGTCTTCCTAGATACTATGTACATGCACCGAAAGTCCTATGCAGATATAGGAGTGGCCAGCATACGAATCTGTTGCAAATAGAATCAGGTAACCGTGTTTTTGATAGAGATGGTACTATAGGTAGTCATCCCAAGACCTACCGTCTACCCAACCAGGCACCTAAGTAAGTAGTTATAATTTCAAGAACTTGGATAGCTATGTATTGCCACTTCTATATCGTGTCCATACCTCCCTACCTATTTCTGTTCCTACAGGGTAAAAGAAACGAAACGAAAAAAAAAAAAAAAAAAGGGAGGGGGGGAAGGCTATCTTAGCTTACACTTGATTATGAAGCCCGTGAAATTTAGCGTGCTGATCTTCGTAAGCCTGCTGCTCTCCAATCAGAAGTTGTCTCTCATTCTAAGTAGCCCTTAGTCGTCTACCTAAGTGACTACTACCTATCACATGAATAGGTATCATCAAATCGGTAACAAGAGCTATCGTGTTCGAGTCCTTTGTTTCAGTCCATGTGCCAGTTCATAGCTAATTGGAGGAGATACTAGATGGTGTATGGCATTGCATCTTCGCAGATACCCACCTACCTACTGTAGCCCCTGAACTAGCATAGAGCCAATGGATGGAAAGGACAGAGGTATGGGTAGGCTACTAGGAAGGAAGCACATGTCTGCTTGAAAGGTGCATGTGGTGTAGTCTATGGTAAGATCAGCGAATCGTATAATCATCTAGTGCAAGGTTTGGCGGCTAATTGGTCTTGTACGACGGCACACAGCTTCGTTTTAAAATCTTCATCCCAATGGCCCTACACATACTCATGTGGTCTCGCCACCCGTACGCGGCAGGTAATGTGTAGTCCTAGACTGCCTGTATCACGAGGCGGAGCCTCGAAGACGCAGAATAACATCGTTGTCGCGCGGGGATCTCTATCACCTCCCCGGAGGCTATGGAGGCTGCATATACATGTAACCGTCCTTGTTCTATTTAGCTCCCCATGTACACCCCACGTACCTAGGTAAGTCCTTGACAAGCTGATTAAATTCCACGTTCCATTATCATTGTCTTTATATTTGACCAAGTCGTATTATATATTTCGTCATAGGCTAGTGGTGGCATGACACCTAGGTAGCTGATTTTGAATTCCATGGGAACAATCATTCGGAGTGGTCGGTATACGCATGTGTGGCACGCAACGCTAAGGCTCGTTTTCCGCTCTTGCCCGAGAACTTTCTACCGAGATGCTAGAACCAATTCTTGTAGGCAGCATATCCTAGACTGAACTGTTCGTAGGTACCTACTAGATCAATAGAATAATCCAAGAGGATTTAAACTACGGAGTTGTGGAGCGGAGATACTCACATATGTCGACGATGGTGAACCAGCCTCCTTGGGCGATGTTGCCAGGCTGAAAGTAGGTCTTTGCCAGGTTCCTTTCTTTGTAGGGCTCATTCATAAAGCGGCCTTTCTACCAATACTAAACCCTCATATCGTTCGCCTTACCGTTGGAGGAGGCCGTCACTGAGAAAGTCTAGATAGTGCCACATGCGGTGGCAGCAGCAGCAGCAACAGGCAGTGTAACCGGACACGACGGGCGGTGGTGGGTTAAAAAAACGTAAAAATTGCGTAGGGAACACGACGAATTGTTTCTGCAGTGGGCAGCCCTAAGGTCTCAGGAGATCTACAGATCTCGTTTCCTGGTTGCGTCTAGCTGATAGCTTTGACAGTTAAACTGTCTACAAAACCAGATTGCCAAGACGTCTGATGGTTGAAACAAACGCCACATCAAAGTTGTGCGTAGGTACTGACTGGGACTAGACTGTTTCTAACTGTTTCGTGATATTTTTGGAACCACGGTCCCGAAGACTCTTCTTTGTTCTAGATCCTGTTCATGATTATATTTTGAAAACAGTTCGTGTTAATTCGATGTCAACCCAAATATAGACGAATTGAACATATGATCTGTGTCCCTGGGAATCTATGCAGAGCAATTCCGTATAATAGGTACTTATCTTGGCATATCAGCATATACCCCATGGTAACACCAGATGTCAAAATTGACTTGGGTAATGGTATTATTCATGCATCTTATGCCGTCCATTTCGGCTCCTGATAAAACCTTCGCCTTGGGTTGTCGAATCAAGCCTCAAGCTCCACCAGATCCCTCGCTTCTTCGGATCCGGAGTGCGCATGTATAGGGCATGTATATAGTACCTGCCTACCTTTTTGGTGGTGGCAGTACCTTGGTTCTACATAGTATTCCTCCACTGTTAGCACAGCCCTACAGGGCGTCGAAGTGTGGATTGTCGCCCCCAAGTCAGCGTTATGCCATGTAGGTAGCTGACCTGCCGGACCTTTCAGCGAGGAAGTCATCCACGATCATACTCTACCTACACAAAAGGGTAAGTAGATACCTAGGGTAATAATTCAAAAAAGAAACGAATTATATTTCGCAGTCCAACCTTGTACTACCCATTGTCAGCATGCATATTGACGACATTGGCTCCTCCACTAGGTAGATTCAGTTTCATTTTGTCCAGTACATTTGCCAGGCTGGTTAATACCTACGACTTTTGGTATCGAAGTACACTCTAGCTGATGTTTCGAATTCAAGACCTTCTTAGCGTCGTCGCTGTACTTATCCCCCGTGATGGCCATGGCTCATGCTCTGGGATTATGAACCTGGATGCCTGGGCTATTTGTAGGTAGATATCGGGTCGAACCTATGCTGTACAGATTACTCTGCACAGCTACTTGTCTCCAGCTGCACTCCCCTATGTCTGCAGAATCTCGGCCCACCACGTCGATCTTGCATTTGTTTATATGCCACTGGTTCCCGCTCTGCATCCGTATTCTAGATTCATCGCTAAGAAACTATGAAGATTCGAAGATAGACCACACACTTTCTGAGGGTCACATCCATCTATTAGTCAGTCATACCAAGTACATTTTATTCGCTAGTCTCGGAGACGCTTGATGCAACCTCGGAGTGTCTGGTCCACTGACACATTTTGCAGATTTTCCGTATTGAGAATGGTCGGCGTCCCTGGGAAATACAAGGGCTGCAACACCTGTCGAGCTAGACGAGTCGCGTGCGATAACGCGAGGCCATTTTGCAAAAAATGTACAGATTATGGCCGTGAATGTGGTGGATATGAAAGGGAGGTCAGTAGTTGGAATCCTTGTTTGCTCATCCGCGCCGGCTCAAGGAGTTGTTTTACTCCTGGAAAGCACGGCACCGGAGTCGGCTACTCATTCGCCTGTGCAACTTCAGTGGGCTCTAAAATCGCAGACGTGAATAGTGACTGATAGTGGAATGTGAATTAGACCGTTTTCATCGTCGGTACCCCGGACGATAAAGGGAGATGCTCTTCTCACCCGCCACGAAACCAGCAGGGTAGCAAGAAAGCCAAAGGCAATGAAGCTCGAGCAACGGCCAAGTTAGAATTTGTCACCACGGAGCCATGGCAACCTGCGTGGGCTGATGTGGCGCCTTTGTCCTCTGCGGCTGGATCATATCCGTTTCGATTCGTTGCCCTCCAAACAAATTTCAACTCCACATTTCAAACAAGTAGAGCATCGTCACCCGGAAATGGCGTGACGCTGTCTCTGGATACTCTACCTCCTCCTAATACAACCCCGTCCTTTGGTGGCGAGGCATTCGGATTAAAAGCTCATTCCCTCATCCATTTGCCGCAGAGAAATCCGGATAAACAGACGGCCAGTAATCATGCAGAAGGGATCTGCATGTTTTTATACGAGGTCAGTTCATCAAATCTTAATCCCAACACATTTTGTAGCTGACTTGGTGCTCTAGCAAAACTGTTCTGCCGCCTATACCGACGAAGAACTCTGGAAAGACTCTTCTGCCTTATCTGACACAATTCGTGCACCAGGTCCCGCAGCGTACCAATCCTTTCCAGATCATCACTTCTTTGCTCGGGTTTACCGACCTAATGCTGTAAGTACTTATGCAGTCCATAAGCATTATCTTAATATCTAACCCCGAAGGCAGATATGGGCGGCTTTACTCAACCGTCAGCCAACGTTCCTATGCTCGCCTGAATGGACGATTATCCCATGGGAACGTCACCCTAGGACACCGCTTGATGACCTCCTCGATATTGTAGTCCTTTTACCGTCGATATACTCTCGGGCAGATCGTATAACATCACTAGAGCCAAGCTCGGCCCGCCGATTGAAAGCGAAGGATCTTCTGAGTAATTGCGTCAACATCGAGAGGCAATTCGACATCTGGTACTGCATGCTCCGGCAAAGATTAGACGAGTCGGGGTCACCGCTCTACTGGGCAGCGGACGTAGTACCTAGCGGTACACAGGCGCCTTTCTCTGGCACCTTCACCTTTCCTTCGCCGCTGCTGGGATTGGTACACGTTTATTACTGGACCGTTCTCGTTGGGTTTCACCAATGCGTGTACTCGCTTTTAAACATTATTTTCGAATGCGTGGGGGACTTTTCTTCGGGTACGGACATTCTACCAGAGATACCACCGGCTATCAACCTTGAGAAATACCAACCAGCCCAAACGAGAATGCTTGTTGCAAACATATGCCGAAGCTTGGATTTTTCACTCCAAACTACGGCACAACCGAATCTCTTGGCAGCTCCACTTTGGGTCGTAGCCGAATTTTATCATGGGATCGGACAGTTTGGTGATGGTGATCTAGAGCGACAGTGGTGTGCTGTATTCCAGGGAATGTTACAAGCAAAAATTGGAGAAATGAGTTCTTGTTTGCAAGAGAAGAAGTGGATTGAGGTTAAGCAACACGGATGATTATTACCTACCCTAGGTAGGTAGGTATATATCTAGGCGGATATATGTAAGTGTTTGATTTCCAAGTGGAAGACATTCAAACCAAGATTGAATGCATTTATAAAGGATAGATGGAGGCTATGTATGTACTGTACTGGAGTTGGTTTGGAATTGTGAGAGGAGTTGGTAAAAGCATCATTCAAGTTGTAAAATTCAAGGATTTGGTTAGGTCAGGGATGGATTGTATTTATGTATTATGTAAATTTAAAATTGTTAAACTTTGAAGTGAAACCATTCAAGTTCAAGTTGATGATGTATCCATGTACGGATATCAGGTGACCACATGATTTCCAACATTTGAAGTTGTAAGTGCTAACTAGGTAGTTACATGTGCCAAGTACCTTTAACTACCACCAAGTCCCACTTTGGAGCTCCCATATTTTAGTGGGTCTTATTCTTAGCGTTTGGGTTGGCTTGCATTGAAGCTTCGTAACTCTGGCAGCCTTGTCTTATTTCGTCAACCTCCAAGCTCCATCTTCTTCAAGCTTCATACCACCTTTCAACGTAACTCACCATACCTTTGGAGACGTCACCCACCAACATCCACCTAATTCCTTTCTATTTTGATAAAATAAGCCATGGCGTCAGGATACGATAGAGCCCTTTCTGGTATGTTATTGCCCAATCAATCATTTATCACACAACCCCTCGCACGTAATTCAAGTACCTGATAGCTAAACTAACCATGACCGTTTATAGTATTCAGGTTCGTTACAAACTTAGTCGCTTCGCTAAATACAGGTTTCTAACTGTCTTTAGTCCGGACGGACACGTTTTCCAAGTCGAATATGCCGGCGAAGCCGTCAAGCGAGGTAAATACCCCAACATATCGTTCTGCACCCCACATCCTCTAATGGTGTCGTAGGAACCTGCGCCGTCGGCGTGAAGGGCGCAGATATTGTTGTCCTCGGCTGCGAGAAGAGATCAGCAATGAAGCTACAAGACACACGCATCACCCCCTCCAAGATTGGTCTTATCGATACCCACGTCTGCCTCGCATTCGCTGGTTTGAACGCCGACGCCCGAATCCTTGTCGACAAGGCACGCCTAGAAGCGCAATCGCACCGCTTGACCGTCGAAGACCCGGTTTCGATTGAATATATCACCAAATATGTAGCCGGTGTACAGCAACGCTACACACAAAGTGGTGGTGTGCGGCCATTCGGTATCAGCACTATGATCGTCGGCTTTGACAAAGGCAGCAAAGTTCCGAGACTCTACCAGACCGAACCAAGTGGCATCTACTCTGCATGGTATGTTCAGCAGCAGTAAAATAAGCCGCAATGCAATGAATGCTGATATACCACAGGAAAGCAAATGCCATCGGCCGTTCCAGCAAGACAGTCCGGGAATTCCTAGAGCGAAACTACAAGGAAGACATGGACCGCGAGGCAACAATCCGATTAGCCATCAAGTCGCTGTTGGAGGTTGTGCAAACAGGCGCAAAAAACATCGAGATTGCCATCATGGCTCCAGGGAAGATTATCGAGATGTTACCAGTAGAAGATATCGAGGGTTACGTGAAGAACATTGAGCAAGAGAAGCAAGAGGAGGCCGCCAAGAAGAAGACCGGCCGAACACCAGGACAGGGAAGCGCAGCCATCTTGACGAGAGAACGAGAAGGTGGCAGCGATTAGATAGGGTCCAACTGAAACTTGACCAAGAGACGAATATCGCTTCATGACTTGTACAATACTAGACCATAAGCATGCATTGGTGATGGTTTTGGTAGAACAAATCACCATAGGTACCTTCAGCTTTTGCTGAAGTCGTCATTTTCGTTGTCTTCTAAGTCTAAATGTGTGGTATCATGTGAAGTTCATCGCTCTACAGCCTAAATTCAACCCCTAGTCCCTAGCCCTCGACCCCCCTATCTTTTTTTATTATCTTTTTTTCCTCCCCCTTTTTTTTTCATTTGTCTTCTTCCTCGTCTTCATCCAACCCCCACCCATCAGCCTAGCTTATCCGCATCATCCTGAATATCAAAAATCGTCTTGAACTTGTCATCCTTGACCCGGTCATCCTTGAGCATGCGGTTGTCCATGCGGGCGTCGCCGCCCTCGACGGTCAGGGCGGGCTTGGGGATGACGGCCTCGAGCACGAAGTGGTTGTCGCAGTGCGGGCAGTACTCGTCGGCCTCCTCGAACTCCTGCGCGTCCTTGCGGAAGCACTTCTTGCACTTCTTGCACGCGAACGTCATCTCGAAGGCCTGCAGCAGCTGGTGCGATTCTTTCTCGTGGTGGCATTCTGCGCAGTCGAACCATTTCTTGCCTGTTGAGGGGGGAAGGGGTTAGTAGGGTAAGCTAGGAGGTAGGGGGGTGTGGTCGAGAAACAAATAGGTCTGCGGAGGCGGGCTGGCTCGGATACGTACAGCATGGCGATCGGATGGAGACTTGGGCGTTTAGTATATGCTTGCTACGAAAGGCACGTAAGTTGGTCAGCCGCTTGAGTTGGGAAAAGAAAGGGGAAGGATTAGACTTACCACATGGTGATATGTATGTTATGCAACTATTTATCGTGCTGCTTCAGACTGGTAATAAATAGGCGATATATTAGGTACCTTTGGTAGGTGGTATGCAGGTAGTCAGTTAACGCGCTTGCTTCTCAACTTGAAAGTCGGCCAGCTAGTAACTATTGATTACACAGGTCGAGATTGGAAATTTTGGTGATTGAGTTTCTAATCGGTTCTCCTTATCCCTTATCCCTTATCCTATTATTTGGGTGCCGGGTGGAGCCGTTGGATTACCTGATGCGGGGGATTTAGCGTGACCCCTGGTAAGCCCCCTGTCAAGAATATCGATCGTGCGAACATTGAAACTTCAGAACTTAGAACCTTCATCTTCTTACTAATCCAGATAATTATTCGAGATCAACCTACATAACCTAGAGAGATTTATGAAGGAAACTCCAGAAATTTGCTCAAAATGAGACCTCACTCTACTACATATAGGTATTTGCTATCACTTCACAGTCAGTACCCAGGTGAGAACTACTAGCGTTCAAGGCTTCAAGTTTCAAAATTATATCTTGTTCGCATGCATACACCTTGGCCTTGTTGTGCTGTGCACCGTGGGTGCTTTTAGGATCATCACTTTTCACCCCGACACCTTCAAGACATGCTAAGCCCTTAATCAATTACTGTAGCGGGCCGTCAACTTTAGGAAACTTTCGGAAAATATCCACAAACTTATCAATCGGAGCCGATACTAGCATAACGACCTTTTCAAACGGCGACGCCCCGTCCGATGATTGATGGCTCCGGGTAGGTGCTAGGAACTTGGTGCGATCAAACGACTTACTCAGCTGTAAGAGTGAGTTGTGATCAAGACTGGCCTCTAGCCGCGGTATGTCATGCTCCCCTTCCTTCTTAACGTGACGTTGAAGGTTTGAGTATAAGTCGCGGAACGTTGGTTCATAGTCTGGGTCTTCCGCCTCCAAGCCTTGTAGTTGATAAAGTTGTTTTCTCATCTAGCATATGCGTAGGCACGTTGTTAGCAAAGCATCAAATCACACAACTTCATCGTATCACCCCCTTCTTTCATTAAGACCGCTGATGTCCATGAGTGAGGGCTTGGGTGAAAGCCTAGTGGGCACGTACAGTTCGAATTTGATGACGATGTTTTTTAGCGACATCATATCCATCTTCTAAGTTCTCTTCCATTGCCGGGCATACAACCATCTCCTCAGCTACTGAGTAGCGCGCTAGCTCCCACACAAAGAGGTTTCCATACCTGGTCCGCTCGTCCGAAGTCTTGTGGTCAACGATATGAGGAAGGAAGGCCTCAAATTCGCGATGATCGTATTTGATTGCATTTAAAAGAGGGCCGTGTCGTGCTGGTGCAACAGAAAACCCACGTAGATGTGGTACCTGGCGCAGGCCTCGTGCAATAGTAAAGAGGCGCGAACGGGGTGCTGTCGGATATCGCAACATTCTATGAAAGCGCGTGTAATTTCACGGTCTCATATTCAATTTAAGGCTTGGATCTTTCATATGTTCCAGGAATAGGATTATTTAAGGGTTCCTTCAACTAATAAGTAACAGCTAGTACCTAGATAAAGGGCCATATAATGATGATGCAAATAACTCTACATCACAACGTCATCGGAAAACAATAAACAAAACATCGACGGTTGACCATATCATGTCCAATCATTCTACGATTGAGCTAATTATTGACTAGTAAGATTTATCGATACCTATTTAGTGAGCGTGGCTTGTCAGTCATATCGGCTCGATTTCACTGCGATGGGTTAGAATAGCACCTACTAAGTGCTTCTATGACGGTGGTCTCCGTATGGAACAATTAGTTGATTTAATCTAAGAAGTTAGATCTGATATATTGTGGAAAGAGTAATTTATCTACTCCCACGAAACAGTTGCTAATGTCCATGATATGGAAGCTCTCCGGAGCGGGTTCACTCAGAGAGGATCCGGATCTTTGTTACGACTTCATCCAGAGTATCAACCAATCTTCTTAAAAGCCACCATATCAAATGTCAAATTTTATATACATTTCTCACATTATCATATCCTACGATTTGGTTTTTCCCTACATTGTGTACTCTTTCCACCATAGCGACTATTACCCCTGAAATGGAATGTGACATTCTCCCAAATGTCGCTAGGCAGCAGCATCTGTCAGAGGAGGGAGCTACAAACGCAATGATTTAGCATGGCTAGTTCAGACTATACAGTGATGCATATTGTTCCTATGGACACATTGTTTTTTCCATGATCCACCAGAGCCAATCCGCCGTGCCCCCTACTTGCGCCTTACACTTTGTCAAGGCTAACCCCCTCATCGATACCTACACATCGCAACTCGAACCACCATTCTTACGTGTAATACCTAAGGAGGGGTATTTTGGGTAGATATCTATTTACACGTTTAGCTATTCACTTTCTCCTTATAACTACCTAACCTAGGTATCTACATCGTAGGTATAATGCCTGTCTACCCTCTGTAGACATAGGGACGGTAACCATTGAGCCAAACAAGCGACGTGGTCAAGTAACCACTTCATTATAACCCATTCACAACGGGCCTATACACAAAACTGCCCAAAAATATCAAAGAGGCCGATGTGGTTGTTGCGGGAGGTATGTAAGAGACAATGGAAATTGTATTATCTCGAGGCGCCACCTGCTACGAACGGAGCCTTGCCTACTATGACGTACATTGACTTGGAAGGGACACGACAAGATGTAGCGCATAATTATCTACCCCCCAGGCTTTCGAGATGGTCAGCACCCAAACCTGCATGTGCTTGTAGACTCACAAGTGGAGCGGGTTTTGTTCGAAGACCAGACGGCCGTTGGCGTGGTCTATCGGCCGAACCCTGAGTACCAGCCCGGCGGGAGCAGTCAATTGATCAAGTCAAAGCGGATGGTGATTCTAACCTGCGGCACTCTCGGCACTCCACTGGTTCCCGAGCGCTCTGGCACCGGGAATCCCGAGATTTCAAAACGTGCCGGGGTCTCGCCTATAGCAGATGTCTGCGGAGTTGGCCATGAATACGAAGACCACCAGTCCACCATGCATCCATACAAGTCCACGCTGAAGCCCGAGGAGACTATGGACCAGTTCCTAACCGGCCGGGTCGACCCCAAGGATTTAATGGGGTGGAACGCTGTGGACGTGCAAACCAAGATCAGACCAACTGACGCCGAAGTTTCTAGCCTAGGGCCTGAATTCCGGGAGATCTGGGATAGGGAGTTCAAGGAAGTCCCAGACAAGCCACTAACGATCCTCTCGCCGTGTGCAGGGTGAGGAAGTCTCATTTTCCTTCACTTCACACTTTCTACAAACGACGCACGCCAAGCTAAGCACGAGAGAGCTACGACGGCAACCCGCTCCCATTCTCTGGGCAGTACTTCTCCCTGGTCGGGTGGAGCCTGTACCCCTTCTCGCGCGGACACATCCACATCACCGGGCCCCGCATCGACGACCTGTGCGACTTCAACCCGGGCCTCCTATCGGACCCGCGCGGCCTTTGGTCAGTACCTATCATTATATACACCAAGCCATAGATTTCTCATCCTGTATTAAGGAAGCGATGCGTGTCTTCCTGTTATTTATCGATGTTAGTCGTGAGCGGCTCTCCTGCAACTTTGAAGGCGCGTCTTGCCACTTTGGACATGTAAGAACTCTTCGGCTTGGCCATTACAGCACTAATGCTCCATAACTGAGTCTCAAACAATGAGTCTGAGAGGTAGAAATCAGGGTGATTGTCATCGCATGCTCACATGGACTTACATGATCCCAAGTCAACCTGAGCCCCTGGGTTAATAGACTTGCTATTGTTTAGGAAATGTTGGCGGCATAGAAAAAGCGATTAGTATTTCGTAATTTACCATTCACCCCTTACTTCGTTTGAATTGGTAGCACCGCATGGAAGGGGCTTAGTATGAACCCGAGTATGTTCATGAAGACCTGAAGAGCCACTCCACCAAATGAATCGTTCCCGCTTGGTGGTCTGTTGTTCGTTCTTAGGCATTCAGCAGCTTCTTTCCGGGCACTCAAGAATCTAAACATGCCTCGCATAGGTAGGTACATACTAGCGTTAGTAAAGGACGAGAAGGATTTAAACGAAATCCTGCCCAATCTCTATGCCGCTTTCGGAAAACGATATGATTGACTGCGCAAATGGGTCCATTCCCAATCCACAACACGGTGGAGGTAGTTATCGGATACGCAAAACAGCGAACGGTGAGGTTCTGGAAGCAAAATGAAGATATTCATCGGAGTGAAGGTCGCCAGTACTGATACTGGCTCCGGAAAGATTTAACAGCGCAGTCGAGTAGGAGGAGCGGCAGCCAACCTTGGAACACACGACCCCGGCAAGCTTCTGAAACCCTTCGATGCTTTATGGGCACATGGAAGAGTCAGGCCAAAAAGGCATTTGCCGAAATTTTATCTTAACGGGTTCGAAGGGCTCTATGAAGGAGCGCATGACTCGGCTGCATGCCGGTGAGTGCCGACCTGCCTAGCTGAAGAACAACAGTTAAAGCGCTATGGCTGTGGTGCGGGTAGACCTCCAGGGCTGTAAAAGGCCCCAAGATGTCTCATGTACGAAGTAAGTAGCAAGCGTGCACGATATTTCTATGTGCACTTGCCTGGGTGCGACGCAAAAGGTTGTCAGATGACTGAATTGTAATACGTGAGGTGCGGCTCTCTACCAGGGGGAGCTTGCTTGGCGAACAGCTGCAGTACTACTACATAATATAGATGGACAGGTGTAGGTTAGATGGAGATAGAGATGCATGTGTAAGAGTATGAAGGGTGGTGATGAGATGCATCAATAGGGGTACTAGGTAACACTACATAATATGTCTTGTACCTAAGTACTACTGCTGTGTATAACAAACCTTGAACCTGGAGGGGTTAAATGTTACTTCCCGGTGAGGTCATATCACAGACTGACCAATCAAAGACTATATAGCCATCCCCAGAATACACAGGGGGGCCTTTAAGTGCTGTGATTGGTCCCTGTGGCGCGACGCATCAGCTTGTCAGGTATGTACCTATGTACCTGTGGTGTAGTTATGCGGAAAACATATGTTATGTTAACGATGTTATGTTATGTTATGTAGGAACATTGAATTAGGAATGTGATTAATTTGAATGAGCACCTGGTAACTAACTACCGGTACGTAATTATGTATTGTGGATGTGTCACTTCAATAGTTTACTCGGCAGCGGAAAGCTCGGGCACTGCCAGCCTTGGAACATCTTTCACAATGTAGCATTGAATCACTTACATAGTACCATCTGCATAGCCTTGACCTACGTATGAAATCGTATTTACTTGAACTAGTTAATATCCTGTTTTCCCGAATTCCATGGTGGCGTCCTCATGTGGATTGGCTACTATAAAACCAGAAAAGTCCCGTTAAAGCCTAGGTCATGTAGAAGACTGCTGGCAACAGCGAATCCCGTTGAGCTGTGGTGGTATAACTTGCGGATCGCTATTCTTATGGATCTGTACCTAGAACTGCTAGGCACAATTAACGCGGTGAGCTGGTCGAGGGGCCAAACGATCCTTGCTCTGTGTTAGGTTGCCTCAGTCCAGGCTTCTCATCCCTATTGGGCATGTAGCATTGGGGTGGGAATAAATAATCCTTGGAAACAATTAATATTCGCTAGGGAATAGAAGATCAAATGCATAGTTACATGTGAGGTAGGTATTAAAAAGAGATGACTTGCAACTCTCTTTAAAGTCTTCAATCACACATTCTTTTTTCTGGTCAACATTCCAGCTCTTCCTCTTACTCAGTAAGGAGTTAAATCCTTTGAGTTTATGTAAGTATACTTTACAATACTCCTTCCTGCCTTGGGTCTACAGATATATATATCAGTAGTATATATTTGTAGTGTAAACATTAGAAGTTTACCAATACTTCCTAACCCCTGATTACTTTACTTAAACAATACGCATATAGTAGGTATAATACATACTAATCTACGTACCTACCTACATAGCTAGGACCTAAGCTTGCCTGCTACTCCCCTTCATTATGGGGCAATCATCGAGCAGCACGAGTTCGCTATCCGACTGCTTAAATGCAGTTTGCAACGGCCGCGATAGTTGCGTCGCGTACCCGAGCACTCCCCTCTATCAACTATCCTGGGTCAAACGGTACAACTTGGATATTCCAGTCGAACCTATCGCCGTGACACGACCCCAGACAGCCCAGGATGTATCGGATTTTGTTAAATGCGCCGTTGCGAACAACGTCAAAGTGCAACCCAAGTCCGGTGGTCACTCCTATGCGTAAGTGCATTCGTTCATTCATTTTTTTTTGACTCGTCGTCGCACTTTTACTAATACTCGGGCAGAAACTTTGGTACGCGCATTGCAAATTAACCCCCAAACAAATTCCCTCCCAGCGCACATTGGAGGTACAATTCAGCGCTAACGGTACTGAAAAATAAACAGGCGTGGGCGGTCAGGATGGCGAACTCGTCATTGACCTAGTCAACATGCAGGATTTCTCTATGGACACTAATACGTGGCGGGCTGCGATCGGCGGAGGCACCAAGCTTTCCGACGTCACGAACAAGCTCCACGACAACGGCAACCGAGCCATCTCCCACGGAACCTGTCCCGGTGTTGGCATCGGCGGCCATGCCACGATTGTAAGTTTTTTTTGGTGGTTTCCGTTACCCACGGCATCCGATAGGTGGTCTTTTTTTCTCTTTGTTGCTGACTAAATCGCCGGAAAGGGTGGACTCGGCCCTACGTCGCGCATGTGGGGATCCTGCCTCGATCATGTCGTAGAAGTCGAAGTAGTCACTGCGGATGGCTCTATCAAGCGGGCTAGCGAGACTGAAAATAAGGATCTTTTCTTCGTAAGTTCCTTGCCTTGTTACTTACCCTCCCTCCTTTTCCGGGTCGAAAACATTTGTGCTTACAAATTATAGGCCTTGAAGGGTGCTGGCGCAGGCTTCGGGGTCATCACGGAATTTGTGATGAGAACCCACCCCGAGCCGGGCGACGTGGTGCAATACTCGTTCTCGGTCACCTTCGACAGCCACAAGGACCTGATCCCCATCTTCCAGCAGTGGCAGGACCTGATCTCCGACCCGAACCTCGACCGGCGGTTCGGCACCGAGTTCGTCATGCACGAGCTCGGCGTCATCATCACCGCGACCTTCTACGGCACCGAGGACGAGTGGAAAGCCACCGGCATCCCCGACAAGATCCCCGCGGGCAACACGTCCGTCGTCGTCAACGACTGGCTCGCCGTCATCGCGCAGCAGGCCGAGGACGCCGCGCTGTGGCTGTCAGACATCCGGTCGTCGTTCACGGCGCGCAGCGTCGCCTTCCGCGCCGACGAGCTGCTGACGCCCGACACCGTCTCGTCGCTCATGAACTACATCGACGACGCGAAGCGCGGCACGCTGCTGTGGTTCCTCATCTTCGACGCCACCGGCGGCGCCATCAGCGACGTCCCCATGAACGCCACCGCCTACTCGCACCGCGACAAGATCATGTTCTGCCAGGGCTACGGCATCGGCATCCCCGTGCTGACGGACGACACGCGCGCGTTCTTGAACGGGATCATCGACACCATCCAGAGCAGCGCGCCGCAGGCGCTGACGACGTATCCGGGCTATGTGGATCCGAGCCTGGTGAACGCGCAGGCGTCGTATTGGGGCCCGAATCTGAACGCCCTCGGCCAGGTCAAGAGCAAGTGGGATCCGAGTGATCTGTTCCACAACCCGCAGAGCGTGCGGCCGGGGCAGACGGTGCAAGGCTGAGGAAGGACGGAAGGGTGTGATGGAGATGAGGAATGTTGTTGGCCGTGATTGATACCCCCATACCCCCCCCCCCCCCCCCCCCCTTCTTCTCTTTTCGATGATGATATATAAATTTGACTACGCGTACCGAATTACGTAGCAACCATTTTAATATGCCGACTACTCTCATGCCCTCACCTTCTTAATCTAGACTGAGTCATGGCTCTAAGCTGTCGACGCCTGTACTATAAGCCGATGGCTTTTGGGATCTATATAATGTCTGACGATTTGTAATATGTATATAGGCAAATGGAATGAAAGCGCACATACCTAGGTAGGTAGGCTGTGTCCCTAGCCCACGTACCTAGGTAGACACCTGAAGACATCAACATAATGGAGATGACATAAGATGAGACGTACATACTGTTCAAGCTGAACATCGGTTTCCTCTATGAGAGATCAGCAAGAACTCCGTGCAAGCAGAAAAATTTGAATAATTCCCCAGTCCGTACTCAAAACCCTACGTCTCGTTTTGCTTCTAAGCCATGTTTGTGGCACATACATCCCGCTGGGCTCGTATATTTATCAGCTCCGTGTGCGCACGCTGGCTCTGATGTAGGGCTCTGCTGTCGTAATATACATGTAAATATGTAGTACATCCCCACGCAGGAGATGCTTGTGCAACATATCTAGAGTATATATACATGTAGGCAGATAGCATTCATCGGCGCTGCAGGCTGTAGGCTGCATGTTGCCATGGCTTCCATGTAGCCTACGCTTCACGGTTTTCTCGTCATGCCAGCCACTTATATATGTGTATATAACTATAGGTATGTACCTAGGTATGTAGGCGTGTATGCTGAGGAACGGATATGTCTTGGCGCTGTATGTTGGCGGCGCAGTCACGATGGATAATAGTGTGCAGGCATACACCTTTACCTACTACGTACCTACCTAGGTAGGTACTAGGTACATATATGGGCAGGCTTATAGGACTGCATACCCCCTATAGGTCTGGAGTCATCTCCTAAGGAGGGACGTCCGAGGGAACAGTCATCGCTGCGTGAGGGGGAGCTCCTCTCGTACGATACCATCTCTCGAGCTCGTGGTAAACTTACCATTCATTTTTCTTCTTTTTTTTTTTTTACCTGGATACCTCACTTACGCGCGTTTTGTTCACGCGATGGACAGAATCTTATAGGTTAGGTCCTGCAGGATGCATACCCAGAGGGGGGTTCCGTGGGGTTCAAACTTTTTTTTTCTTGACCAGATTGTCTGTCGATCGTTGGTATTTCTGGGGTAATGCCAAGAAAAGAAAGCTATGGTTACATTCTGTCTAACCTAGGGATGTAGGTTAGGTTAGGTGAATGGCGAGAATCGTATCGTAGGTGCTAGCTTTCTTGAGAGCGCGTCTTTTTTCTTCTTCTCCTATTTTTGGTTAGGTAGGGGTCACTTAAAACCTCACTCTTCATCGTGACTCTTCTTGGTGTAAAGTCATGATGATACACGATATTCGTGAAGCAGACCTATTGGTGTGAAGAGTGTGGATTCTTGTGCGGCATGGTGGCACTAACGGCCTAGCAGTCGTGGGCATTTTTATGTCTTACGTATTACTTGGTGTAAAAGCTCGATAGGTGGTCGTCAGTATCAAGTAATGGAATCTTTAACCGGTGAAGGGGAGGTCCTAATCGACTCATCGCCTTAAATGACAACCCAATGAGTCTGACAAAGCGGCCATCTTGAATTCTAGGCCCCGGTGATGAAGTAGGTACAACATGTAGGTCTGTATATATCTATTATACCTCCATGCCTACATGTATTGTACCTGATAAGTACCAGACCGTCTAAGTATCTTGGTATGTAGAATGAAGTTCATTGAAGTATTTGTTTCAATGTTTCCGCTCAAATTACTTCGCCTCTTCAATGTTCCCTCCCGCCATCCGTTAGTAATTTATCAGTTATTTTCCAAGATTGCAGATGTGTACATCTCATATTCCGTGAGGTACCAAATGCTACACTGCCACCCAGGACATCTGGAATTTCGGAACCCTTAATTGCCCCTCATCTCGTCAGCCTTTGACTTTCTCCATAGTAACATATGGAGATCTTTCACAAACAATTTTGTCTATATTCGCCTCATGCCATTCGTTTCAAGTGGGATAACAACAACATTGAATACCTACTTTTACCCAGCCTGTTAGCTCATGAGACTTACGATCCATTTTCTTAACCGAATCGGGGAAACTTTTCAATCTACCTACCGAGTTCCAATCGACTACCTACCTAGCATGTTGGTTAGCACCAGATCTGGGACTATTGGTTATCACTGGTGTCGCGTGGTCTCTCTTTGCTTGGCGAATGGGGGGGACTCTGTAACATAGTGCAAATGAAGAATCTCTTGACAAAAGAAAACATTGAATGGAGAGCCATGATTTGAAAATGCCCGTCGATGGATAGTATTGGATACATCATGTAGATACTAACTACTAGTACAGATGTATTTCATACATATATGTAAGGTAATATTAGGTACATGTCGATGCAGTATATCTGTACCTAGTATCTATCCTGTATCCATATATGCCTACATACATAATATGTATGCCAGTCATCAGTCTCTCCAAGATAAGAGAAGTCGTTGGTCCACTTACACCTCGACACGGAGCTCTCCACTCGAGCTGGCAATACATATATAATATTCACGTGAAACGTGAACGGAACATTCGTATTTTACAATATCCCTCGTTTCTACCCGATCTTGATCAATTTTGTTCCTTGTTCTGGAGGATAACAGCTCAATCTTGTTGGGTGTGGTATTAGGTAGGTAGGCATGTGCTGTATTGGGTTGTATTGCCTCATATCAGAATACCAGGATGCATACCTACATAGTACATACTGTAGTATGTGTATAGGTGGAGTATGTAGTATGAGCTTCAATATTCATATTGATGTAGGTAAGTTCGGTCCATGCCTACAGTTACATGTACATACATCATGTATAGTAGATACATTACCTAGTAGTTAACTACATGTATGTATAAAAAATTGAAGGTCACAGGCCAATGCCCAAACCCCGGTGTCTGCGAGGGTGAAAGAGGTAAGCTGCATGTGCGACAGGACCCTTCAGGTACGATTGGACTAACCCCACCCAGAATAGCTACGTAGTACCTAGTACTACTACTACTACACATTACATGCATACCTAGTACTAGGGTCCATATGTTGTGTAGATACTAAGTTAAGCGTCTCAACTTACTAACTTAGACTTCATTACGCTCCATATGTATATCAATGTGTACAGATGGCAGATGTAGGTAGCAAGTTCCGGTTTAAATATATATTGACTGGCAATGACTGCTAGTTTCCATGTACGTACATTAACCTGATTAGAAACCCCACAACTTTACCTTCATTTCTAACATGCTAAATGCGGAGCCTAGATTCTCCAACGTCTAAAGCTTGAATGGGCTTCATCGTTGCAGCCCAATTGAAATTGAAAAACAAGTACTTACTATATACATATATACGCTAGTACCTTTTGTAATATCAATGATGTATCTACTACATGTAGTACATAACTACATAGTACCTTGTACTGAAGGGGTGGGACAAGAAAGAAACGTTTGAAAACCTTAAATCGGTTTGCTGCGTCTCCCGAGGTCGAGGTCACCGTCCCAGTCCCTCGTTTTTCTTTCTCGTCCCAATTCTCCATCCAAAGGCATTAGTCTCAACCGTCGCCTATTGAGATCTGGTAAGGCCTATCACGCGGCTCAATAATACCATACTAGCGCAAGTACCGGCCACATCTGCCCCTCATATGCAATCTTCTTCATCGCTTTGAGTGGCAACAGCGACGGCCTTTGCCCTTCCAGACACTTATCATTCATGTGGTTCCGCTACCTTTGTCCGGGCAAATTGGCCGAGTCTTGTTCTTTTGAATATCCAACCTCAACTTCATAGCTGCTGCAGAATTGGCAAACGAATCATCGCAATAGTACCGGTCTACGCCAGTAGCTTCGTTGGTATTGAAAATTAGTATCCTTATTCCTACGCGAGACCATGAGCTTAGGCTGGGACCGAATACTACAACCTAACTTCATTAAGCTTCGTGGACTAAAGAGGACGTCCGGGAGTACCAAAGCACAGGCCAAATCATTTGTCGGGCGAATAACAAACTGAGCTAACCATTACGACGACTACGACGACTACTACTTTGCTTTGATCCATTTGTATACCGCCCCAGACTACTTTATCGCGATATCGAACGGGAATAAATAGAGTTAACACATCCCTTTTTCACGAAGGAAGGAAGGGGCAGCATAGACCAATGGCCGACGAAACCGGCCAATCAGACGGTCAGGCGTCAGAAATAGACCGGGAGCGGGACGACGGGAAGATGACGCCTACCTCCCCCCCTCCACCACCTATTCCCTCGACAGACCCGAAACTAGTATGGCAAGCTCGGACACCGCCTCCGTTGCATACCGCCCCGAGTCCGTCCTCGCACGACCTCTTCAAACTCTCACCCATCGCCGCTCTTAAGCTCCTTTGCGCCGGTGTCGAATCGCTCGTTCGCATGACAGGCGATATACCTCCAACACCCCCGCCCACGAGCCCTACGCTCCCCAATATGCGCAGTATGCAACGAGAGAAGGCGGAAATTGTTCGGTCTTACTCAGAAAAAAGTTTGGCGCGACTCCGAGAACAGAGTGAGGCTAAGGATCGGGCCCAAGTCCAATCCCAATCCCAATCCCAGACTCAGGCCAGTCCCAGTCAGCTTATCGATGGTGTCCACCTTCGCCAACCATCAGCCCCTTCGCCACCGAAAAACAGTCCCGAGCCCTACATAGTCATCGGCGCCAACTCGCAACCCCTTAACCTGCAGCATAGTGCTATTACGCGGAAGTTTTTTAGCAAAAAACCTCCACCAATTAGTATTGAGGATTATCTCCTGCGAATACATCGGTTCTGCCCGATGTCTACAGCTGTATACCTGGCTACGTCGTTCTACATATTCCGGCTGGCTGTCGAGGAGCGAGCAATAGCCGTCACGAAGAGAAACTGTCACCGCCTGCTCTTAGCTGGCTTGCGAGTAGCAATGAAGGCACTGGAAGATCTGAGTTATCCGCACGCTAAGATCGCCAAGGTTGGTGGGGTGAGCGAAGTTGAACTGGCAAGATTAGAAATCAGCTTCTGCTTCTTGACTGGGTTCGAACTGGTCATCAGGGAGGAAACGCTCCGGGCTCACTGGGAGGCATTGAAGCAAAACAACGGTTTAGTCGGCAAGTCGGGCGTCGCAATGGGTGATGCGATACCGAAGTTAAACCTCAACCTACCACCGAAGAGGAATATCAAAATTTCACTTGACTGATTTTCCTCGAACACTTAGTAGCTTTGCTATATCCATATCAATAATCATACAGGGGGCTAGCGTAACTGGGAAGTCACAGCTGTACATGTCGATTAAGGATACTAGGCCCCCGCGATTCAACCCCGAGCTATAGGCTAATTGTCTACATTGAGATCTAGATCTAGACGCTAGATGTAGGAGAAGTAAGAAAGTTAACGAAGGGACACTACACGGGCTTTGGGGGCTTAGATGGCCAGATATGCGTTGTTTTCATAAGCATAAAGACATGTCGAAAGCATTCAGGAACGGATTCATACCTACGTAATGCAATACCCAAAACTCAGTCTGTGAATTATATTCACATACCTAGTACTTAGCCCCGCAGCTACGGATAAAGCCGTCCAACCTAACAAACTAAATAGGAAGGCCAATAGCTTGTTTTCTGTAATATGATTGGCTGATTATCATTCATTCTGGCCGTTGTCCGGCCGTCACGTCACCTTCCACCTTGGTATCTACCTAGGTACACTATCTACATATGTAGGGTATCTACTATCTACTTAGTACTAATATCTACCTGCTATATGTAGTACAGTTCATGTACATTCTTAACAGGTGTCCTATAATATGAGGATATGATACTGGCGTTGCCTATTAGATGCAGATCTTGCATTACTAGGACATTTGTCTCATCGTATTCATTCGGACCCTATTCTACATTGTCATATCTTAGGAAAGCTACCCCGCATCCATATTGCGCAGCCATTTCCCATCGCAAATATAATTCAAGCATATTCTCAACAAGACCGACATCGACGACAACAAAATCCATCATGTCTAAAGCTCAAATCGATGTCGAGGCCATATTGAGGGGCAAGTACCCTGCTAAAGCCCATGCAAAGCGTGTGGTGGAGTACATAAAGTCCAAGATTCCAGACGCGACAGGAGTGTTATATCTAGAAGGCCGTGCGGATAAACTGCTGGAAGACAGTGATGAGCCAATTCCCTTTCGGTAACTTCCTTCCGCCATACAATCTCCATCGATGCATATCACTAATGGTGCTAAAATCAATTGTGTAGACAACGGAGGGCATTCATGTATCTAACGGGCGTGGATGTTGCCGACTGCTTCCTAGTATACGATATCGCAACCGAACACTCAACCCTCTTCATTCCTCCGGTAGACCCGGACTCTGTCATCTGGTCCGGACTGCCACTCTCCCCGCAAGAAGCCCTGACAAAGTACGACGTCGATGCCGTCCTCCCCTCTACCGAGCTCAACCCGACCTTAGCTAGACTGGGAAGTGCGCCCAAGTCTACCGTTTTCGCCATCGCGGATCGTGTCGCGGACGCTGTCACCTTTCTCGAGTTCACCAACAAAGACTTCACCGTCCTAGGGGAAGCTATTGAGGAGTGTCGCGTGATCAAGGACGAGTACGAGATCGCCCTTATTAAGAAGGCCAACGAGATCAGTGGCGCTGCGCACAAGGCTGTATTGCAAAGCGTAAAAAAGGCGAAGAATGAATATGAGCTCGAGGGTGTCTTTATTGGTACTAGCATCAGCCAGGGGGCCAAAAAGCAGGCATACCCGAGCATAGTTGCCAGCGGGCGCGCGGCAGCTACTTTGCATTATGTGCATAATGATAAGGATCTTGCTGGCAAGCAGCTATTGCTACTGGACGCTGGTGCGGAGTGGGACTGTTACGCTGCTGATATAGTATGGGTTTGCCCCTTTTTATCGATACTCCTACCCCCTATTTCTATTCTCTCGTCGGAGAATCGAACATGCAAGCTAATAAAGCCACAGACGAGAACATTCCCCATCTCTGGCAAATTTACGGAAGAGTCTCGTGCCATATACGAGATAGTCCTGCAGATGCAGACGGACTGCATAGCCATGCTGAAAGAAGGCGTATCGTGGGATGAAGTGCACCTACAAGCACACAGGATCGCCATTGACGGTTTACTATCCCTGGGTGTCTTGAAGGGCGACCGAAAGGAGATTCTCGAGGCCCGGACGAGCACGGCGTTTCTGCCTCATGGTCTAGGCCACTATCTCGGAATGGACACCCACGATACCGGCGGACACCCCAACTATGAAGACCCGGACCCGATATTTAGGTACCTGCGGGTGCGGTTGAATCTGCCTGCGGGGAGTGTTATTACGGTGGAGCCTGGTGTGAGTATTTCTCTTTTTCTTGTATTATGATCGTTGAGTAAGGATGATGCTGACGAAATGAAATGAACAGATCTACTTCTGCGAGTACATCATCAAGCCCTACCTCAAGGACCCCAAACACTCCAAGTTCATTGACGAGAAGGTGCTGGACAAGTACTGGGACGTCGGCGGTGTCAGGTGAGTTTATTATATCAAATGAGTCCTAGTTGAGGTGACTAACTTGAGTGCTTGCAGAATCGAGGACAACTTACTTATCACGAAGGACGGCTCGATCAACTTGACGGAGGCGGTCAAGGATCCTGATGAGTTGGAAAAGATTATTGCTAGTAGTTGAGGGGTTCTGGGTGTAGAAGGGGACAAACTGTCCTGGGTAGTTACGAGATACCGACCTATCTAGGTTTTGAGATACCATTGATACACCAGGCGTAGAAGAAATCTACAATTTCAAATGGCTAGCTTAAGCCTGTCGTGGTCTATTAAACATCAAGAATACCTAAGTTCACAACCCGACCCTGACTGTTGTATTCCATAGGGACTTAGATTCATGATTTGAAGCACATAAGTTTTACCTAGATAAACCATGAGAGACTGCACCCTGAAGGTCTCACGTAGCTGTAGTTTCGGATATGTACCTACATGGATAGAAAAAAAGGCATTAGGAACGGATAGCGACAGCTCGCTGTATGACGCCGTGGCTGATAGAAAAAGCAAACAAGATAGCAAGGAAAAATATACAGGGGAAAAAAGAAAAGGGGGTGAGTTGTCACGTGGCTTCATGACAGACATGGATTACCTAATATTTCGGTTGAAAAAGGGGGTAGACCCATAACCTTCGGGGTGTAAATTCTAAATTCTAATCGTGTATCTCAACCATTGAAGGCGGATGTTGTACTCCTGGATATCATAAATTCATGGACGGGATAGGTAGGTACCTAGGTAAAGAGTCTGCGAAAACACCTAGAGGTGAACTGATAATATTAAGTAATACAGCCTCGTCGGAGTTGATACCGTCGTTGTGGTGACTCAGAAGGCTGTCCTCAGACAAAACCCGGGAAGAGGTCTATTTGGAACTGCAATGGGCGGTTTGCCTACGTACCCACCTCCCCTCCAACACAAAATCTGTGTCCATGAATCATAGATCGGAAATCTGTGTCCATGAATCATAGATCGGAAACATTTCTGCAGCTCGCGTATGTTAGGGAATGGATCTTCACCAGACGGCGCCCTGGGCACCAACCACGTGAGACTCAACTGACCGGTGCTTACCTCCCTCCAAGCACTAGCGGCAGCCTTGTTGCGCCCTGTAATCAAAAGCGCTGGTGATCATATTCTCTCCTCTGTTAACTGTGGCTGGAATATGAGCAAACACCGACAAAGGTAGGTACCTAATCACCGATGTACGTAAGCATATTTGCACTTTTGGCTTTCGGGGGATTCTCCTTTTAGAGAAATTGAGGCGCATCGAACGTGTCACCTCGACAAGGACAAGGAGCATTGACTGCCTAGGGCTAGGTAGATATGTAAGTCATAAGATTGTCGAATATGCAATTCTATGTATATAGAGTGATAATATGAAGACATTGGATCTAGATATATTTGGAGGCTGTGGTAGCTCGGATCCTCTTGTACTCTCAGTATTTGCCTGTTTCACTGCACCATTTCTTCCTCTTGATTCATCCCCACGCAACGCATGAATTATGGCGGAAATCGAGATAAGCTGCGAAACTTGTGGGAAAACGGTAGGCGTGACCTTCTGCGAAGGATGCAACGACTACTACTGCGACGACTGCTGGCCGTCCCGTCGGGCACACCGGATGAACACTGTTGGGCCGACGGGAATACCGCACAACAAGCTGGACCCGAAGATTGTCAAGAAGGTCCAAGAGTGGATGGCGGAACCGGAAGACGAGAACGAAGAGCAGAAGCAGCATCAGTTGGATGAGGAGACCATCTGGTTCGGCCTGAGCAATGATAAGGAGGGTGACCCTATTCTTGCCGAATACAGGCGAGTGGCTATCCTCATGATGGAGACGTCGGAGGGAGCCCCCCAAACACGGTATCCAGGACTCGTGTCGTTTGTTGGTCAGACAAGTATGTCAAGTGCCGTGTTGTCACTGGAACAAGTTCGTTGATAATAACTAATCTCCAATCCAGGTGCCGGAAAGAGCACTCTTATCCGACTTCTAATCGGCGGGAATACCTATGACACGGAAGACAAAGAATCGCCAGCCATGTCACTCCCAGTAATCGGGCGCAGCGAACAGGGACTCGCCACATCTGCCGACGTTCATCTCTACGCAGACCTCAGCACCTGCAAAAGCGTACGTCCGATCTTGTTTGCCGACTGCGAAGGATTCGAGGGCGGAGAACGCGACCCAACCGCCCAGGTTGTCTTGGACAGCGGGCAAGGCAGTTCTTGGGACCCGCAAGCTATAACCGCCAACGGGAAAGGTCCGTTGTCGAGAATTGTTTATGCTACCAAGAGAGCTCTGCGTTGGGCATCGAGAAATGCGGCGGACCACGAGAAGACGGCGAAACGGCAATTTGCCGTGTCAGAAATGTACCCGAGGATCTTCCACGCATTCTCTGATGTGATCGTCTTTGTGCTGAACAATCCCAAGTAAGTGTCTCCCTCTTTTTCTTCTAAGGGGTAGGTAGCATGGTTGTGATCATAGGTACCCTGACCAGTTCCTAGTACGATGGAGGATGTTGCAGAAAAGCTACTTCTCTGGGCGCATTCAAACCACTCTGCCTCCATCAACCTCCCCAGCAAGCCTCACGCGGTGATCGCGTTGAACAAATCTACCATCTCGAGCTCGGACGACAAATGGAGCCGGCACAGGGCGACGGAGGATTTCCTCAAGTCAATGGATGCCCAGATCTCGAAGAACAAGACGTTTGCGGCGTACGCACAAAGGTGGGCGAAGCAGGGCCTGACGATCACCACTATGCAAGAGCTCTTCGAGTGCTACTACTCCAGTATCCATGTCGTGAGGCTTCCGGAGAAGAGCAGGTACGAGCTGCTCGACAAGCAACGGGATGTTCTCCGCGAGGTCATAGATGACTGTTGCGTAAAGTCTTTCCGAAAGAAAAAGGGCCTCAAGATGCTCCCTGATGTCGACCAGTTCCAGATGTACTTGTCACTGGCATTCGACCACTTCTCAGAGACCTTGTCGAAGCCATTCGACTATGTGAAGGCTTCGTTGAAGCTGCGCCCTCCGCCAGAGACCTTGGCGGACAATCTTATGGAGTTCCTTCTCATGGTTTCTGAGAAACGAGAGCTGAGGAGGGACATTGAAGCACTTTTCTTGATGGTAACTGATGTAGTTGCGTCTTGTATCATGCTCGATTCAGCACGGAAAAGGCATTTTGGTTAGCAATTCCCCACTCCCTTTTCTTCTTCTCTATTGTGACGGTTAAGAAAATTCAACAATACTAACCTTCAACATCTCAGGAGGTCCACAAGAATGGTTTGGGACAACGACCCCTCGAATCTTGGCACAGGACACACCGTATCCGACAACGTCACCCATGAAGCAAGAGGGGGAGTCGTACAAGAGCCTGTGCAAATACATGATGCAAGAGTATTTCGAAACCCAGTTCTGCTGCACATTCAACATCCCGGCCCAGGCCCATCTGCTCCAGCCGGGCTTCCAGTGCGAGCTGTCGTATCGGACACACGATCAGTTCCACAGACAGACGATGACCATGGGCTTCGTCAGGGACGTGCCCGGCCGATTCCTCAGCAACAACTTCAACCGCCGAGACTTCGCCTGGGAGGAGAAGATCCGGCTGAAGCTCATCGAGATGCACCAGAGCGCCGAGTGGAAGGACGGTGCTTCGGGCGAGATAAGAGCACAGACACACGGGCGGAATCTTCGCCGCTTCTACGCCCCCCTGTTGGAACTGGGTCTCTTTAGCAACTCGATCTGCCTCGCTTGCTTGTTCAACCCGGCCCAACACCCGCTTAGCTGCGGCCACCTCGTGTGCGTTGACTGCGCGATGGATTTTGGTAGGCTGGAGGGTGGGATCCGGATCGTGGTGGAAAACTGCCCGTTGAGTGGCGGGTCGGGACTATGTAATAAGGTGTTGGCGATGCAAAGCTCGCCCACTATCATTCAGCTCGAACCGGCATACTCTGGGCTAAGGGTGCTGACACTTGATGGGTAACTACTACTTCCTTTTTTTTCTTTTTCTTCTTGACGATAATGGAGCTGACTATGTAACAGGGGAGGAGTACGGGGGATTGTTGAACTTACCGTGCTGAAAGCGATCGAGGATCGGATAGGTGTCCCTCTCCAGCGATTTTTCGATCTAGTAGTTGGAACGAGGTAAGCCATTATGCCATCCATTACCTACCTGATAGCTTTGGGATGCTAAGGCAATTATAGTACCGGTGGGATTATCTCGCTAGGCTTTGGCCATAGACAATGGTCCATCGAGGAATGCATCGAGAAGTTCCAAACCCTTGTCTTCGACGCGTTCAAGCCGCGCAGGGCACAGAAATACTCCGGCATCAAGCATATAGAGATGCTCATCAAGAAGAGCAGATACGAGACTAAGCCACTAATACAAGCTCTCCAAGGCGCGTTGGGTACCGGCAGGCTATTCGGCTCCTACGAGGCCCCCGAAAATCGACCGTTGAAAGTCGCCGTCATCGCAACGTCCGAGGCTGGGACTAAGCCATACGTACTATCCAACTACAACGTTCGGAGGGGTGTACCAAGTCCGACTAGACATGGACCTACGTTGGAATATACTAGATTCCGGCCTTCGAACCCAGAAGATGAGCTACAAATCTGGGAAGCGTAAGTGTCCTCACGAAAGAAAAAAAAAAGGGGCCAGGAATGGTTGACACACCTACCTACCCAGGCACCTAGTTCTAACATAACATACAGGGGCCAAGCAACATCCGCGGCGCCGGGCTACTTCAAGCCCTTCAGCAGCACGAACTCGCAGTTCATGGACGGCGCCCTGCTGCACAACAACCCGATCGAGATCGCCGCCGAGGAGGCGCGCAGCATCGCGCTCGGCCGCAACCTCAGCCCGACGCCCGACATCGTGCTCTCGCTCGGCACGGGCCTGCAGAACAAGTACCGGCACCAGGGCGACGACAACAACATCTCCTCGCGCACCCTCAAGGTCGTCGGCAAGGTGCGCCCCGCGCAGCTCAAGGTCCCCTTCTTCAAGATCCTCTTCACCCTCGTCAAGAACCAGATCGAGCAGAACCTCGACGCCGAGCGCCGCTGGGACATGTGGTACCAGCAGGCGGCCGAAGGTAGCAGCGGCAGCGGCAGCGGCAGCCTCGCCGACCGCGCGTACCGCGTCAACCCGGACCTCGGCATGGCGCCCCCGCTCATGGACGACGCGAGCAAGGTCACGTTCATGCTGCAGACGGTGACGGGGTGGGCCGAGACGAACGCGGCGGCGAAGCAGGACATCACGCGCATCGCGTGCGCGCTCGTCGCGAGCTCCTTCTACTTCGAGCGCAGGGGCGGGGGCGGGCCCGGCAAGAAGCGCGCGTCGCCGCTGAGCCTGAGCGGCGTCGTCAGGTGCCGCCTGTCCCGCGCCGACGAGATCCAGGCGCTGGGGAGGTTCCTGGGCTCGGGGGCGCAGCAGCCGGCTGCGCTCGTCGTGCTGGCGAGCGCGGACGGCGCGGGCCAGACCGTGCACATCCCGGTGCGGGAGATGGTCGAGGAGGGCGCGTTTGCGGGCGTCGACGTGGAGGTTGCGGTGCCGCACGCGGAGGCACTCACTCGCATTTCGCTGGTGCTCCCCGGGATTGTGCAGGGACGGCAGGTGTTCGACATCAGCGGGTTTCCGCGGAAGCTGATGAAGTGTGATTTTGCGCAGGCGGCACATCTGACCTAGGGGGAACATATATCCAGTACGCACCCAGGTAGGTAGCTAGGTAGGTAGAAGGCGGGTTTACATCGTTGGATATTATGAGGTACACACACACACACACAGCATGCTGGCATGGTAACATTTGCGGAATGACTTTATGAAGGCACGTCATTTTCATTTGGGAATAGGGGGAAAGGCACATGTGTTCGGCATCGAGGTATATAGTTGGGAAGACGTGCATTTTTACTCTTGTGTTGTGGCACTAAATGTGCTTCATCCTTTAATATACCTAGATAAAGTATACAAGTAATGACATACCCGTTTCTTGAGTTCCAAGGTTGTGAATCATCTTAGGTAGGTTTGCAATCAAAATGCCAACAACACACGAAACCGTTCCTCCTATTCATATAAGACAATACAGATCTCGGGCCAGGGGGTTTCCCCTATACCTATGGATACGAGAAGAAAACTCGCTTCAAACGACCTAGAGTAAATACTGGATACCTACCTAACTAGGCAGAGCAAAGTCTACCCACTAGCTTAAGTACTGCATTGAAAGCCACCCGTCCATAATTCAATGCCCCGAATGTTCATGTTCTAGCACCCCGGCTGTGTACAATACCATCCTACGAACCTCCGCAACTAGAGGTAGGTACCTAGGGGCCTGATAATAGACGTCACAAGTTTGAGTAGTAGTGTACATTCTAAGTAAGCTTTCGTTACCCCTACGTACCTAATCATTGAACACCAGCTTTCTTGACAACAGGTTTTCGTCCAGAAGCCACCTCCCTCCCAACCACGTGTTCATCAGCCACTGACGGTCATCAAGCATAAAAAAACCAAAAAAAAACAACAAGCAATTCCATCATACCTCCTCCACCGCCACGCTCTCATACCCACCCCTCCTGCGCCCACTGCCACCGGAAAGACCGAAACTCATAGCGGCAGGGCTCTCGTATATATCGGTGTAGTTGATCTTCTCGCCGCCGAGGATCGCGTCGCCCGTCTCCCTGCGTCCAAATATAGGCGCTGGGTCGCACCAGAAATCGCGGCAGTTTTGCACCAGGCCCTTGTTGTACGGGTTTCGTTTCTTTTGTGTCTTCTTGCCGGTGGCGGCGCTGCGGCCCGTAGCCGTCTCGATAAACGTATCTACGCCTAGTAGCTGACCCCATTGTTTTAAGAAGCCCTTCTTGTGTTGGTGCCCCCCCTTTCTGGTGCCTAGCGGGTCCGCAGCAGCAGACGCAGGCGCGGCATCGGGGTGGTTGGGATCCAGAGGCGCTCCAGTACTAGTGAATGCTGATCCGAGAGAAGAGGCCGAACCGTCCTGGATACCATACATGTTTTCGTAAGTTGTCATGGCACGTGCGACTTGCACAAATTGCACGAAGATAAGCATGCCGACCCACGTAAGCTGCAACGTGGTCCATAAACCTAAAAGCATGGTATATGAGTCGACGTTGAAGACTTTACAGATGGGCTCTGCTAAAAGGAGACAATCATCGTCGTCCGATTTGGGCAATTCGGAAAAGTAGTGATAAAGCAACCAATCGAAGGCAACAATGCCGAAGACTAAGTTGACCAAGTAGAGAAAAAAGTGCCTATGGTTGTTTACGCCAACACAATTGTTGACCCAAGGACAGTGGCTATCTCGTGTTAGTGATTCCAGTAATACGACAAGAGATATGGACTACAACTTACTGGTCATGTTTTGCTACACATCGCTGGCATCGGCGGCAATGCTTGCTCCTTAGAGGGGTTCGAATCATGCAAGTGACGCAAAAGTTGGATTCATCAAACTTCCACAAACTTAACAACTCATCAATCACGGCTTTTTGCTCCGCAATTCCATTGAGCTTTGGAACGTAGCCGGGATCAAAAACCATGCAAGCCGCATAGAAATAGCCCGTGAGACCGTAAAATAGGAGAAACCCAAAATTTAGCAAGGGGTGATCCGAGAAGGTGGCTAAGACAGTTTAGTTTATGTTCTCTAAGTGTATGCCAGCGTACCTAGGAAACTTACCAGGAAGTACAACCGTAATCCAGCGTAAGCCCGCCAGAAAGAGTGACGCCGCGAATATACCAGCTAACCAAGGCTGTGACAGATTAGCATATTATTATCTTCGTGTAACCTAAGACCACATACCGTTTTATGTAAATGTCTCATATCTGGAGGCGCAAATTCGAGCAGTTGATTCGTAATCCACTGAAAACCGAACCCAACCGCCAACGATATTGGCACGGATAAGAGAAGAGGGAGATGACTAAAGATCATCAACTCCATAAACAATAGCGGAATGGGTAGCAGAAACAAGAATTTGTTCATGAACCCTCGCTTATCCTTGAGAAAGAAGGACGCCCCAGGCCACCAAGGTGTAATAGCCTGCGCATCTTCATCATAGCCGCACTCTTTTAAAGCTCTGTGCCATGCATTGAGAGTATTGAGCTCTTTAGCCGTTGTTGCGGGGGTCTTTCCTGTCTCCGTCTTCGCAAAACGGTCAGAACCGTACTCTAGAAGCTTCAATACACATAGCGGCGACCCCTTCACCAACGCCCAGTGCAGCGCCGTAAAACCCTGCTCGTCGGTCGCATGAACACTTGCGCCCCATCGTAAAAAGAGGTCCACGCACTGGGGAAAGCCCTTATATGCCGCCCACATCAGACTGGTGTGTCCATAAGCATCAGCTACGTCGACGGGGATGCCCTGGTGTAATAACAAGACTACCAACAAAACGTTTCCGCTAAAAGTCGAGATATGTAGGGTATTGTAGCCTTGGGCATCGCTTATGAGGGGGTCGGCGCCACGTTGAAGGAGGAGATTCACCGTATAATAATTGGATCGTTGGGCCGCCCATTGTAACGGCGTTGCGACACTCTCACCACCCTTTTTATTGATGTCGGCGCCTTTTTCGATAAGAAATTTAGCCATAGCATACTGATTGTTGATAGCGGCCCACTAGATAAACCTGTTAGCAACATAACCTCCAAGTTATTTGACAAGTTTGATCGGCGCATACATGGAGCGGCGTGATCCCCTCATCATCTGTATATGTGGCGTCGTAGTCGGAGGACTCAAAAAGCTTCTCCATTGCTGCTATATCTCCCACTCTTGCAATTTGCATAATATCGGGCTCGGACGACGTTGTGTCGCCGCCTGGGAGGTTGCCCATCTCCAAATCTTGCGAGTTTAGTTTCGGGGCAGCCGCCGTGCCTTTGGAGGATAATTGTATGGGAGCACCGGCCGTACTCGAGTTCGATATCGAAGCTTGAGACATGATGTCGGTTTCTAGAAATGTAGTTTAAGAATGACAAAGGGAGCTGTGAATTTAAAAGGAAGAGTTCACGGATCCAACGGCAGGATTGGGAGTTGCGGTTAGAGTGATTAGGTATCACGGCTGGCCGCCAATAAGCATCGTTTGGGTGTTGTAAGTGGCTTTTGAAGGAGCCAAGGGTAATGAAGGTATTTAAAAATGAACTTCGTCCCAATCCAAGTCGTTTTTATGCGCAACGCAATTAGATTAAGGAATTAGTGACGCGACGCTCGTCTGAAGTTTGGAATAAAAGAAAAGAGAAATAGGTAAATGTTTTGTTGAAGTTGGTTGTAACAGGCCTCGCCCCCAGATCGTCATTAACGATTGTTCGGGTGTTTCATCAACGAATATGCCCATGGGTTGGTCAGCTACTGGTCAAGCTGGATCCTAATCATCAATTCGGTCAGCATCGAGTTAAACTTCCAGATAACAAAGGTCAACGGTAGAAATTGCGGCTGCGCGCGCGGGTACGTAAAACTTAGAGCTAAGCCACGCTCCCCTTGTTAGTAAGTTGTTACCTTATTAGTAGTTAGGACTTACATAGGACTCTGTACTAGGTACCTAGGGGCTTAGGTAGTAGCACTACTAGGTACTAAGCAGTGAGACTAGCCGCACGATATGAGGTTTTGATTGGCTAGATATTCCCCGGAATCAGGGCTGTCAGAAATCAGGATAGGTACCTACAAGTTGTAACTCACCCGGTACTACGGCACCCAAAGCTAAATTCGATTTTAAGACTTGGCATCGAATGATGACACTGTAACCCAAGGGAATTTTATCTGCACTTCACAAAAGTCTGGGCAGTTGCAACGCACGACATGACATGACTTGTCAACTCGCATCTTAACCATCGCAGCCTCTTCTTTTATTTATCTACCTTGGTATTTATTTACTTCTAAAACTATTCATACTATTTATCTTTTTGTTTTGCCCCCCCTGTCAACTTGTCCTTCTCAAAGGTTGCTAAACAAAACATTTGTCCACAGCGACAAAGCTGCCTTGGGAAAGATGGAGCTCCTCAAACAGCTCCTCGAGTACATCCTCACGCCCTCGACTGAGATTTTCATCATCGGTGCCATCATCGTTCTCGTCCTACCGACTCTCGTCCACTTCTACATTGTTCAGACCACGCCCTACACGTCACTCCCTTCCATTTTGCTAGCAGGCCCCCCCGGTGGTGGAAAGACATCTCTCGTCACCCTCCTCGAGACTGGCGATAACGCCGCTGCTACCCACACCTCGCAGGTCCCGCAGTCCATCGAGCTGACTGTATCCGACGACCATGGCGCCGCCACCTTCCGCGAGGCCGCGCGCATCGACGCCCCCGGCTCCCATCGCAAGTTTCTACTCGTCGACACCCCGGGTCATGGCAAGCTGCGGAACCAACATGCCATGACGCAGATCGCATCCAACACCCTGCGTGGTATCGTTTACGTCATTGACGCTGCGACTCTCGACGACTGTCTGGCTGATGCCGCTGCCTATCTTTACGATATCCTGCTCACACTACAGAAGCGCACGGGCGCTGGGAAATCCGCTAAGGCACCTACCGCTATCAATGTTCTGATTGCCGCAAACAAGTTGGATCTATTCACCGCGTTGCCTGCCTCGCTCGTTAAGAACCACCTCGAAGCGGAGCTCGGCCGGATACGGCAGTCCCGCAGCAAGGGCTTGCTAGACTCGGGCGTTGGCGCCGACGACATCGGGTCTGAGGAGCAGGATGATTGGCTAGGACAGTACGGCTCAGAGAAGTTCTCGTTCAGTCAGATGAAGGAGTTTGATTTTGACGTCGATGTCATTGGTGGCAGTGTCCTCGAGGGCAAGGTGGACAAGTGGTGGGAATGGATATCCGAACGAATTTAACCCACCTGCATGTGGACAGACATGATATTTATGCGTTATAACAATGCCTCCGAACTACTTATATAATTAATGAAACAACGACAGCCCTTCTGTTTTGGATTAGTATCTAAACCACCATACCCTCACGGGCGCATGTTTTGCATTGGAGAGATTCGACATAAATCAGTATGAGAGTTTTTTGAGGTCATTCACTACTATCTAGCACACTGGGCTTGCTTTATTTGCGGATACTAGTGGCACTGATGCTGACGAGCGACTACAATGTTTGTTAATGTGCGACAGCGGGGGATCGCCAAGACACAAAGATCCGAATATTTAACATGCCCCATACCCCACCATAAGCCATCGTTGAATGTCTCGAAGCAGACATCTCATGGTAGCCCATGTAGCATGTGAAAAGTTGATATATAGACGCCAAAGGCCATTTAGATCGCGGCGATTATCAAGATTTCCCAGGCGGCTATGCATGTGGTGTAGAGGGCTTGCAATGTCCTCCAGTGTACAATACCTAGCTAGGTACCCTACTATGGTAGGTACAGTGTCTACGGTACAGTGTCTAGCAATAAGAGAAAAAGAAACCCTATCGAAGACGTTGAGTCTTGAGTCTACCACATGATGCATAACCCTATTCTAGGCCAATCTATCCGCCAACATGATTACCTCGCTTCACGAAATATTTGATACCGATAACTTCGCTTCGTGAAATGTCTAGCACCGATACAGCCTATTCTCACCGTAGCGCCATGTCTATGTATGTCCATGAAAATTATTGTGTCTTCGCTCGTAACAACATAAGCTTGCCGTAAAACGTACCTAGGTAGGTAATCAAGTCTTGACCTGCTTCACCATCCACGTCAACAAGTCGACCTTAGTGACGACGGCAACGGGCTTGCTAAGCGCCTTCGCCTTTCCTTGCTGGCTCGGCTCCGTCACGATGGCCGCGCTGTTCCACTCGAAGAACTTGCTCAGCTGGGCGATCGGCGTGTCGAGCGTGATCTCGACGAACTTGTTCTCGTGCTCTTTTCCGTCGCGCAGGTCCGTGACCACTTCGTCGAGCTTGCTGAAGTCGAACATCACGTCCTTGACTGGGCTTTGCCCCGTGGCGCGCCCGCGCGACAAGTAGCTGAGCAGGTTCCCGAGCGTCACGAGACCGACGAGGCGGCCGCCGGCACCGGCGAGGACGGGCAGCTGGTCGAAGCCCTTGTCGCGCATTGTCTCGATGGCTTCGGAGCACGGGCTGTTGGCGGTTATGGAAATGACAGGCTTCAGCCTGAGCGAGCGAACTGTAGCTCCGGCGTACGGGTCTTCTGGCTTCTGCGTGGATTTGCCGCTTGCGGCTGCTTCCTTTGCTGCTACATCTGCAGGTGGTAGTAGGTCATTTGCTGCTAGCCAGTCGTCGTCCGCAAACTTGGTCAGATAGCTTCTGATGCTGTCGGGGAGAATAACGACCACGATGTCGTTCTTGCCTAGTTGTAGATCCTTCACCGCTTTAAGGGCAGCGCTTAACGCACTCCCCGAACTCCCGCCGACAAGCAGGCCCTCCTCGGCGATGAGTCGACGTGCGAGCTTGAAGGATTCTGTATCGTCCGTCTTATACCATTTATCGACCTTTTCGCGATCGAGAACTTCTGGTATGAAGTCGTATCCAATTCCCTCGACCTTGTACGGTTCATCACGATGCGCGTCGTTGAGTGCCTCAGGTAAAGCCAGGATACTTCCCTCTGGGTCTGCAGCCACAACCTTGATGTCTTTGTTGTGCTTCTTCAATCCCTTTGCTAAGCCTGTGATGGTACCGCCGGTGCCAGCGCCTGCTACGATGCAGGTGATCTTGCCGCCAGTTTGCTCCCATATCTCCTCGGCCGTGCCAAATTCATGAGCTAGCGGGTTGTTCTCGTTTGAATATTGATCCAGGATGTGCGCGTTGGGGATTTCCTTGACTAATCTCCTGGCTACACCGATGTGGCTTTCGGGACTATCCCATGCTGCCTGAGTCGGTGTGCGGATGATGGTGGCGCCCAGAGCCTTCAGAACTGAGACCTTCTCGGCAGACATCTTCTCGGGTAGTGTGATGATAGTCTTGTACCCTTTAATAGCTCCGACCAAGGCAAGACCTATACCTGTGTTGCCACTGGTTGGTTCGATCAACGTATCGCCCGGCTTGATGCGTCCGCTACGCTCGGCTTCCTCGATCATTCGCAACGCAATGCGGTCCTTGACTGAACCGCCGGCATTGAAGAGCTCGGTTTTGGCGTATATTTCGCATTCGATACCGAGAGACTGTGGGATTTTATTCAGACGTACTAGAGGCGTGTTGCCAATTAATTCGGTCGCCGATAAGACCGTCGCCGGGTGAGGCGGTCTATGGGGGATACTGGTAGCCATGGCGGTAGAAGGTATATGCACAGATTTGGTTCAGATAAGTGTTATTTCAAGATAATGAGAATAATTACAACAATATTTGGCAATGTAAAGAGAGAAATTAATTTTCCCTTTCTTCTAAATTAGTCGGTTAGGAAAGGAAACAAAATAGAAAAAAGGAGAAGGTACCCAGGTAGTTATTTAGAGTTTGGGTCGGATGAAAATTGGAAGAGCATCTCACCATGAGACTTCGGCATGAGCAAAGAAACACCCCGCTACAAGCCGACAATAGACGACGAAGGCAAACACGCCTCTATCGATAATAGTGGATGAAGGCATTAAAATCTCGGGCAAAGCCGATCGCCGCTAGTTACATGTTAGGTTCACTTTTTTAATCCTTTTTTCCAATTATAATTCCTCGTTTATCCAGTCTCTCTCATCTTCATATGTACATACTATGTATGTAAGGAATCCTAGGCATGTATCACAACATCCGCCAACGACACGATACCAACTCTTTCGGATTTATTTCAGATATTTGAAAGGCTTCAATATCAGACTCTAGTAGTGGTGACGGATTAGCGTCCAACGGAACTACTCGCTTCGTCGTTGACGAAATATATTGTTATACTTTATCACCACCAAGCCGTTCTGGCTAACCCCTTATTTATGGCTGTCAATGAAAGCGACATAACCATTCACGTTAAGAACCTATTGATTAACCTAACCTAGGTGTATGTAGCCGCAGGGTTACTTAGCTTAACCAACAGCTACGTTAGCTCGTATGAACACTACCTAGTAGCTTTAACCCCTAGCTAGTCCTGGTTGCCCTACCGGCTGCAGGCTGCAGGTCTCTAGGTCTCTAGGTCACTGAATCTAAACTAACTTCTAGGGTCAGCAGTCAAGGGGTCTGGGTAGATGTCAAGTCATACCGAAAGGATAGCAAATCTGGCAATTCCTTTGTCTGCTGTGTTATTGCAACGTACCACTACGTGCTTATTAACTGAATGCTAAATAGGCAGTCAGGCTGCTCCCATAAGAAGAGTGATATAAGCTACTGCGGATTTCTTCCTTCTGCAAAGACGGTGACAAGGCCGTACATACTAGGGTCTAGTACATACATACTAGGCACGAGCCTTTAGATCTAGTCTTGCCGTTGGATCCACCCGCACTGAATTGTCGAAATACACGTATCCCGGTTGCCCCGTGCCGTCTGGAAATTTAACGTCGTACTGGGTGATTAATAAGATGAATGCAAATTTGAGAACCAAAGTCGCCAGAAATCGTCCTGGGCAGGCATGCGTACCAGCCCCCCAGTTCAGAGTCGTGTCTGAGACGTACCCGTAGTGGAATTGGTTCGGGTCCTTTTCGCGAAGGCGGAGGAATCGATACCCGTCGAACTTTTCTGGTTCGGGGAAAAGGTTCGGGTCGTGATGAACGGCGTCAGCGGGAAACTGGAAGATAGTACCAGCCGGTAAGAAGAATCCGTCCTTAAAGGTATGGGACTTCTGCGCGTAGCGCTGAACTGTCACTGATGATGGGGCTTAGGGTCAGTTTGATCTCTTCGGTGCATGATGTCGAGATGTGCTGGAATTAACAAGAATACAAATATTACTTACTGCATCCGACCGGGTTTACCCGTGTGCTCTCCTTCATGAAACTATCTAGCTTTTTCATCTTGGCGACTCGCTGTTGAGTCCATTTGCCACCGGAAGACTTCATTTCAACTATAGCTTCGTTTATCTCCGCCAAAATATCGGTATGATACTCAGGGTGGGCGAGCCAGTCACACAAGATGGATTGCAATGTCCCCGCTGTAGTATGAATAGATGCCAAGGTTAAAAATAGTTGCTGGTTAACGACTGCTTTCAGCGATCTATCCACTTTTCTTTTATTCATGACCCAAAAAATGGTATCGTGGAACTTTTCGAACCCGTTCTCGTCGTGGCTGCTGTTCTGATTGATAGCACGCAGTCTTTCGTCGTATAATGGCTTAATTAACTCCATGGCTTGTTTTCGAATCACCCCAAGCCTTTCTGCTGAGTGGTCCTGCCATCGGGATAACCATCTCCAGTTTGGCGAGTATTTAGCTCGAAGATTCATGGTGCCTTCGACGATGGCAAACGTGGCATCTATCGCGATCTGCTGCCATTTGGGGTTTCGACACAGCGTGGGACCAACGAGGACATACGACATCGTGCGCGAAATAATGGTACAGGTAAGTTCGCCCCCCGGAATGGTCTTCCAACCAGTCCCAGGAATTGTCTCCTTGAGTATTACCTCGGCCTCGTTCCACAGCCCGTTTATGACATGATCTGGAATATCGAATATTAGCCGGTTGGCCGGCTACAACAGACTGCAATAAATCTCACCTAGGTTCTTGTTGATGTCCAATTTGGCCGCGTAAAGAAGAGCATCAGTCTGACGAGGGGCATCGATGTAGCTCAGGAGAAACAGTTTCTCTGAGAAAGATTCAAAACTATACGTCGACCTAGGAGCGCGCTTGACTTCTTCCAAATACTTAGTCGGAAGAACCACTTGATTACCTAACTCTTCGACTGGGTTATGCATCTGGAACGCGACGCCATGCTGGAGGTACTTTTCGTATCCCTTCTGAATTAGTGAGCGAGTCTCTGTTCTGTATCGCTCAGGCCTATCGTCCGTATCGAAACGGACCTCTGGAATGTGCGCTAGAGCCCGCTTCTTCGCAGCTAAGCTGTTGGAATAGAATATAGTATAGAAGACACGGCACAAGACCGCCGTAATGGCAATAGCAATGGCGGACGAATTCAGCATATTGACATACATTTAATTTGGAATCTAACTATACATCCAAATTGACTCAACTATCGAAGCGTTATTGGGCTATTTAAAAGCTCTGTATTACGACACCCCGCCCAATCCCAACACGATCTCAGCCTGAGCAAACATAATCCTCACCTAAGAGCAAACACCTGATCCCCGCCGATGACCAAGCTTAATCCGCCCTCACCTTAGTCTCCCCGAAAGCCGAATCGTGCGATCGGTGCTTACTTGTGATCAACGGCGACGACTAGTTTCTCCCCGGAAATCTCTTTCCGCTGCAACATATCAACCCCTTCTATCATTGCTTCAAAGCTGTTGCCCAAAACTCTCATTGGGTGTCGTTTTAATAAACCCTGGTCTAGAATCTTTTGCACATCCTTATACCATTGGATGCCGAACGCACGCATCTCGGGATCCTCGTCTCGCTCGTAACCTTGGCTTAGCGCAAGCCGGTGGCCCAACAAAAGTGGTCCCATTACAAAGCCGACCTTGATAGATTTGCGCTCGAGAATGTACTCTGGATACATCTCCAAGCAGCAATAACGGCCTCCAGCACGACCCATGGCTTTGTAGCAGAGGTCGACGCTCTTCACATCAGTAAAGGGATCAAGTATGTAGGCAAGAGTGTTTTTGGTATAGGCCTTGATATCTTTAGCGCAGTCTGGAGAATTGTAGTCAAAGACCTCCTCGGCACCAAACTTTTTGGCCAATGCAAAGTTTCGGGGAGAGCAAGTAGCTATGGGTACATGTCCGATGCTTCCACCCAGGGTATTAGCCAGAAGATGTCGCGCTATGATAGAGCTGTAGGAATTACTCACAGTCGCAGCAACTGAATTGCCATGGTTCCCACCGATGAACTACCACCGTGCACAAGCACTGTCCGTGGCTTCGCCGCCGGTTCGTCCACGCTTCCGGGCAAAGCCAGTACCTTGAACAGCGCCATGCCCAATGTCCCCACACCAGTCACTCCCAACCCCACAGCCTGTTCGAACGACAAGTCGGCTGGGATTTTTAGTGTGAACTCGGACTCGGACGGCATGTACTCGGTGAAGGAGCCCGATTCGGGCCGAAGCGGATTCGAGCCGTGAACTGCGCCGCAGACTCTGTCTCCGATCTCGAAATCAGCCACCTCCGAACCCACCGCGACAATCACTCCGGCAAAGTCGCAACCGTCCACCGCCCCAGGACAAGGAAAACGCGTGTGCATCTTGAAATCGCATGGATTAATGGCCACGGCCTTCACCTGGACTAAAACCTCGTTGGATCGGAGTGAAGGGATTGGTGCATTGCGCTCGATACGGAGGCGGTGATCATCGCCCGTTACGACGGCGGTGCGAGATGTCGGCAATGAAACATAATTTGATGTTGGCATACTGTCAAGTATTCGGATCGTGTGATAATCACGTTTCTTGGTAGTAAAAGTTCTCTATTCTCATTTCTCCTTCCTCACTTCTTCACGACCATTTTATATAGCTATACGACACTGCCCCATTTGATCTTCCAACTCCGATCGTTTCCGAGCCCCGTTTCAGTTATTGCTTTATAGAGCCGAAACAACAGGCATAAATCTCTTACCTCTATTCTTACGCCAGCTAGCATAGTCATCCATTCCTATCCTTCTCTGGCTCTGACCTCGTCCTCGACTCCGCATAGTCTTTTTTTATATCCGCTACAATGTTGATTCGTGCCATATCTCTTTCTGGTCTACTGGCTACCGCACTGGCCGCCGGCGATGGCTGGCCGGAACCTTGGCCATCTCACTGGCGGGAGCCGAGTAGCGAACTCTTTCCTGGTCAACAGGTCCCCTTAACAGCCGAGAACACTGACCCCGATGGAGGCTGCCGGATCAGTAACATCACCGCAAACGAGATGGTGAAAGGTAGGAAAATTGTCGACTTCACCACCAATGCCATGGGTAGCCTTGAAGAGCCAAAAATAAAGCCACTCAATTCTTCCGGTGGGGAGCAGTGGGAGTTTGATGGAATATCCGAGGATGGCATGCAGTCTTTCATCTTCGGCTTCTACCGAGATCCTAACTACGCCATCTTGGGAACTGGAAATCTTCGTCTATCCATCGAGTTTGGGTTTGCAGATCGTACGCGTTTCTCCGAGGTGTATTACGCGGAGCGGTCTGTGGTCGAGACGTGCTCGATAGGAACTCGTGGCCTGTGGATAGACAAGAAGAACGGCTGGCAGTTCTCGTTCCTGGTCAACGCCGCTATGTCGGAAGCCATTGTAACTCTGGACTCGGACACTGTCAAAGGCAAGGCTACTATCAACTCTCGCTCGCAGCCCCTTACCGCACAAGGGAGCGTTTGGCCGAACGAGAACGATTCTACGGTGACAATCCCATATTATCACTGGTCGCAGCCCATCCCAGCTGGAACGGTGGACACCAACGTAGAAGTGAAGGGCAAGCCCGTTCAATGGAAAGGCATGGGGGGACACGAGCGGTTCTGGTCCGCGTTCAGGTCAGTTCCATACGATATTTTTATCCCGCGTGTCAGCTCAGCTCACTAATATAATTCTTCAAATCATAGCTGGTTTACCACATTGAGAACTCTCCAAGCCGTACGCGCCATGCTAGGTCCTTATGTGCTTAGCTATTTCTCCTTTACCTCCAATCTCGTCCCGGATCTCACACACCAATCCGTCGTCCTTTTCCAGGACGGGATCCCCATATTCCAAAGCAGGCTCGGAACGGCCTCCGACACGGAAGACTATGCCCTCGTCACTAAAACGTACGGCGGCGCTGTCACGGGTACCCTGAAAGACAAGGTTACCGGCTTCCAGCTGGAGCTCGTGTCGCCAAGCAAGATGCGCCACTACACCTTCTTCGCCGAGCACCTCAACGTCGGCTTCGAATACATCCTCGGCGAGGGTGTTGGTGGTAGCGGCTTTTCTGCCCAGTCAAGGGGTGGTCATGTTGGGCTCGACCAGTACGATGGGGTCGCGCTCACTGAGGCGCTGACGTTCCCTAAGAATTCACCCCTATTCAGGAGCAACTATGTAGACTAAACTAGGTTAAGCCAATCGCTCTCTTTGGGAGTTATTGAAAACAGCGAAAAGAATTTGGCGCTGGAGTATATTCATCTAGTACGGGATATGCAGGTAGCGGAATTGGTGGCATCATTGAGGTCATTATACGCTTTATCCCTATTGCCATGCATCAATGCATAACGTTCATAAGGTCGCAATGTTCATGTTCTATTCTTGTCCTAAATGAGTGACTCAATGAGCATTTTCTGCCATGTGCGCCTATCTTGGATTGGTGAAGATCGGTGAATACCTCGGTAGTAAAGTCTGTTCTTGACTTCCCTCGGGAATTTTCTACGTGGATCTTTATGGATTTAAGAAAAGGGCTAACGGCCGCGAAAGTCGCTGTGATGCCACTTTTAATGGATATTGCTGATGCATCGTAGCTGAGGCCCATACCCCTGGTCGCCGAATCCGAACCACGCCGACTCCGAATGACACCGAATCGGTCGTTCAGGGGTCCCCGATTTCAACGCCCTTCACACTTCATTACAAGCAACTATATTCTACCTTACCTACTGTCCATCTAACTCATACGATATTAATGCACAAAGACTGTAGTTTCATAATGCATGTCAGCGGCTTATCTACCTGTAATACGAACTCCACTGTTTTGTCTCGTTCGGCAGTGCTTCGTATGGGGTTTATGTATAAGCTCCTACCTCCGGACGTGGGGCTTACATACGCCCAAGGATAGCCTGTGATGATCATCTTTGTGGTTGCATCTATGCTTGAAGGATATCAGATCAGGATATAGTCAGGCCCGGGGAGAGTTACGGCACGCAGATCATCGATCGCTGACTCTATCCCATGCATCGACCCCTTGACGTCGTCGCTCAAGGCACCTTTGTAAGCCTTCGGATTCGGCGCCAGGTCATCGATCCACCATCTGTATTAGGCAAAAATCTGCGTTTTGCGGTTAGAATGTCCAATGAATTTGCCAGTAGAGAGTTTCTAGTAGACGTATATTACATTCAATTTTCAGTACGAGTGTTGGGGATGTACGAAATCTGGGCTAAAGCTGTAGCTATCTATCCGCAGGGGATCTTTCCGCGAATAGACCTTTTGTTACCACCACATTCAAAGCTATCTACGACAGGATGTTTTCGAGCATCCAGACGAATATTATCGAGCCTTACCTGGTCATGCGGCAGAGCTTGGCGCCTCTGAAGCTGACTAGATGGCAGCTCACGAAGATCATGGTCCGCACTGCGCTTGATGGACTTCCGCCCATCAGCTTCTTTCTCCTGACAGCGCTGGTAATTTTCTTGACTGTAGTCTATCGAAAATCCAAAAAGAACACACGTGTAAAGGCAATTCCTGGGCTTGCCGTAGTTAAGAGAAACCATGCACATTTCCTCGACATAATCAGGGAGGGCCGGGAGCTGGTACGTGCAATCTAGCATCAGTGCCCTTCTGCCTTACCGAGAAGACATCGTTGGCTTGTAGTAGTATCTAACAGAAATCATAGTACCCAGGTCAACCCTTCATGGCCGTCAACAAGCGGCATAGTCTTGTCGTGTTCCCGCCTTCATGCTTTAACGAGATCAAGCGTCTCCCGGAAAACACCGCGTCTGCAAAGGCATTCTTCAACACTACCAACTATGGCCACTGGAGTCACGTCGGCGAGGAATCGCCAGAACTCGTCAAATCAGTTATTGCGGACCTAACCCGTTCGCTGCCGGCACGAATTATCACTCGTCAAGATGAGTGCCGGGATGTGTTTGACGAGGTGCTTGGGCGCCGACGAGACTGGAAGGAGTTCCCTCTGTTGTTGACTGCGTTCGAAATCATCACCCAGATAAACGCTTGCTCTTTCGTCGGACGGAAACTGGGCACTAACAAAAGCTGGGTCAAGTCAGTGATGATGTTGCCCATCTTCATTCACGTCGGGGTCATGCTGTTAGACGCCTGCCCCCTTGTGCTCCGGCCATTCATCGCCCCAATTTACTTTTTACCCAGTATCAAGAACCGATGGGACCTAACGCGCATGCTTACTCCCGTCCTGAAAGAGGACGTCAAAGAATACCAAGAAGCAAAAGACAAGAAGGAGGTCTTGCGACCACGCCCAGAGGGAAAGGTTCCTTTCACTGGGTTTCTCCTTTCCCACTACAAGTCTGCCGAAGCATCCCTGAAGCAACTGGTCTCGGACTATATCCACCTCAGCTTCGACTCGACCCCCAACACGGCAGCGGTGCTGTTCCATGTTCTCTGCGAGTTGGCCGCCCATCCGGAAGCTGTCGAGGTTCTGCGCCAGGAACTCGATGAGGTCTCCGTTGACGGGAAACTCCCTGGAACTCATCTCCAAGAGCTGAGGAAAATGGACAGTTTCTTGCGTGAGACCTTCCGGCTGCACCCTTTCGGCATCTGTACGTCTCTCTTCCCCCCTCTTCCTTTCTATATGTCCACCTAGTTGCGATAACCGTCAACCCATGAGCACCAAACCCCTTTCACTTCGTCTCTAACTTCTGCCCAAAAATAGTCACCCTCCAACGCCGCATCATGCAACCCGTGCAGCTCTCCCTCGGGCCCACCCTGCCCCCCGGGACCCTCATCGCCGTCGACGGACAAGCGATCGACCGGTCCCCCGAGCTGTGGCCGAACCCGGACACCTTCGACATGTACCGCTTCTACGAGCTGCGGCGCAAGCCCGGCAACGAGAACCGCTTCCACTTCCTCACCACCGGCGCGGACTCCCCCGGCTGGGGCGACGGCACCCAGGCGTGTCCGGGGCGGTTCTTCGCGACGAATACGCTGAAGATCGCGCTCGCGCACTTCTTGAGGAATTATGATGTCGAGATCAAGCAGGAGTGCTTGCCGTTGAGGAATGTGCCCATGGCGAGTGGTTTCTGGTCGCCCGATGATAAGGCGGTTGCGAGGGTGAGGGCGAGGTATTAGAGACTGGGTACCTACCTAGACTTATGGGGGAAAACAGCTACAGTAAAAGAAGTAGGTAGCTGGGTTCAGTTGCGGGTGGTGATCATGATGGGCTATTACATGTGTATTTATCTAGGGGTGAGGAATTGTACAATCATTAGGTAGTTTTAAGTGAAGGTATGGGATTGGTCCAGGCTAAGAGAACCCAAGAAGTATCTAATAACACCTGTCACTTTTGTTTTATAACCTTTTTTACTCGCATATGGGCTGTGGTTGGCTGGGAACAATGTCTGGTATTCACGATTAAACATTTCTTAGTTTACCACTGGTTGTTATTTAATATAAATTCCAGCTCCATTCATAGGTACCTAGTACTAGGTAGGTTGACCTAACACCCGCTGATGTCTCTGAAGCTCTTCTGGCTGTTACTAGATACTTAGGTATATTCCAGCTGGGCTAGTTTTATGCCCAGTTAGTTTACAATTTAGGTGTAGCCTGGCCATCTTACGCCTAGAAGCCTAGATATTGTTGAAGCGGACTTGAAGATAGGTAGTCCAAAATCATGTCTCTTAAACACTTATATTACCCCCTATTCAGCTTCTAAAGGAGTAATCTCCTCGAATGAGAATCAGTACTAGGCCAATCCAATTGTGTCAAGTCTTCCCAAGGCTGCCTGATGTTTCCCAGAGTGCCCAGTACTGAGAAGGTGGCTTAAACGTTGATGAATCGGTGAGTACCTGTTGCAGGTGCCTCAGGCACCATAGGCTCCACTAGAGCCATATGGCCCATATGACCATATTGGCACTCCGCCACTGTAGTTAGGAATCAAGCAAGCTTTCTTCCTTTCCTCTTCTACTTGGTTGCAGTAGAACTGCAACAGTACCCGAACATTGAAGTTTACCTATCGAGTAGGTACTTACGACATGATAATAGGTCACGTGATACCCCTTTTCCTCACCTAGGTTAGCTGTTGCGAACATATATAGACATGTGCCTTGGAAGATATATTATCTTATCCCTACTCATATAGAGGTCGAGTACTACTATCTAATAGCCATGCCAATTGGCTATCCTGAGTCACTCAAAGTACGCTTAAGAGGTAGGTTCTTCAAGTGAAAATCATCAATGATATAATGTGGCAGAGTCTGGTGGAGTTGTGAGAAATGTGGCAGTTAAGTGACTTCCAAAGCTAGGCTAAATCTGGTATAGCGGCTTGGCATAGCGTTTGCCAATTCCCCTTTCTTTCTCATCATCGCAATTATCAGCATACCTACCTACATACATACCTAGGTACCCAAGATATTGCCATAACATTTATCGGAATCGCGATCGTTGAATTTCATTGATTGTTCTCAGAGCCTAGTTTCGGCCGAAGTGAAGCTAAATCTGGCATGAGAATGGGGACATATGTGGTACCGTGGCGTACCATCGGCGTACTGCACAGCTTTGTCAGCCCTGTCCAGATCTCACCCCGAGAACCTATTGACTCCCACCCTTGGCAAATGACTGCGGACGGTTGCTCGCCACAGTTTCGGAGTACGTCTGAAATGGTCTCCGGACGGGTCTCCGATCGAAAATGAATAAGACAGCAACCAGTCTAGACAATGGCTCCACCACAGCCGATTGCGATGATTATCCAATATCCTTACCTAGAGCTCGGAGATGGGCGCCTGGGATGTGTAAGGATTTTGGGTTGGATTCCCTAGCGCACCTGAGATGCATGGTGTGGGCGATCGCATATCTCGGGCTGAGTCGTGTATTACGTTCGCCTAGGTTAATTTATCGCGCCAGGTACTCTGATTCGATGCCTTTTAAGTAGTTGACCCGAGTATAGAAACATTTGAACGATTGAAACGACATCGTAATTCCCCAGTGTTGCTGCTTCTTTACTGGACCACATTTTATATTTCTGAGATACCCCCTTTCTGTACCTAATACCATACCTACCTACCTACCTATACTCACCATGTCGTCGCCTCATGATCCCATCGCCATCATTGGCACGGGGTGTAGATTCCCTGGCCAGTGCAATAACCCATCTAAGCTATGGGATCTCTTGCGGAAGCCTAAGGACCTGCTTAAAGTGATTCCAGATAACCGATTCAGTACAGAAGCTTTCTACCATCCTCAGAACTTCCATCATGGCACGGCCAATGTGCGGCATTCCTATCTCCTGGAAGAGGACCTGCGCAACTTTGACGCACAGTTCTTTGGCATTAACTCTGTTGAAGCCCACTCTGTTGACCCGCAGCAGCGGTTGCTTCTCGAAACAGTATACGAAAGTCTTGAATCCGCCGGCCTCTCAGTGAAAGAGCTGCAAGGCTCTGACACGGCAGTCTACGTAGGTGTCATGAGTGCCGATTTTACTGATATGATTGGACGCGACACCGAGACTTTCCCGACATATTTTGCTACGGGAACAGCAAGGAGTATCCTTAGCAATAGGCTGTCTTACTTCTTTGACTGGCATGGCCCGTCCATGACCATTGATACAGCTTGTTCTTCATCTCTTATCGGTACGTATGAAAACACCTTATATCGAACCCCCAAATTCTTTGTTTCTGGGAAGTTTGAGGCTAACACATCGGCAGTGAGTATACTAATCAGTTGTCTATCTTGTCTCACGACTTGGGAACTGCTAGGCGTGTTCTACAGTTATATGTATATGGCTCTAATCGCATTTGAATTTTAGGCAATGCACCAGGCCGTGCAGACTCTCCGTGGAGGAGAGTCATCCGTTGCAGTTGTAAGTGACTATTTTTAGGAGAATCCGCTGCGGCATTCTCTTAAGATAGATTTGGCGCCAATGTTACTAACTGTATTTATAGGTAGCCGGATCCAACCTGATCTTGGGCCCGGAGCAATACATCGCCGAGAGCAAACTACAGATGCTTTCGCCTACAGGCCGAAGTCGTATGTGGGATGCCGATGCGGACGGCTATGCTCGAGGTGAAGGCGTTGCAGCCATCGTTCTCAAGAAGCTTAGCCAGGCTATCGCAGACGGCGATCACATCGAGTGTGTTGTTCGCGAGACTGGTCTGAACCAAGACGGCAGAACTCCTGGTATCACTATGCCAAGTTCTTCCGCCCAAGCGGCGTTAATCCGCGCAACATATGCCAAGGCTGGGTTGGACGTCAGCAAACGCGCCGATCGTCCTCAGTTCTTTGAGGCACATGGCACAGGTAATGCAATTCAACGTTCCCTCTAGAGCCGCAGAACGTATTAGCTGATCTCAAAAGGTACCCCTGCTGGTGATCCTGTGGAAGCGAAGGCCATCACCGACGCCTTTTTCGGCCCGGAATCCCATTTTAAACCCAAAAATTCTGACGATACCTTGTTCGTCGGATCTATCAAGACTGTTATCGGCCACACAGAAGGGACAGCAGGTCTGGCGGCCGTAATAAAGGCATCATTGGCACTCCAAGCGGGTGTCGTCCCTCCAAACATGTTACTAAACAAGCTGAATCCTAAAATCGAGCCTTTTTACGGAAATGTGCAAATTCTATCCGCGGCACAGCAATGGCCCAAGGTTGCAGAGGGCGGCGTACGAAGAGCGAGCGTGAATAGCTTTGGCTTCGGAGGCGCCAACTGCCATGCCATTCTCGAAAGCTACGAGCCCAGCCTGAGATCCCAGCATCAGCCATTTAAGAGGACTGAAACATGTTTTACGCCGTTCATTTTCTCGTCAGCCTCCGAAAGTACGCTTTCGGCTGAGCTGGAGAAGTACCGAGAATATCTTTCCGGAAGCGCGACTGTCAGGCTCGAAGATTTATCCTGGACACTTAGCAATCGCCGGTCTACGTTACCTTGGCGGGCAGTTGTACCGGCTACTAGTAATGTGGAGGACCTTATTCAAAAGCTCGAGGATTGCGTCGAATTCACGAATGAGTCCTCATCAGCCAAGACAAGAGGCTCGAAACCTCGTATTCTCGGCATCTTTACCGGTCAGGGGGCTCAGTGGCCACGGATGGGAGCTGAGTTGATCGAGAAATCACCTGCAGCAGGCAAAATCCTTGCCCGTCTGGACAAGAGTCTCCAGTCACTCCCCATTCGGGATCGGCCGACATGGTCGCTACGGGAGCAACTCCTCGCCAGTGCCGACTCGTCATCGGTAGGCATAGCTTCCATATCTCAGCCTGTCTGCACAGCTGTGCAGGTCATGCTCGTCGACATGCTGAGAGCGGCTGGCATCGAGTTCTCGGGAGTAGTAGGGCACTCATCTGGTGAGATTGGCGCTGCGTATGTGGCCGGCTATATTTCCGCTGAGGATGCCATCCGCATAGCATATTATCGCGGTCTCCACATGAAGGCCATCACTCAGAAAGGAGCTATGCTTGCTGTTGGAACTTCATATGAAGACGCCAAAGAGCTGTGTGACCTTCCAGCGTTTGAGGGCCGCGTATGCGTCGCGGCGAGTAATTCTCCAGCCAGTGTGACGTTGTCTGGCGATGCTGATGCGATTGACGAAATCAAGACAGTACTAGACGAGGAGAAGAAGTTCACTCGGCACCTCAAGGTAGACCGAGCCTATCACTCACATCATATGACGGCCTGTTCGAGGGCCTACGTAGCGTCTTTGCAGCATTGCGGCATACGACAGCTACCTCAGACAGCTGCTAGAAATTGCCGATGGATATCTAGCGTTTTCACTCGTGATATCACGGATATTGCTGCAACAGACAGTCTTGAGGGCGAGTATTGGGCCAGCAATCTAACCATGCCAGTCATGTTTACCGAGGCGTTACAAATGCTTCTTGGCGAAGATCAAGACGGAGAGGTCTACGACCTGGCCATTGAAGTTGGGCCGCATCCAGCGCTTAAGGGGCCAGCGCTACAGACGATCAATGAATGCCTTGGCGGACAGTCCATCCCATACACAGGCGTGCTATCACGTGGCAAGGACGATATAGAGTCATTCTCACAAGGTCTTGGGTATATATGGCGTACCTGGGGGCCAGGGGCTGTAGACTTCACTGCCTACGGTCGCTTTATGAATGACGAACAGGGAGAACCAAGGAATATTCCCTTAAAGGGTCTCCCGACTTACCCCTGGGATCACAACAGAAAGTTCTGGCACGAGTCGCGCCTCTCCCGTGCATTCAAAACTAACAAGGACCCTCCCAACGAGATCCTTGGGCGTCAGATTCTTGACGGTGCTCCTGATCAACTTCGTTGGCGCAATGTCCTCAAGCGTAACGAGCTTGCTTGGCTAGACGGCCACCAGGTTCAGCGACAGACCGTTTTCCCTTGCGCGGGATACGTTTCCGCCTGTGTGGAAGCCTCTATGAACATTCGCAGGGATGCTAATGTCCAATCCATCGAGCTCCAGAATTTCGTGGTAGGTCAGGCTATTGCCTTTAACGATGATGACTCTGGTATCGAGACTTTGGTCGTATTAGACAGTATCAAGGAACTCGAAGAAAAAGGCAGCAGCATAGTATCAGCGAAGTTCGCATTATATTCATCATCGAATAATGAGGTTCTGGACATGACAACCCACGCCAACTGTGATGTCCGAGTCACGTATGGCGACAGTAGCCCGGATCTTCTCCCACCCAAGTCTCAAGAGAATGACGAATATTCCATGCTAGATGTCGAGGAGGATCGCTTTTACAATGTTCTCGACCAGCTTGGACTTGGATATACTGGCCCTTTCCGAGCGCTCTCAGACCTGAAGCGCAAATTGGGCAAGGCTACGGGGCACATCCAAAATCCGGAACGCAGCGAACTTTGGCGAAATCCTCTCCTCGTTCACCCGGGAACGTTAGATGCGGGCATCCAGTCCATTATGCTGGCTTACTGCTACCCGGGTGACACCATGATGCGCTCCATATATCTTCCCACCGGTATCCGCCGACTCATCATCAACCCAGCGCACTGTCGAACCTTTGCCGGTAAGGAGACAAAGGTTCTATTTGACTCAGCAGCATCGGTAGACACTTCAACCGGCCTATCAGGGGACGTGAGCATTTATTCGCCTGAGGGCTTCGCTTATAAGGCAATCCAACTTGAGGGACTCCAGACGCAGCCTCTCTTCAATCCGACCGAGGCGAACGATCTCAACATTTTCACCGAACTGGTATGGGACATCGATCGACCCGACTCCAAGGAAATCGTCGGCAAAGTCGATGTTCAGGAGCTCAATGCGGACCTGCTATTTTCTCTTGAGCGGACCGCTTACTTCTACCTGCGAACATTGGATGAGGCGATTCCGCGCAGTCAGCGTACCAACCTTGAATGGCACTTTGGTCGCCTTTTTGCTTATGTGGATCATGTTCTCTCTAGAGTGAAGCGCGGGGAGAATCGCTTCGCTAAGCAAGAGTGGCAGCGTGATACCAAGGATATTATACTCGATATCTTTGAGCGATACCCTGATAACATTGACCTGAAGCTCATGCGCGCTGTGGGTGAAAACATAGCCGCCGTCGTCCGTGGGGAGATTACCATGCTGGAGCCTATGCTCCAGGACAACATGCTCAACGACTTCTATGTCGTCGCACATGGCATGCCTCGCTACACTACATACCTGGCCTCTTTAGCCAGCCAAATCGGGCACAGGTACCCTCACATGCACGTCCTCGAGATTGGTGCTGGTACGGGCGGTGCCACCAAATCGTTCCTTGGAGCACTTGGCGATATGTTCTCCACTTACACATTCACCGACATCTCTGGCGGCTTTTTCGAGAAGGCAAAGTCCGTGTTCGCAGCGCACAGTTCGAAGATGAACTTCAAGGTGCTTGACATCGAGAAGGATATCGAAGATCAGGGGTTCACGGAGGGCTCCTACGATGTCATCATCGCGTCCTTGGTCCTCCACGCTACGCGCGACTTGGGACAGACTCTTCGTAATGTCCGCCGCCTCCTCAAGCCCGGTGGCTACCTGCTGCTTCTCGAGATCACGGAGAATGATCAGATGAGATTTGGTCTGCTCTTTGGTGGTCTCCAAGGTTGGTGGCTCGGCTATGACGATGGGCGAGCCCTGTCCCCTTGCATTGGCATTGAGGAGTGGTCGACATACCTGAAGCAGACCGGCTTCTCGGGGATTGACTCGGCAATGCCGCATGATGATAAATTACCAGTTCCTCTCTCCGTCATCGTGTCTCAGGCAGTAGATGAACGGGTTGAGCTCCTGAAGCAGCCTTTACAGCAGCGAGAAACTAATACACCCGTAGTTCCACAGTTGACAATAATCGGCGGAGGGGCACTGGCCAAAGATGTCGATCAAATTCTAGGCACGTTCTGTGGCAGCATCAACTTTATTGAGTCTCTGAACCACCTAAGGCCCGACGATCTTCCTGTCGGAGGCGCCGTACTCTGTCTTAGCGATATAGAGGAGCCGGTCTTCAAGTCCATGGACGCAGAAAAGCTGAGCGGATTCCAAACAGTTTTCAAGCAATCCAGCAGCGTTCTCTGGATTACTCGGGGTGTTCGCGATGGAGACCCATTCTCCAGGATGGTTATCGGATTCGGCAGGACTATTGTACTAGAGATGTTGCATCTGCGTTTACAATTTCTGGACCTCGACACTAATGCACCTCCTGATCCTACCGCTATTGCCGAGTCCCTGTTACGCTTTCACATGGCAGAAAGCTGGGAGAATGATGGCACGGAAAATACACCATTGCTGAACTCCGTCGAACCCGAGATGTACCTCGATAAAGAAGGTAGGTTTTTTATTCCTCGGTTCAAGTTGAATAAGAGTCAAAATGATCGGTACAACTCGGGTCGTCGCGATATCACCAAGCAGATCGCCTTCCGGGAAACCCCCGTTGAGCTTGTCTCGCCCAAGACGCATGACGGATCATGGCGCTTAGTAGAGAGCAAGGCGATGTCTAAACTAAAGGAAGGTGTAGATATAGATGTCTTGTATTCTGTCAGTCGGGCAGTGGAGGTGTTGAGAGGCACCTTCTTATTCCCGGTACTAGGAATAAGGCGAGACACTGCACAGACCGTGCTGGCGCTCTCGCCGAAGCAAGCCTCAATCGTCAGAGTTCCGCAGGCTTTCATCCTCCCTTCGCAGATATCCACAGATTATCTTCAGCTGTTCTACACTGAGCTTCTTGCCCGTGCTTCCCTTCGAGACGTCTCGGCAGGTACAGTTGTCATTGCATTGTATCCGACTAGCATACTTGGCAACGCAGTGGAGCGCATTACTACAGACAAAGGAGCAAGAGTCCTTCATCTCGCGGCCGAGCCTGGCACGGAATGGGACTACATTCATCACAAGGCTACAAGAACGGAGATACAGAACTGGGTTACTTTAAAGATCGGAAACACTCCTCCATCCGCCGTGTTGATTCTAGATTTCGGTGCGGAGAAGTCCCTCTCCGCAGGCCTCCTGGAATGCCTGCCTGCAGAGATTACTCAGGTGAAACTCGGTACCCTGCTCGCATCACCCATGGCACATATTGCATTGGGTCTTTCAGAACAGGAAATCAGGTCCATCCTCGTCGATGTCAAATACTCTCTATTGGCAGCGCAGCAAGCACACGATTCTAGCCAAGCGCGCCAGGACTTGGAACTTGTTACCCTACAGGATTTGACTACCAAGAACATTGGCAACGTTGCTTGCGTGGTCTCTTGGCCACGCGAGCCTAGCACAGTTCCTGTTCAAGTCGAGCCTATAAACTCCAAGGTCAAGTTCAGTAACGACAAGACATATTGGCTTGTCGGTCTTTCCGGCGGCCTAGGCCTTTCTCTCTGCGAATGGATGGTTAAGCAGGGTGCCCGGTATATCGTTATCACCAGCCGAAACCCCAAGGTTGATAAACGGTGGATGGACAAGATGAAAGGTTTAGGGGTGAAGGTTGAAGTTATAGCCAAGTACGAACTGTTAAGCCTGATCCCACGCTCATTGCTAACCTCGTTATTCTAGCAACATCTGCGATCGAGAGTCTGTCCGGTCCGTCTATTGCCGAATCTGCCAGGAGATGCCTCCTATCGCTGGAGTTGCCCAAGGAGCCATGGTCTTGCACGACACGGCCTTCTCCGAGCTTGATTTGGAACGCATCAACAAAGTCACGCAGCCCAAGGTAAATGGAAGTACTTATCTCGAAGAGATATTCCATAATATACCTCTCGAGTTCTTCGTATTCTTTTCATCTATGGCTTGCGTGACTGGAAATCCAGGCCAGTCGGCCTACGCCGCTGCTAACATGTTCATGTCGGGTCTAGCCACTCAACGCAGGCGTAGAGGCCTCAATGCATCTGTCGTGCATATCGGCGCCATCTTTGGCAACGGCTATGTGACCAGAGAGTTGACTCTAGCGCAGCAAGAGTTCTTGCGAAAGGTCGGAAACATGTGGCTCTCCGAACAGGACTTCCGACAGCTCTTTGCCGAGGCAGTCTTTGCCGGCCGACCTGAAAGCGGCGGCTCTCCGGAGCTTTCCACCGGTATGATGACGATAGACGACAGCGATGATTTCAAGAAGACAATCACATGGTATAGTAATCCGATGTTCCAGCACTGCATCAAGGAAAGCCGCGAGAGCGAACTAGGTAGCCAGAGCGCGAAGGGCCGAGGCGTCCCGGTTAAGACACAGCTCCTGGAAGCAATTAACCCGGCTGAAGTATACGAGATAATTCACGGTAAGAATAACCCTTCTGTCAATTTATTCATCCATATATGGCTACTAATGTACATTGAAGATGCCTTCGCTGCCAAACTACGGTCGAGTTTGCAACTCGAAGAAAACCAGGCTGTAATAGATCAAACAGCAGACACTCTCGGTATCGACTCCCTCTTCGCTGTCGATATCAGGTCATGGTTCATCAAAGAGCTTCAGCTCGAGATCCCCGTCCTCAAGATTCTGGGCGGGGCAACGGTAGGTGACATTCTCGAGACTGCGCAACAGTTGTTACCTAAGGAGTTGACACCGAAGCTGGACCCCAACGACAAGAGCGCAGCGAGGAAGCTGAAGCCACAGGCTGTTAGCACACCAGCCAAGGAAAAGCCGGCGGATAAGCCCAAGGAGAAGATAGTCGAAAAGACCCCGGCAAAGAAACCTGCACCCGGCGAAAAGCCTAGCCCCAGCAGACATATTGCCACGAAGGTAGAATCTCCCGCCAAGAAAGTAGAAGCCGTAACCAAAAAGGCTGGAGCCGTCACACCTCCCTCGGTGCAATGGAAGGGACTTCCTGATGAACCCAGAACACCCGCTAGCGACTCAGATAATAAGTCACTGTCTAGTGACGACGGGATTAAAGTCAGTGCTTCCAGTCTCGATACGAGCTTCACTCAAAAGTCCGTCCCCTCTTCGAGTACAGGATCGGAGATCGACGCGTATGGGGCCCAATCCCATGGCTCGGTGTGGTCTCTGGACACGGTGAATAGCGATGTGGCTGTTAGCAAGAAAATCCCCATCGGATTTAGCCAGTCGCGAATCTGGTTCTTGGAGATGTACCTGAAGGATCCTGCTTCGGCGCTCAACATCACCTTGACCATTGACCTCGACGGCTCTCTAGACGTCCATCGGTTTGAGAGAGCCGTGAAGCTTATTGGCCAACGGCACGAGGCACTGCGAACTCGATTCGTCGCTGGTGATGAAGCCGGTCAGCCCATGCAAGAAGTCCTCGTTGACTCGACTTTAGCCTTGGAAAGACATGATATCGCTAGCGATGCTGAGGCAGAGAAGGTCTATCGCGAGCTACAACAGCACAGATATAAGTTGGCAGAGGGTGAGAATATGAGAATCATTCTTCTCAGGAAATCGTCCAAGTCATTCTGTCTCATTATCGGATACCATCACATCAACATGGATGGCATTAGCTTGGAAGTAGTGCTTCGCGAGCTACAAATGGCGTATGACTCGAAGAGACTCCCGAGCGCTAGCAGTATTCTCCAGTATCCAACTTTCTCCGAGCAGCAGCACCGGGAATTCAAGTCCGGAAAGTGGCGAGATGAAATAGCATTCTGGAGGAACGAGTTTGCCGCTGGCCCGCCATCTATCCTCCCACTCCTGCCCCTAGCTAAGACCCGGTCACGCACTGCGCTCACAGCGTATTCGAGCCACTTTTCGGAATTCCGCCTCGATCAGGAGGTACTCACTCGCATCCAGTCCGCATGTGAGGGATCAAGGGTCACGCCATTACAGTTCCACCTCACTGTCTTCTACACCCTACTGTCCCGACTGGTGGATGTAGAGGATATCTGCATCGGCATCGCCTCTGCCAACCGGCAAGATGCAGCGATGATGCAGAGTGTCGGCATGTACTTGAACCTCCTACCCCTCCTTATCAAGTCCCAGCCCAACGAGACTTTTGCCAGCACTCTGAAGCGCGTGCGCAGCAAGGCCATGGCCGCGTTCGCCCACTCCAAAGTCCCGTTCGATGTCATCGTGAACGAGCTAGGCCTCCCGCGCGCAACTACGCACAGCCCCCTATTCCAGGTCTTCGTCAACTACCGACCGGGCACAACGGAGAGGAGAAACTTCTGCGACTGCAGCAGCGAGGTGACATCGTTTGAGCAAGGAAATGCCGCGTACGACCTCAGCCTGGATATCATCGAGAACCCTGGAGGGGAGTGCCGCGTTATCATGGCCGGCCAGTCGGCACTCTTCGAGCAAGAGGATTTGGACATGTTGAGAGACATGTACCAACGCCTGCTGGTCACGTTTTCTCGAAACCAGGCTCTACGATTGACTACACCGTCACTCTACGACCCAGAAGGGGTGAAAGAAGCGCTGAGGATTGGACGAGGTAGGTTACCTAAGAGCGATTATTACTTCGTTTTCAAGCCACTAACATGTATTTTTAACAGGACCCTCACACACGCACGTGTGGCGAGAGACCTTGGTTCATCGTATTGATGAGATGGTCGAGCGGTACGGCGGCAGCCAAGCTGTTGTAGACGGCTCCGGAAGCTCTCTAACCTACTCTCAACTGGCGAGAAGAGTAAATTCTATTGCCGCTTCGATGCAGGGTATGAAACGTGGAAGCCGGGTCGGTGTCTACCTTGACCCTGGCGCAGACTGGATCTGCTCCCTCCTAGCCATTCTACGCCACGACGCAGTATATGTGCCACTCGACTCTGTTTCTGGGACTTCCCGACTGTCCGCTATCCTCCAGGATAGCAAGCCAGACTTGCTGCTAGTGGATGACTCCACGGAGGCGGATGCAAAGACTCATTTCTCCCCCCTGCTATCTGGTAGCAGGGTTCTCAACATTGACAATGTTTCCACCACCGCCGCTGGCACCTTTGCCAACGCAGCTAAGCGGGATTCAGTCGCCGCGCTCATGTACACCAGTGGTTCTACAGGGGTCCCGAAAGGGATCATAATGAAGCACGCGTCCTTCCGAAACAACATCGAAATCATGTCAGAGAAGCTGGGCTACAGTGAAGGCCGAAGTGTTACCCTACAGCAGAGCTCATACAGTTTCGACATGTCACTTTGCCAAATATTCTTAGCGCTTTCAACTGGCGGGACACTCCGGGTTGTACCGAAAGATCTCCGACTAGACCCCGCGGCCATCTCTTCGATCATTGCAAATGACGCTATCACTAATACGACAGCGACGCCTTCGGAGCTCATCAACTGGATCCGCTACGGCGACATCGAAGACCTACGCAAGTCAAGCTGGACAACTGTCCAAAGCGGCGGTGAGCCAGTCAGGGACAGTCTGAAGGTTGCGTTCCAGAAAGTCAACAAGCCGGAATTAGTCCTACTGGACTGCTATGGTCCGACCGAGATTACGTTCTGCTGTCATAGCAGGAAGGTCGACTACCAAGCAGAAGAGACTAGCTCGGACACGGGACTGGAAGTGCTGCCCAACTACTCCACTTACATTGTAGATGGTAGCATGAAGGCCGTTCCCGCCGGCATGCCAGGTGAGGTACTTATCGGAGGAGCTGGCGTTGTCGCCGGCTACCTGCACACTGAGCTGAACACTCGCGGTTTTGCACATGATAGCTTCGCCTCGCCCGAATTCCATAAGCAAGGCTGGACACAGCTACATAGGACAGGTGACTTCGGACGTATCAGCAAGGCCAATGGGCGCCTATTGCTTGAAGGACGCGTAACGGATGATACGCAGGTTAAGCTCAGGGGGCTTCGGATCGATCTACAGGAGGTTGAGTCTGCCATAATCCAAGCCGCCAAGGGAAGCATCGTCGACTGTGCCGTCTGTGTTCGCCAGTCCGAGACGGCATCAGATGAGTACTTGGTCGCCTTTTCCACCGCTGTTCAAACTTCCAGCAAGGAGCAGCTTGACCAAATCATCCACCAACTTCCACTGCCGCAATACATGCGGCCGGCTGCCCTGGTGCTCTTGGAAAAGATGCCCACTAACGTGTCCGGCAAGATCGACCGATCTGCTCTCAAGTCTATTCCACTCCCCCAGACCGGTGAATCTAATGCACTGGAGCTTCAGCATTCAGGCGATGGGCATCTGAGCGACACTGAGTCGCGTCTTAAGCAAATATGGGAGAACGTTCTATCCAAGGAGATCCTGTCCCAACACCAAATCAGCGCCGCATCCGATTTCTTCCACGTAGGTGGTAGTTCCATGCTGCTCATTAGCCTGCGAGCAAACATACAAGATGCCTTTGACGTGTCCGTCTCGCTCTTCCAGCTCTTCGATGCCAGCACCCTGGGGGGTATGGCTGCTCTGATCGATAGTCTTTCCAATAATAGCGGTGTTGAATCAGCGCAAGTAGAACCGGTCGGTACTCTTGACATTAATTGGGAAGACGAGACCGTCGTCTCCCCAAGTTTGCTAAACATCCCAGTACACAAGGAGTTCTTCACCAACCCAGAAGTCATCATACTCACCGGCGCAACTGGCTTCCTCGGCCAAGCGATGCTTACGCGCCTCTTGAACGATGGCATTGTCAACAAGATCCACTGTCTTGCTGTTCGGCATGATATTCCACTATTCGATTCTCCCAAGGTCGTTGTCCACCGCGGCGATCTAGCGCTACCAGGATTCGGCCTACCCGAGGAGGAACTCGCCGGTGTATTTGCCGAAGCCCACGCCATCATCCACAACGGCACAGACGTATCCTTCGTCAAGTCCTACCACAGCCTCAAGCCCGTCAACGTCGAGGCCACCAAGGAGCTCGTCCGCCTCAGTCTACCCCACCAGCTATCGTTCCACTACATCTCCACCGCCGCCGTCGCAAACCTGACCGGCGAAGACAGCTGGGAGCAGCGGTCCGTCGGCGGCTTCTCGCCTCCCGCCGGAACCGACGGGTACCTAGCGACGAAGTGGGCGTCGGAGCGCTACCTCGAGAAGGTCAACGACCAATGCGAGCTGCCCATCTGGATCCACCGCCCGTCCTCCATCACAGGCCCGCAGGCGCCCGCCAACGACCTCATGGCGAACCTACTGCAGTTCTCGCGCAAGATCGCGGCGGTCCCCGACACGGGCGCGTGGAGCGGCTGGCTCGACTTTATCTCCGTCGAGAAGGCGGCCATGCAGATCGCCGACGAGGTGTACGAGGACTACTCGTGGCCCGGGCACGTCAAGTACCTGTACGAGTCCGGCGAGCAGGTCGTCGCGCTCGAGGACATGAAGGGCGTGCTGGAGCGGGAGATCGGGTCTGCTGTTGAGGTGGTAGAGATGGAGGAGTGGATTGCTAGGGCCGCGCAGCAGGGCCTGAATCCCTTGCTCGCAGAGTATCTGAAGCATGCGGCGGGTGCGACGCTCGTCTTCCCTAGGCTCGTGAGACATGAGAGCTTCTTCTAGGTTACCTACTTGGCTACATAGATACTAGGTTGGTATGGGAGTTGGCTTGGCTTGTTGGCGTCAGGGGGTGGTGATGGGAGATTACCTAGGTACTATGTAATTTGTAAGTTTTTCTTATTTTGTCACATCACGTTGTCCTTACATATCTGGGCACATCCCTAGGTAATGTCAAAAGGGGGGTTTTACTTTGCAGTGTATAACATTTGAACTTTATGATTTTCATAGTCGAGTTTATGAACAAGTCGATGAAACTTGGTTTTCTAAAACATATGGATTTAAGTGATTACATGTATATGTAGGTAGGTGGTGATGATATTCATGCATGTGGTGCCAAGTTGTATGTTGTACATATGTAGTTTATTCAATGATGGATGTTCGATGTTGTTCACAGCCCAGTACAGTGCCGTCCCTCCTCCTTGTATTGTACAATACTATGCAGGTACGTACCCCTATGTACCTACCTAGGTACTCATTCGGCAGATGTCATAATAAGATCGTACAAGTTGAAGTGTCAGCCAATCGGCTTCGATTCTATCTTCAGCTTTCTACTCATTGGGCCAGATCCTTTGACACGTAATTAATTAATTATATGTAGGTACAAATCGTAACCCGTCTCCGAATCCTCCACAGTACCTATGTGCTACCAGATCATACATGTATCCAGCCATGGGTACCTACATATGTACATGTAAGACGTAGGTACCGTTTACTTCACGATTATGTTATGTAAGTCACCATCAGCAAACGCCCATATGTACATCTGCACACCTTCATTATCGTCTCTTTCCTAATCTACTTCTCACTTCTTCCTCTCCCAACTCTTACTCATCCTCGTCCCCCTTCTCCTCTACATGTAAATTCAAGCATACCTACTCTCAACAACTCAGCTGAAGATGGAACCAAGGAAAGATCCCGTTCCCGCGCCCGGAGATTCCATTCCCGCATCGATAGACACTATTCCCGAAACCAGCAGCCCACCCCCGGAGGAAAAGGCAGAGAAGGGTTGGCAGTTTTGGCTTATATTTGTCAGTCTTATTCTCACGGCTTTTCTGAGCGCCTTGGAGGGTTCCGTCGTCTCCACGGCACTGCCGTCTATCGCGCGTGCTTTGGAAGCTTCTGAGAATTACATTTGGGTTGTCAACGTTTACTACCTAACCAAGTATGTGGTCTTCCATCTAATCCGTCTCTTCTCACACTCTAGTTAGTCCGAACAGCATTTGTAACTGTAACTAATCATCTCCTGTTTTCCTTTAGTGCTGCCTTTCAACCAATTTATGGTCAGCTGGCTGATATATGGGGTCGGCGATGGTTGACCATTGGTGCCGTCGCTATTTTTACTGCCGGTAGTGCGATATGCGGCAGTGCGACGTCGACCAACATACTGATCGGCGGCCGAACCATCCAAGGATTGGGCTCAGCTGGTATCAATAGTAAGCAGTGATCAACCATACCATCCCGTCATTAACCCTAAAATCCAAGCACTAACGGTCGGTCGTGGTTATTAGTGCTTGTCGAGTTAATCCTCTGTGACCTGCTGCCTCTACGAGAGCGCGGCCAGTTCTTCGGCATTCTGTTCCTCTTCATCATCCTTGGGTCCGTCATCGGTCCCTTCCTGGGCGGCATTCTGGTCGATCGCGTTTCTTGGAGATGGGTGTTCTACATCAACCTGCCCTTCGGCGGTGTTTGTACGATCCTCTTGTTCTTCGTTCTCCATACCCCACACACCGCGTACGGCAGCTTTCTCAACAAGGCAAAGAGGATCGATTTCTTTGGCAACTTCCTGCTTGCCGCATCGGTAGGCTCCGTCTTATACGCTCTTACGTACGGCGGTACTCGATACCCCTTCTCTAATGCGGGCGTCATCGTGAGCCTGGTTCTGGGTCTCTTAGGTCACGTCGCCTTCCTCATTTTCGAAGCTTCGCCTTGGTGCCGCGAACCTGTCATGCCGATGTCGCTATTCAAGAATAGAACATCTACGGCCGCGTATATCGCGACGTTCCTGCAAACCCTCATCTCTTTCTGGGTCCTCTATTTCCTCCCGCTCTACTTCCAATCGACTCAGTTGGTCTCAGCCACGCGATCCGGCGTCATGCTCCTGCCTTTCTCAGTCATCTATGCGCTCTCAGCCGCGGCAGGGGGTGCGCTGACGACGAAATTAGGACGCTATCGGAATATCCACTTCGTCTCTTTCGCCGTTATGACTATCGGTATGGGAACATTCACAATATTGAACAGAGACACGTCTTTGGCTGTTATAGTGGTATTGGAGGTCATTTTTGCCTTCGCCATCGGCATCCCCACCCCCAACCTCTTGACAGCCATCCAAGCCGCGTTGCCGGATGATTTGAACGCCCTTAGCACGGGCACTTTTGCCTTCGTGAGGAGCGTTGGAACTATCTGGGGCGTCAGTATCCCGGCCGCCATCTTCAACAACCGCTTCGACCAGCTCCTGGGCGAACTATCCGATCCGGCCGCCATAGCGGCGCTAGCGCATGGAGGCGCATACGAATCCGCGTCGAGCGAGTTTGTGAATTCGTTCCCTCCCGCCGTTCGAGACGTAATCATCAGCATCTACGAGCGGAGTCTGAGGCAACTCTGGCAGATTGGGATCGTCTTCGCCGGTGTGGGGTTCTTGACCATTTTCTTGGAGAAGGACTTGGAACTGCGCTCGGAGAAGGAGACGCAGGATATTGGGCTACAGGATCGTCCGAATGCTGCTGGCTATTCCACCTCGCAGGAACCTATAGTTGAGCTGCATGAGTCGAGGCGAGAGGAGCAAGCCGTATAAACATACGGTGCAACGACAAGTTCGACGCTTTAGACTAGAGTATCGAGGTGCATACCTAGGGGGTTAGTAGTCGGGTGCTTTTTACGTACTGGGTAGACTCAGGGGAATATTTGTTTTGATGATGATTTACACACCTCAAGAATTACAGGAAGGATATAAAGGCATGGGTACATAGAATAGAAATTTTGATTAATACGAAGTTTATCATACCACCACGAGCTTCTATGTGGTTGACTGAAGTTTTGCACTTAAAAACGCTCGATGATAACATGATCATATTCTCCATTCTACTTAAATGTGAAACTGTCAACCTTACCTAGGTATATATCAACTCGATCCTAATTGTACCGAAATTCACCAAAATTTACAAGCTCAGCCTAATAATTACCATCGAAAGATCGTTTAAAACAAGGTACATGTATACATTTTCTATTTTTAGTCATGAAGCGCAACCTTCAGTGGCTCCCTCTTGATCCCAAACGCCTTGTCCAGAAACCGATACGTCTTCTGATTAGCCAACGCCAACGCGCCCATCTTCGCCTGCAGGCTGCCCTGGCCCTCGCTCTCCGGCACCCACACCTCCTTATCCTTGGCCGCGACATTGATAAGGCCGTCGTAGCACTTGCGCGTGTGGCTCGCCGCGTCCAGGTACAGCGACTTGCCTGCGCCGGAGAGGAGCACCGGGCACCGGACCCTAGATAAGAAGCTGTCTGTAGCAGTGGTGGAGGAGTCGTCCTTGCCGGTGCTGGTGCTGCTCAGAGTGTACTTCTTCATGTTCAGCAGGATCTGCGACGGCGACGACAGCCCGAAGATGGTCCCCGTCACGGAGATCTCCCACTTCATCTGGAAGGATAAGCGGGAGACGATGGACATGAGCTTGTCGACGAACCCAGAGCTGAGGAGACCGGAGGTCCAGGCGGATATGAAGAGGGGGGAGACGTGCGCGGTGCCGAAGTCCCACATGTCATAGAAGGGATCCTATTATGCTTTTATAAGAGAAAAGTTCATTATCATTTAGGCAGATCGTGTCAAGTCATGGAATCAACTGGTAGGAAATGGGATTGGATGGGAAGAAAATCGTCTCTTCTGACTCAGCCACGAAAGAAAAATGGAACGAAATGAAAAAGAGCAATGCAAAGAAAGAAAGGGGAGGATATCTTACAATAGAAACACAAGCCTTCACTCTGTGATCAGAAGCCGCTCTCAGGGCGTAGTACCCCCCCATAGACGCGCCAGAGACGGCAATGGAGTTCACGTCGAGCTCCAACTCGGGATGCTGCCCGCTATACGTCTCGAGGTAATCGATGACTGAACCTGTGACAGCCTCCCAGTCAGGACGCATCTGTAGCCCGTACTTCCTCAGCATGATGCCCTGTCCAGGGCCATCGAACGTGAGGACCGCATACCCCATGCCCGGCCCCGCGGCCGGGTTGAGATAGTACAGCTCCTCCTGGCAGGAGTCAGCGCCGCCGGTGTTCACCAGGACGGGAATCTTCTCTCGCCCCGGAATCCGCCGGCTAGCCGGCGGCAGATATAGGTACCCGGGCAGGACGTACTCGTTGTAGGGGATCTGCAAAACGCGCACCTCGCCCTCCATGAGGGGCAGGGCCTGGCGGAAGAGCCTGCCGACCTTTTCTGCCACAGGCAAAGCCCGCGGGTCCTGTACCAGGTCGCCACCGGCGGCTTCGTCCTCGCTGGGGCTCGAGACGTACATGTAGCCGCTGGCGCGGGCGTAGTTGGAGGCGCGCAGGTAGCCGCGCAGGGCGGCGTCGCGGTCGCCGGTGTCGCGCGCCTCATCCGCCAGCGCCTCCGCTCGCCACGACTGCCTGCGCCACGCCTCCTCCCACGACGCCGCGTCGTCCGACCGGATCTCCCCCACCGCCTCCAGCACCTCGGCCACGTCCGCGCCACCGTAGCATGTGGTGCCGAGGATGCGGACGGTCTCGAAGTCGAAGAAGCCGCTGCGGGGGAAGAGCTTGTGCATCTTTTCTATTTCTTATTTTCTCCCAGGTTTCCTTTTGAAAAAAAAAAATCTTTTTTTTTATGGTGTTCTGGATTAATGTGGGGATAGGCAAGAAATAAAAAGGGGTTAGGGGTTGGAGGGGGAATGAAAAAATGAAATTCTTATGAAATTCCTGAACCCCCCCTTTCTTTTCTTCTCACGCCGTTAACGTTAAATATTCGTTTTATAATTTCGCCGTTTTTTCCTTTTTCCTGTCGGTATACATGCATGTATGTATGTACCCCCCCCCCCCCCCCCCCACCAAAGCCGGTCAGCCCATCCCCTTTTTGGGCGCTGACATTTGAACAATAAGCTGTGCCTGCTCCTGCATGAACTCGCACACACACATCATCGAAGGAACTGTTGCCATCGAACAGACGAGGGATTCGGCGTGTCGGGGCCGAAATGCGGGGTGGATCGGAGTGGATTTTGTGGTGTCAACATTGTCTTGTTCGGAGCTAAGGAAGGCATCGGTCATACGAAAATATCTCGTGAAATTGATAAACACCTGCATCTTGGAAGTGATAGACATTCTTTCTCACATCATCGACAACTGGCTATGCTCAGGCAAAGGTGGGGCATTATCTTCAGCTACATGTGTAATACTAAAAATATATACTCGTCCCATATAAATTTCTGGGCTATCCATTATCCATTATCCATGGTACATTTTCGTCCTTGGTGGAGTTGAACGCATACGGCGTACATATGCATTTACCACTTTGGGCCAGCACTTAACAATTAGCATGATACTGATCCCGATGTAACTGGTTTATTTCCTATTTCCTGTTTCCTGTTTGCTAATTGCCAAATGGACTCACTCAAACTCCGGTGCATCAATTGACGCGCCCAGCCATGCACTATGCAGCTATCCAGGCACTCGATTGGCTGGGAGCTTACAGCTTTGATCTCGGTAACGGTCGGCAGCAGTAGCCAAGTTGGGAGATATAGTACTTTGCCAGGCAGGCAGGCAGGTTGGCAGGTGGTTACACATGGAGGTAGATCAGATCAAGCGCGCACACCCGTTCTTGTCGTTCAATCGGTTCCGGCGGATCCAACTGGCTGTCAAGCCATTACCAAGTATCTCGGCATATGGTCCAGACTTAAGTATGGCTGCGGCTCAAAGATCTGCTCATATTTTCATCTGTGGTGTTTTTATACGATATACCTTAACTTCCAGGATTATTGAGCAATAACGGTCGAAAAAGGCCGCTGCTTAAAAGGAGGTCACGTGGGTCCCCTGAGCTAACACAAACATTCCCCACGTTCCTATTTATTTGAATAGGTTTAAGTCGTGGCTTATAAAAAACATTTAAAACAATAACTAATTAATATTTAATAACGATTAACGCAAGTGCTAAATTGATTAAAGCGGCTTAAGTGAAATAACTTTTTAAATTAAAACGTTTAATTTTATTTTTATTTTAAACCTTATTTAAGCCTTATAAACACCCACTTAATTAAATTACCTATATAAATTATGTGTTAATTATATTTTAAAGTATAAATATCTTAAATAATTACATATACGGCATAATATTATACTTATTATTATTATTAAGCTTTAAAACCTTAAATTTAAAGCTTTTTTAAGCCGTAAAACGCTGGTTTTAAATTAATATTTAAATTAATAAACCGGTTATTTAAATAATATATAATTAACTTTAAAGCTAATATATAATCGCTTAAAGCCTTAATTATTTAATATTTAACTTAAATATTTAAAACATATAGTTATAATAATATAACTAATATTAATTAAAAAAAGATTTAATTATTAATTAAATTATATAAATTAAATATAAACGTAATACTTAATTATAAAATTATTTAGGTATATATATCGTAAGATATTATATAATATTTAATTATGTAACACTTTTAAGCGATTATATATAAGTTTTTAAAATAGTTTTAAAGGTAATCACGTGTGCTCGCTCGTTTAATTAACTTATTTACTTAAATAACTTTATAATTAAATATCTCCTTAATTTAAAACTAATATTAATCGATTTATAATTTAATACGCTTTTAATTAATACCGGTTACACCTTTATAATTATATATTTAAAAAATTTATTTAAGATAAAAAAATTAATTTAAAAGGTTTAATAAATATAATATAATATATTTAATCATTTATAATTTATATTTTAAGATATAATCGCTATATAATTTGTTTAAATAATATAATTAAATAGGCTTTTATAAGATTTAAAATAAAGACAAGGTTAAACGCTTTGATTTAAAAGGTTATTTCACTTAGGCCGGATTAAAAAGGTTAAAGCTTGGCAATCTAGCTAAGGTAGGTAGGGAGGGAAGGTAATATATAATAATAAAATTAGAGTTTAGAATCGTAAAGGTAACATTGAATGTACCCTCGTGCAGGTAGGCACTACATGTAGGTATGATTCAATGATTGATAGAACTATTACATAGTACATATGTAGGTATCTAAGTATAGTTAACCCTGCCCAGGTGTACATGACCTTGATTGAGTTCACATGCACCTCGATTCGTCGTACAACTACAACATCAAATACCACTTGAATATGTACCTATCTACCTACCTAGGTAGGTACCTACTATGTAAGATACTAGGTATGTATAATAATGGGGGGCGGATTTAAGGTATGCGCTAGCTAGCGTTTTAGCTTACCGTTGAAGAATCCCCAGTATTACCCCACATATCAGCTTGGCTAGCGCCTGGTGGGTATAACACGGCCAATGCTATTCTGATTTCTATCACGTTGTTCTTTTCTTCTCTTCAACTTTCATCATCAACAATACGCCGCTTACGTTACAAACTACTCTTGCTTGTATCCTTTCAATCGCCTGTTGATGCCGAGAGCCTAGAATTCTTTGATGTAAATTATATTACCTGAAAATGCATGACTGTGCATAATTACCGGCACATATATATCTTTTATTGACCGTCATTCGTTGGCTTCCCCGGCTTCACGTGCCGTGGCGTCTTGTCGTGGCGCCGTGCCGTGCCGCGTCGTCTTATGGCGACCTTGTGTGTTGTACTAACTGTATTATCTGTACCAAGAGAACTATGTAGGCAAGTAGCCGCGTCATACGGTGGTGATAATACGCGACCTTCGTATATAAGGTCCAATTGGCTGAAGAAGGCTTCTATCTTCGCTTCTCAGCTTCATACATTAAACCTAAACCAGTATAAGTAATCGTAAGATCAATTTTGCTTATGTGTTATATCCTGCGGTCGATTTCACACTAACGTGAGCATCGTAAAAGATGTTTAGTATTTGATTATAATCTTCATATATATGTCCCCTTGTATAAGCCTTGGATTCTGTAGGAGGCTTACTCAAATCATATATGACATAATAGTATCCTGAGCAGGTATCAGTATATTTTAAAAATCCGAAAAATAGAGACAAATAAAAACAAAAACAAAAAAGACTGACATACCAATAGAGACATCTCTCTTATAATACCATTAGAAATTTAGTTGATTTCTAACACATATTCTGTTTTTCATAAGCTTATATCTTCAAACCAGTCACATCCTGCCCTGATTATCGTCACAATGCAGAGGTTGAATCCTCGACGGAGCGCTTGTGACCGATGTAGGGGCCATAAACTTCGTTGTGTGAGGCTCGACCCGGGCCCGAACAAACTTGGTGTTCTGATGCCGTGCAAACGATGTCTAAAGGCTGGCACAGAATGCATTCACACCGCATATCTAGGGGGAAAGACTACGGGAGAGAATCCTCATGTGGCACGCCATATGTCAAACTCCTCTAGCCATTCAGCTTCCTATCAACAACGAACCCCCGTCAGCGACCGGCAGCTGAGGGACCTGTCCCCTAACATATCGTCCGCGCAATCAGCGCCTCATCATCAGACCCAAGACCGAGGAAGCAGCGGCCCCCATAGGTCAGATAAAGAACCGTCGCCTCCTTGGCAGATGTTCGCAACACCAACTTCCTCGAGATCACAGTTAGAATTCCCCAAGCTATCGAGCCATGAAGACGCGCGGACCGATCATACGACCGCTAGGATGGGGGTTGCCCCCGAGTCCTCCATCGTCACCCCACCCCTCAGCGAGAGGAACCCCCAGAGATCGAGCCGCATCCCTTCCAACTCCAATTCCACCTTCGACCTCGTAGACAAAGTACCGGACTCGGACGGCAGAGGATTCTCGATCTCAGGTCTGCTACACGACGCCTCGGGTACGAATCCGACGACGACTTCGGCACACCCTCACCACATGTTACAGTACCCGCAAGCGGAATCGCTTATGTCCTCGAATTACTTCAATACGGCAGCTGCGAACGTCATGGCGAGCAATGGTAGTGGGGGTAGTGTCGGTGGTGGCGGCGGCCAAGGCTTACGCGAGCAGCAGATGCAGCAGCAGCAGCAGCACCACATATCCGCCGGCGGTCGTGGTGGTGTTGGCTCCTCTGTTGCTACTACCGACGACTGCCTACATCGCCTTTCGCAGCTGAGTTCGAAGCTTTTGATGGAGTTCGGTAAATCCGGTGGTAATGGTAATAATAGTAGTAGTAGTAGTAGCGGCGGCGGTGGCGGCGGCAGCTGGCCGTGGTCCTCGTCCTCGTCGTCCTCGTCGAACAACATGGGAGGCGCAATGACATCGTTCCCATCCCTCCCCAGCGGCGGCACCTCCTCCTGGCACCAGAACGGCACGATGGCCAACAACACCTACTTGAGCAGCACCATCAACAAGCTGTTCGACAGCTTACAGGTCTTCCTGGAAACGGTCGAGCGCCTGCGGCCGTCGTCTTATCAGAACTTCTCCTCGGGCTCCGAGTGCTCGTACTCGGAGCAGTGGGACGAGCCCGAATTCATCAGCCCCACCGACGACACCCAGATGTACCCGAGCACCATCACCGCCGACCAGATCCACGGGTCCTCCACAAATAACCCCTCTGCGCATCACCGAGGCGTGGGTGCGGAGAGCGGAGCAAGTGGTGGGGCCCCGCCGTCCGACGACGCATCCCGAACGTTCGACATGCCGACCACCCTCACGATACTTACCTGCTATACGTGGCTCCTGAAGGGTTACGAGGTGGTCCTCTCGGGGATATATGAAGCGCTAGTGTCGCAGGATCGGATGCAAGACCTACATTCTCTCCCGCCCATCCTCCATGGCACGAGGGTCGGGGATTTCGGGCTGGAGGACCACCCAGACATGCAGATCGAGATTGTGATCCACGTTGGCTCTCAGTTCCTGCAACGGATCGAGGGGGTCTTGGGGGTCCACGTGATAACAGAGAGATTAGGAGGGCTAGGCGGGATGCAAGAGTATGCCTCTCAACCGGGCGGCGCCGCGGCGAGTGACGGGCGAGAGATCCTCGACACTAAGTCGGCGGCCGCGCTGCTGGAGAACTGGTTCACGAGCACCCACAAAGGCGGCAGTGGGGGAGAGGGCGACTTTGGCGACCCCTGTGGGGGTAGGAGGGTACAGATTAGACGCACGATAGACAACATAAGAAAACTTATCCGGGTTTACTGGAGAGACTATAGCGGAAAATAGAGAAAAGGAGAGAGGTAGAGATATAAGCCCCCCCCCCCCCCCCCCTGGATCAAAATACAGAGAAGGGACCTCGGGAGGGTTACCGTTCCCAAATCTTGGTTGCCATCTGCCCCCTTTTTGTACTAGAGGGAAAAGGAAAGAGAAAAGGGAGCAATAACAACAATACTGTAGTAGTGGAACGGATCTTGGTAACGGCCCGCAAGGGGGCTCGTTTGATCTCTGTACGGAATACGAAAGTCGGTAAATAATAATTAGGTATAAATTTTATCCATAAGTGCCTACGGTAACCCTTGTCGCTCCCGGCGCGTATGTACAATACAGGCTATGCAGTGGTCAAATGGTTGAATCTAGCAGTATATCGCTACCGCCTACTAGTTCGATACCCTAATACCTTAGGTAGGTAGTATTCTTAAAGTAACAACATTCCAAGGTTGAGAGAGGTAGGTATGCAGTATGGTTTCACCAGGTATACCTGAAATATCACGTGAGCTTTGAAATAGGGGATGATTTTCCGTACTTTTTTATCAAGTACCGTTTTGCTCGGATTAGTATCGTATAATTAATCTAAAACTTACGTAACATACCGTGCCTTCGGGGTAGTATAAAAATGCCTTACAAATATTTCTGTCACTTTTTCTCCAAGCTGATATAAGGCGTGAGAGCTGATCAGTTCCAGCGGATTTTGGTGGGGAACGGGCGTCCCGTAGGCAGGTAGGTAGGTTGGTCTGCTCCCGGTTAGTGGTAGCCGATGCTACATTTTTTTATTCCAGCTAATCGGAGATCGGACATCCGGGCGTTTGTTTAAAGTTATGCCACGATCTGCATTTCGACGTTTATTCTGTAAGGGGCACTTTTACTTGCAAGATCGTCCACAGTACCAGCTTGAATGTCTTATGCTTAATTACTGTATAATTAAGTGCACATTCTAAGCCGACATACCTACACACACACACACACACATATACACTGATGTGCAATCCTCGCACTGTCCTTTAGGCAGATCACAAGCATTATTTTCGCCTATTCCAATCAACGTTTTACAATGGAATTCATTCGTAGCCTTTTTACGTCAAGGAAATCTCCAATAGTAGAGACTGATGAAGTCTACCCACTTACTCTCATCGACCACCTTGCTCCGGCACGTGGTAGTGTTTTGAGCGAGACTCTCCGATTCGATCAGGTGCTGGATGCCGACAAGCTTCACGATGCGTTAACGAAGTTGATTCAGCAGCATGGCGATTGGAGAAAATTAGGGGGTCGCCTTCGACTTCGGGTAGGTTTCCGGGCTTCTTACACTTCTCACAATCTTTGCTATTTTTATTTTATTTTCTTTCGTTTCAAAAGATTAGACAGAAAATAGAATGTTAGTTGCTGATCAGTGTTATACTACAAAGCTCAATGGGTCTCTTGAGATCCACGTGCCCCGAGAGTTCACTGAAGAACGTCCTGCCGTTCATTTTACTAAGCAGGCCTTCGATATCACCATTGAGGAACATGAACTCGGTATTCAATTGCCCAAGCTGGCTGATGGCCCCTCCTTACAGCCAGGGCCAACAGTCTTTGATCAATTCAACCCTATCCCAGATAGGCCCCAGACATGGAAGGACTACGCTTATAGCGACCGTCCTATTCTCCGGCTTCACGTCACCTCTTTCACCAACTCAACCCTCGTCACTCTCATTTGGTCGCATGTCGTCTTCGGCGGCTGCGGCATTAAGGAGCTCATTACCGCCTGGTCGAAAGTGCTCCGAGGCGACGACGATGTACCAGCGCTTCTAGGTGCTCGGACAGATATCTTAGAGGGGATCGGCACCGCTAAAGATGCATCGGTGCCGTTCTGTCTTGAACCGAGCAAAATCACTGGCTGGAGCTTTGTCAGGATCGTCCTCGGACTGCTGTGGGCCCTGTGGATGCATCCGAAAGTAGAGACCCGCGCTCTATGCCTGCCCCGTCGATTCGTGTCGCAGCTAAGGAAGACCTGCCTGAAGGACCTTGAAAATGCCGATGGGGAAGGCAAGGGAGCATTTCTCAGCGAGGGCGACGTGTTGGAGGCATGGCTTGCAAGGTTTGTGGGCGAAGCACGTGGTGACGAAAAATCCGCCCTGATCATGAACGCGCTAGACATCCAAAGCCGGCTCAATGCTCCCTGGGGCGCCGGAGGCGTGTACGTGCAGAACACCGGCGTCTGCACCTGGACCTCCATCACGCCCGACATCTTGCTTCGGGGCCCGCTCGGCGAGCTAGCATACGTGATCCGTCGCAGCATCCAGGAGCTAGCCACGGACGAGCAGATCCGTGCCCAGCTGCGCATCTTCCGGTCCCTCGGGCACACAAAGATGCTGCCGCTCTTCGGCGACCCGAACTCCCACGTCATGAACTTCTCCAACTGGTCCAAGTTCAATCTGTTTGACGCTGCGGACCTCAGCCCAGCGGTAGTGCCAAACTCACCGTCGTTGGTTGGGGGCCATGTGGGGAAGCCGGTCTACATGCACTGCCAGGCGGTGGGCGAGAATCGGATGCTCAGGAACTGCTTTAATATTACGGGGAAGGACTGGGATGACAATTACTGGATCACGGCGTTTCTGTATCCGGAGGACTGGGAGAAGCTGGAGGAGTATATGGAGCTAACACAGCTGCATATTAGCGAGAAAACGACGTGAATACCTTTTTATGTATTATAATCGTTGGAGTGTAGGTACCTAGTATGTTGTGTTCCGTGGCTTAAATGTTGTGATAGGGATCATTCCATATACCTTTTCTAGGTAACAACTGGTTTAGTCTGCGGTTTGGTTATTTATAATAAATGAACCAATATATCTACTTCAGCTCTGAGGGTCTGTTTAAATATAGCTGAAGTTTTTGAGAATCTTTGTGGAGCGTAGCAATAAAGGCATCTGATGTTTCTTTAGGGGTTGCTGCACGAGATGAGCACTGAGTTGCCCAAGTAATGTCGCAAGATACCTACCTAACTAGGTACCTAGGCAGGTATGTCCTATATAGTATATAGATCGAGTCATGTTAGACATACTGACAGGCTTTGGCACCGCCTGTCCCCCTCTCCTCTTCAGTGTCAACAACATTACATAATATCAACAACTTAACCACAGCACTTTTTGAAAAAGAGAAGTTTCTTATATTGCATTGCCACCTTTCATTGTCTTTCTTCCTTTTGTATGGAGTAGAATTTATTTTCCGCTTTTCTCCCTTTACTATTCATTCCCCTGTTCCTCTAGGTAGGTACCTAGTATATTCAAGTTGTAATGTCGAATATCGATTGTCGAAATTTGTGATCACGCGAATGTTCTTTAACTTGTAGGACTCCAGAGTCGACCCTGCTGATTCTCATGTTTCTCGTTATATTTGGGCGACCGCGTCAGGTATATGTTCGTATTTTAAGGAGACACATGACTCCTGTGTATGTAGCAGCCACCCGCCATCGCACAACCCCCTCGGCAAGATAGACCTCTTGTTCAAGTTTCCCCCATTTTCCTTAGATATATACCTGCGGTTGCTCAGTCCAGTCCGGGTAGGGTATCGTGTGACGCGACTACTCAAGGAGGTAGATGATGACAAGCCCTTAGATCTTATTGGTTGTTCCTTCTAATGTTTGCGGGCGAGATTCATTTCGGGGCGACTGTCAACACAGATCCATCCACATCCCGAGGACATCCAGCACCGAAACATCCAGGGTCGAGTCAACAGCTTCTTCACGTACAGGCCCATGTACCTTGGGATTTGGGATTTAAACTTTCGAGTTCGTTGATACGAGTTTGGTAGCTACCCCTGACATTTGAGGAAGGGGGGCACTCCTTATATATACGAATGTTCTACTAGAACTACCCAGGGGTTGCTTGGTATGTATATACTATAAATCAATGCTACTTACAACGACACTCTTTGTCGGTAGCTACAAGTAAGTAGCGAACAGTACATTAGAATCCACGCTAGGTAGTCCCATCATATCATCGGTACGTCAGGGGTACATCGGGGATCAACAGACCTAAAAGGGAGCAAAAGAAATCAAGTATACGAAGACCTAGTAGCTACCCGTTCAATGCGTTCGGAGAGTCCTCGTGCCACCTGGAGCAATCAGAATAGCATGTTTTGCTTACAAGGCCAGCATCCGTTCGTTTCAAATGTAGTCCGCGGCATGAACCCAAGCGTTCGGAATCAGCATCTTCAACCACACCCACCCCCTATGTGGAGGTCTTTATTGGACTCGGACGGTCATCGCTACACAAGCAGGTTGCCTACTTAACTGTAGGACTAAGAAAGATCATCCACGTCGCGGCCTGGCATTCAACAGTCATCTCTCGGTGTATGCAGGTTCACGCTTAATGATACGCTATTAAGGAAAGTCCCGTCTCTAAACATGATAAAATCCATAAATGAGAATGACTCGTGGTCATCTATCGGGCCTCTTTAGCATCCGTCTATACTTACAGGATTCATCAGACTTCAGCAGCTACGCGACACTGTATTGTGCTGGGCAAAATATATCATATGGGTCAAATAGGGGCTCATTCAGGGGCTAATTACTTAATCGGGTACAGATTTCGTCTCCCTTTTTCCCCGCATGCGGGATCATTAGGGATGATTTTATATAAAAACACATGTAAACATTGTACGTACTAGCTCAGGGTAACTACGCTAATTACCTATATCTATGCTACTTAAGTGCTCTACTCTTCACTACCGTCAATGTCTACGATGAACTTGTCACTAGAAGTTGGTACTAGCATTTACCTTGTCCGAACATACGACGCATACATACCTAGTATCTGCCGTAATATATATCAGGGGGTGGCACGCTCGATTCTATCCTATCGACAATAAAAAGCAGGTGCCAATGTTTACCGTTATCATTCATACATAACCTCCAGTTTCTCTCTGGCCACCGAGTTGCTGGCGCAGACATCGTATCACCCCCCACAAAATCATAAATCACGAGACAGATCCTTACGTACCTAAGTACATGCTCGATGAGAAGGTCATTTCAGCGACGTTACGAAGTAGTAAGCCCGTGCCAAGTAAGTGCCGTGTGGGGCAACCTGCTTAGTAGAAGGTATGGGGGTTGACGCCACCCACACGGAAGAACTTGTTCGTCTACCCCTGAATGGGTAAGCCAACGGAGATAAATTAAATCCTTAATTCTCCAAGTCAATCGTACATCTAATTACGTAAAAACACATCGTTGTAAGATTCTCGGCACTTCATCACGCCTCCAATTCCGAAGAAGGGAGTATTCGGCGTGCCAAGACTCCATGCCGATGCCGAACCCGAGCACTCCGAATCCGAATTCCCCACTTCGGAACCAAGTTCCGCAAATTTTACAACGGCATATGCAGAACTAAAGAAAAGTGGCCAATGCCGATACAAACATTTAAAGTTGCAGATTCCGGGGTAAGCACGGCGGGCGTCACCGAACCACTCTCTGTCTGTAGGTAATCATATTATCCGATTTGGTGTGACATCCAGCTTTCAGGCTTAAGGAGAGATCGAACCATATCCTCCTAACATTACACACGGTCATAATGCACCACTCCTCCCCCATGATTGATTCGTTACAGCGACTTGGTTGCATCCATTTTTTTTCGTTCTGTTTCAAGTTTCTAATCTGGGCTCGTAACAATAAAGTAGAGACGTACACTGAGCTTGTAAATGCAATATGGCGTTGTGGAATCATAAACAGCATATGCCGGAGCTGCAAGACAAAATCGCCTTCGTAACAGGCGGGAAGTGAGTTATTTCTTCCCTTTTTATCCTCCATTCGCTTTTTTCCGGATGCGCCGGAAAAGTGGTGATCGGCAGCATCTATTAGTGGGTCAGGTATTCGCTAACCTTCTCAACATTGCAGCGCAGGTATCGGCTACCATGCCGTAGCGTTCCTAGCTAAGGCCGGCGCTAAAGTGTATTTTGGGGCACGATCGACCGCAAAAGCCGAAGCGGCCTGCGAGAGAATGTACCGGGAGAACCCGGGCTTGCGGCCAGGGCAGGTAAACTGGATACAGGCGGACATGGCCTCTATGGCGAGCGTTCTGGCCGCCTGCGGCAAGCTTCGCGCCGCCGAGTCCAAGCTGCACATATTGATCCACAATGCCGGCCACGAAGGAACAGAGCCGTCCAAGATGGCGGATTCCGGTATCCAGATCACCATGCAGACAAAGTAAAGCCCCGCTCTCGCTCCTTCGGCTGTTCGTTTCAGTACATACCAAAAGGAGACTTGTCACTGACTTCTTCATGATAAAGTTACCTGGCGGTGTTCGCCATGACCCAAGAACTTCAGCCGCTGCTTAGAGCTGCTGCTTTGGAGAAAGACTCCGACGTTCGTATCGTTAATGTAGGTGTTTTCATTTACCAATTCCTTCCTTATCCTTTACCTGCAAGAAAAGCAACTACATTTATACCTATGGGACATGTAGGCAAGACTGAAAGCTGATAAGTACTCGAAAATAGGTGAGCTCGAATGCTCCGTCTGTAACTCACTCTGCAGAGTGGCGCCCGGACTTTTCCGACCCTCATGGCGGGGACATACTGTACCCCGCTGGCCGGGAAGGCGGCTTTATGGCTGCGATGCGGAGATACAGCGTGTCCAAGATAGCGATGAATCTGCTAAGTTCGCAGTTACAAGCTCGTTATGACCGGGAGGGTGTGCCGATACTGGTAACATCCATTTGCCCCGGAACGGTATGGACACCCGGCACTAGGCGTGCTGTGCCCTGGTATCTCTTGCCAGTCTCCTATTGCTTCAGTTATAGTGAGGTTGATGGCCCTAGGCCAGTGCTATTTGCTGCAGTGGCTCCCGAGGTTCGCGAACAAGAAAGGTATTACAAGGGGCAATTCGTCAATAGGACCCATTTGGTAGTCAAGGGCCACCCTATCACTTACAGTGCTGTAGCAGGCAAGCAACTATGGTCGGCGAGCGAAGAGCTTGTCAGTGAGTACAAGCAGAAAACAAAGCGATGACGAAATGTCCCGATGCTAGGTACCTAATTACCAAGATACCTAGTGCGCAGGCAGGGAACTTGGAAGCAGCATGCTGGGTATAATGTATTATTCACGCGCCAATATGACTTTAATGATAACCTGCCTCTTAGAAGTGACAAGTAGTTATGAATATTGATTGACTGACGCTTTATCCACACAACCAAAGGACTATATGTAAGAATGAGGGTTGATTCAACTGGATACGGCTCTCCTACAACAGACTAGATCGGGTTCATTCATTATCATTCATTATGAATCATAGTAAACGAGTACCTTATTGGTGGAAGTAAGAAGCTCTAGTGGCGATGCAGTGGGGTGACCCTGTTCTAGGCCCAATGATAACGCCAGTAGATCGAATTGAACGCCATAGGTAACTTCTTACTACTCTTTTATAAGTGTCTGTAGTATCAACAGGTAAGACATCCGCATAGATATAAGACAGATAGGAATTCAATTTCATTTCATTCATTTTATAGCATATATCCAGTAAAATACAACACCAATTAATACCCTACGACATATTTACATACCTACGTACCTTGAGGTTGACCTAATAAAAGAACTGCAGGCACTTCTGATATACCCTTAAAATATGCTAGTGACGACGACAGCAACGACGACAGCAACGACGACAGCAACGACGACAACTACAACTACACCCATAACCACACTATCATCGAGTCCCGACACTAACTCTGATCCTACATCCTCTAAGGGGTCAATCGACTCTTCTAACACAGCCATGCTACCATTCACCCCTGGGCAGTGCCTATTCTGTCCCAGTTCCTCACCAAACTTCACTGACAGTGTCACACACATGCAAAAATCACACGGCCTATTTGTTCCAAACCAACAACATCTTGTCGTCGACCTCGAGACTCTCTTCGAATATTTGCATCTAGTTATTTTCGGATGCCAAGAATGCATATATTGCGGGACAGAGAGAGCCACTGTACAGGCTGTGCAACAGCACATGACCGGCAAGGGTCACTGCAAGTTCGATATATCGGAAGAGGACTCAGAACTTGCCGACTTCTACGACTTTTCTGAACCAGAAGACGATGCAAGGAGTGATATTGAGGGTGTTTGCGACGGAAACAATCGAGAGGGGACGACAAACTCAACCCAAAAGCTGCTGCTAGCTGATCACGACTCGATTCGCCTACCATCAGGTAAGATAATATCGCGGCAGTCATCAGCAGCTCAAACAGGGCCGTCGACTACTCAACTGCGCCGACGAGCCCGCGCCCCAGCTTTACAGCTCGAATACTCCCACCAGTCTTCCCCTGATGGCGACGAGGAGTCTAGCAGCAAAGAAGAAGATCTCGACTCGAACACACACGACACATGCTCGTTAACAAAAAGGGAGAAGCGGGAGCGGGCCATGGTGACATACCAGCTATCCAACATGAGCGCGAGCGATCGGAGCAGCTTGGTGCACTTACCCGCGTCGCAGAGGTGTGCCATACTGGCAATGCAGCATAGACACGCGGCCAAGGTGCAGAAGGAGGAGAGTCGACGGCATGGCAGGATTGATCGGAAAGAAAATAAGAATCTGTATGCGTACTGGCATACCGAGACACCAGTTTATCAGTGTGGTTAGATGCAGGCAGTTACTTGGTGGTTGTCGCGTACTGATATGTAAGCTATCTAGTACTTAAGGCAAGGGGTAGGTAGTTACATGACGATGGGAACTAAGGGTTAGCACAACCCTCACCTACCTATCTAGCTAACCACCATATTGCAAAAATACCAGGCATATTCTCTGGACGAACTAGAATAGATGTCAAAGGAACAAGCATGTTATAGCCATTATGAACGGGGGGGTATGGATTCCTCTTTCACGATTCTTTGTTCCGCCCCCTTTCCCAAAGCAATCCGAACTACTCTTTCATTCAATCCCAATTCGGAAATTCCACTGGACATTTCCTTGTCTTCCACGAGCTAACACGGCCCGCCCCTTTTAATAAATGTAGACCTACAATGTCTTGTCGCAGCCTAGGTATGAGACGGAGTAATCATTTTTTTTTTCGCACTTTTCCCCCCATCTTCCTGTTTCTCGACCATGGACGAGGCACTCCAACGCGACATCGCTCGCCAAGAACGCGACGCCGACGGCGGCGGGCCTGCAGAGCAACCTCGTCCTCACGACAGACGAGGACAGCAACAACTGATCGACTGGGACACCTGGTGGCGGATCATCATACACCGCAACGCCGACATCGTCGAGCTCCCGGAGCCTCCGCCCAAAAATGCCTACACCAACCGAGGGCGGCGCGCCTCCCCCCCCTTCCCCTTCAACCTCGAGGCAACCTGGTACTGCGGGATGGTGATGGCGGTGCTGCTCTCCGCGCACTGCGAGCTGGACACGCAGTGGCTGCACCGGCGCGGGTACGTGGAGTACTTCCTGCGGATCGCGATCCGGGCGGGGCGCACGGTGGCGCTGTCGATCAACAGCACGCTGTGGTTCGAGGTCTTCCTCAACATCTTCGACCTGGCGCGGGTGGCGCTGCTGGACCGCCTCGCGCTGCTGGTCGACACGTGGTTCGTGCGGCTGCTGGGCTGGGGGCTCGTCAACGACCGGTGGCCGGCGGATCTCGACGACGTCGTGGAGCTGCACCCGGACCCCACGCACCTGCGCGAGCCGATCCGGAGGTCGGTCATTGGGATCGTGGTCCTGGCGTTCAACTTCTTCGTCACCATGGTCCCGTTCTTCTCGCCGATGCCGCTCGATCCGCAGGTGACGGGCTCCGGGAAGCTCGGGGGAGTCGAGGGGGCGGAGGAGAAGCTGGGGCTGGGGCTGATCCTGTGGGAGTTTGGCATGCCGGCGGTCGTGCAGACGCTGGTCGCGGTGTTCTTCTACCTGCTGGCGTTTGTGTTCGTGGCGAGGGCGGAGACGCCGGTGATACTCAGGCGGGGCATGAGAGACCCCCTGGCTAGACTCGTAACCAGACTGCTCCGCGCGACGGCGATGCACCTGCTGGCGTATACGGCGTACCAGATGGTCTGCATCGCCATCGTCAACAGACAAAACTCGGCGATTCCCTTTCTGGATGACTTCATCTTCCACTTTCTCCTCGGCCGCAAGAGGATCTACGTGCAGTTTTTTCCGGTCGCCGGTACCTTGATTGTGGGTGCTCATTTGCTGCTCAAGAGTACCTGCAAGTTGTGTGTAAATCTGTTTTGGCCGTGGTGGGTTCCGTACATTGCGTGGATGTCACTTTTGACAGAAGCATCGGTTTGGTCTGATAGAAGTGTACTTGAAGGGTGGGAGGTTTTCGATGAGGATATGGATGTGTTTCATCCGGGTACGAGAGTACTATCGAGAGCGGCGATGACAGTTTTGTTTGGGTTGGGGAACTCGTGGCCGGCTAGGCTGAGGTTAAGTGAACTTGAAGGTGTTGATTAAAAGGCTCTAGGCAGTTAGTTAGCTATGTTTTTATAGATTTTATACCGATGATATATTTCGTCCACTGCACTGGGACCTCAATGCCTAGGTGATCAGCATACTATTATGAAATCTTTCTATACTCAGCTATTCGCAGGTATATATTCCTACCGCTACTAAGGTAGTAGAAACTAGGTACCTAGCATTGAACACTGAAGGTTGGGGCCGGAAAACCCCATGTTCATCAAGGCCCCCGAATAGTCTCTGCATATCGTCCCATTTCCATATGTCAACTGATAGACTCATATTTCATGATACTCATTTATATGTGACCTGTAATTACCTGCCCAGGTGGGCTAGTACCCAAAAATATTACCCTATATTCAATCGATTTCAGCTAGGCCGTTCACCTCGCTAGATTGGTGTTGAATCTATCATCATTGTCAACCAACAACGGTGTATTTAACAGAGTGAGTGACGCACGCCTTTGCACATTGGGATCTATATCACCCAAATGTATCTCAACCTCCGCCTCAAGCCGAGATTGGCTCGGCTTTGATGCATGAGATGCATTCAGTGGCAGCAGCTGTGCCCGTGAGCCACTCTGCCATCTCAGGGGGACTAATCTCTCATACATGATCTGTCGAAATTCTTGGGTGAGCCCAAAAATGAGCCAGATGGCCAGAGCTGGCGTCACGCCGTATATATACCCGACGATATTCGATCTAGCTCGCTCGGGACTCAGGTCTGCCGACTCTGCTTTGGCGTCTTTGGCAACGTCGTCGCGTTGGGGTAGGTGCGTGAATAGACTTGCGAATATGAAAACGCTGTATACTTTAGCAATAACATCAATCATGGCCATCATACTCCTTGATGGAAACTCACGAGATGAGAAGCACAGCGATGGATAGCCGCACAACCAACCAGTTGTTAGCGAACGGCACCGCGGAGATTCGACGGGCTCTTGAGTCGGTCCGTGAGTTGCTCCTGCGTCGTAAGAACCCCCAGCCGGTAGATGTACGAGACGAATCCGTATGCCCCACAAAGCGTTTGACATCGATATACTTCCAGAGAATGGCAAATATCAAAAGGATACTGAGCGCGCAGCTCGTGACAGCTAGACGAAATTAGCCTCTGCGCAACTAAAAACACTTGAGAAAAGACGTAATTATAAAAACATCTTATAGCACTTACATTGCACGTTAGCTACAATCATGTACACGAGGAAACTACTCTGTACCGGCGGTGTTTGCAGCAATCCGATCGTAATGCCAGCTAAGATAAGGGGTATTACTTTGCTACCCCACAGAAACCTTCGCTCAGTACGTCGCTTCGCCGACCAGAAGCCATATACCGAGAATGCTACGTGGATGGTGCTGAATGTCAGGTTAGTATGGTAGCATGCTCATTAGAAGTGGCATTTAGTACATACTACGAGAAAAAGTAGCTCGACTCCATGATGTAGCAAAACAGACCTAGCACCTAGGCGTAAACATAGGAGTCCAGATACTAAGAACGACATCATGGCTCGTTGAGAGTGCAATTTTCTTTCTACACGTACGAATATTGGCTAAATCCTTCATGAACCCAAAGTTGCCATTGTTGAATATGACATCCGCGTTCTCATAATTGGCCTTGATATATTCCAATTGAGCACGCATGAGATCATCCCACAAGCTAGGCCAATCAGTCAACATGATTCTACGACAGGCAAGCCGCGATACTTACACATAATTATATATCTGTTGAATGATACTACTGATGGTGCATAGTAGGACGAAATATGCGATCAAGGCCACATCTTGATAAAGTTAGCCTGCTGGTCTGTTCCATTTTAGGGTATGCGATTCTTCGCGACTCACAACCCAGCCTCTCTCGGCTTGTCCAGTGAAGCCATATGAGAAGGATGTTGCTGAACAGGCAGATGAAGGTATATATGAGCACGCCTACTGCATCCCCGATGGCCCCGTTTGGTAATTGAGACATGTAGGCACCTGGGTATGTATGTTATAACGCGTTTGCGCAAAGTTACGCCCATGCAAAAACCGAGAAAGTTACACGGCTTCCCTTTGGACAAGACATGAGTGGGGAAAGAGTATATATATATATATATATATATATATATGCGACATCCCTTGATATCAAATCTGCTGTGCCTCTTATGCTAGACACATGCACGTTCGAGTAACACAAGAACACCAACTTTGAATGTTGGTTACAGCAAAATCACGCTGCTAACCTTAGCACTTAGGTGTTATAAATACTCTGATAAGATAAACATGTGGGGGTTGTGTACGACCTGAACAATATTTCTGAGTTGACCTTTTTTCTTTTTTTCTTTTCTTCTTTTTTTCTTTTTTTTCTTTTCTTCTTTTTTTTCTTTTTTTTCTACATTTCTACATGTCGTCCGATCTCTATTGTACATTGTCAAGGGAGCCTCTTACGACTTCAAAAATTCAAACCGCTTATGGGAATAAGGCGATTTAACTAACCTACAGCATTTACAGCATGCACTATTACCCACATGATCACCCCTTTTTAGTCATAAAAAATGGAATTAATTGAATCTGGTAGGGCTTATAAGACGCTACCCGCGGGCTCCGAAGTAAATTAACAGATCATAGCTCAATTATGCTCAACTCCCCAGAAAATCCTAATTTTATGGATTTGTTTACCTCAATTACAGTACATTCACTCTATGATGAAAATTGAGACTGACAAGAACTGAAATAGACACCTGTCTTCTAGACTTTAACGAATCTCCTCACGTCGCCTTGCTTACTCGGAAACATGGCCACATCCCAGGCCGCACTCGACGATCAGCTTCATCCGGTGACGGGAAACGGCACACCATGTCGGCGCAGAAAATCGAGCCTCAGCGCAAACCACTCCCCTCGTCAGATTGGGTTCAGGCGAACCACCAAGTCCAAGAAGGTCCGGTCTCTTTTGCGCCGTTCATGGAGCATACCATTCTTCATCCTGCTGGCCTTCGGATTGGTTTACGCCCTTAACCCGACCGAGTCTAATATCGTCCACCGCTTCATGTTTATGTCCTACAAGGTAGAAAACGACGATGGTCCAGCCCAATACGGAAAAGGCCGCTGGGATTTCGCCTTCGTCTGCTTTTACACCGTTTTCTTGTCCTTCACGCGCGAATTCATCATGCACGAGATATTGCGCCCCGTAGCTAGCGCATGTGGCATCAAGTCGAAGGGCAAGCAGTCGCGCTTCATGGAGCAGATGTACACAGCGGTCTACATATCCTTCATGGGGCCTTTGGGGTTGTACTGCATGAAACGGTCGCCAGTCTGGTACTTCAACACCCGGGGCATGTACGAGGCGTATCCGCACAAGGTGCAAAGTGGTGAACTCAAGTTCTATTACTTGGTCCAGGCTGCCTTCTGGACGCAGCAGGCCATCGTGATGTTGCTAGGGATGGAGAAGAGGCGCAAGGACTTCAAGGAGCTTGTCGCGCATCACATTGTCACCATTGCGCTTATTTTCCTCAGTTACAGGTTTCACTTCACTTATATGGGCATTGCTATTTACATCACGCACGACATTAGTGATTGGTTTCTTGCGGTAAGTACAATGAGCCTCCAATGCCTCGGCTGCAATTTCTCTCAATCCGCCCCATAGTAATCCTACTAACATTTGCATTCGACAGCTATCCAAATCACTGAACTATCTGGACAGTCCCCTCCAAGCATATTTTTTTGCCCTGTGTGTAATTTCCTGGATATACCTTCGAAATTACATCAACCTGCGCATCCTCTATTCAATCCTCACCGACTACCGCACCATTGGCCCCTACGGAATTGTCTGGGAAACAGAGCAGTACAAGGGCCCGCTCTCTACTGTGATCACCTTTACACTATTGGCTCTGCTCCAGTTGCTCAACATATTCTGGCTGTACCTTCTGCTGCGCATCGCGTATCGCTTCGTGGTCCAGGGACATGCGAAGGATGATCGGTCGGAAGACGAGGAGTCGGAAGTAGACACAGCGAAACTAGACAGCGACGCCGCGGACAAGGCCGAGGCGCTTCCCTTAGACGGCAATAGTGCGCGCGCGCTACCTACCAAGAGACGGAAGGCTAAAAAGACGTAAATTTGTTGGGCCCTTGGCATGAACCGCTTTGTGCTGATGTCATGCTGCCTCACAAGCTACAAGGGTCTGGTACCTAGAAATCATGCGCTCAAGATGGGTTGATGGGCTCTTTTACGAAAATAGAAGAAAGAGGTGTTTGTCGACCTCGAGGTATGACGCTCTGGTAATAGAGTATATAATGCATAATGTATAATGTTAGAATTGAGCAAATCGTACCTATTTACTAAGCCCAGCCCTTTTGTTTACCTAGTAGTGTTCCCTTTCTCTTTAGTTGGTGGATATTAGCTATGGAGTTTAACTCTCATAGCCTCTTTAACAGAAAGCGAGTTGATGAAAAGGTCGGAAAGGGTAACTCCCGGCTGCTTGCCGAAGCAGAGAAGAAGAATCGAGCTGCCTAGTTAGCATTTGATTACCTAAAGCATTTCAATGTTAGACCCACATCTCCTGACTCATCTCATAGGTACATAACTACCTTAAGCTTGACGCGCGACCAGTGCCGACCACGCTTTTCCTTTTCCCATTCTACGGCGACAACAAGCGGGTCCTTCAGCTACAAATGTAGGTACCTACCTACACATGCAGAGCAACATATGGATATGGACTAAAGGTAAATTGTTATATGTACAGTTGTGTCCTGCTTCTTTCTATCCTTGGTGATGGCTGTATTGAATTTTACCCTGAGTGAAGAAGGAGTCAACGCCTTGAGAGATGCGTTGGCGTGCCTTGGTAAATTCAGCGATGAAGTTTCCCTCGAAGCCAAAAAGGATAGAGTATGCCTCTCTATGATAAGCCTGCCTACTAGGAACTTGCTGCTGAGACTTTTCTTTTACTCTAGCTGTTATTCACAACCTTGAACCTTTCCAAGTCAGCCTACGTATCCTTTTCCTTCGCAGCCAATCGCTTCTTCTCCAAGTATCACTTCGAAGGCGTAGCTCAGAACCGCGAGAAATTCTGCTGCAAATTGTATAGTCGGGTAGGCTAGCTGCTTCGCGAAATAGTATTCACTTTCTTAGATTCTCACACCCGTATGTCTAGGCCTTGCTATCCCTGTTCAGGGTCAGAAGCGGAGACTCTTCGCACGAGAGGGATAAAGACACCACGATTGATCGTTGCGATGTAGCTATAGTGGATGAGCCGGGCAAAAACAGCCGATTCATTGCTAAAATCATATTCCGAAATGGCACGTAATCATCGATTGCCAATTAACCCTCGTATCCTCACTGCTAACTAGAAGGTAGGGATCACCACAAAATATCAACTTCCATTTGAGGTTACTCCCCCAGTACACGCCACGTTTGACAAGGAGCAAGCAAAAAACCATTGGTCAATCCCATCCCGAACAATACGCCAGTTCATGGAGCATTTTGGCCGTGGCATTGAGTACCTCGATATACATTCCGAGGATGATGACACTGTGAACTTCACTTGCTTCACTGAGAAGGTTAATAATGGAGAAGAGGTCTTGAAAAAGCCACTCCACACATCCATTGCTGTTGAACGAGACGAGTTCGAGGACTTTGTCGTTGAAGAGGATAAACTTCATATCGTCATCCCCGTCAAGGACTTCCGGGCCATCATCTCACACGCTGGATGTCTCGGTAGTCAGATTTCGGCATATTATTCGATGCCATCTAAGCCCATGCAATTCAAGTATGATGGCGACGGAATCAAATGCGAATTCCTTCTGATGACAATTGGTGAAAGGGGGGCACCAGGTCAGAAGGCAAAGAAAGTCCGTAGCAACACGAAAGGATCGAAAGCGCCGCAACTCGAGGCCGCTGCGAGTAGGGCCACTTCGCACGCGCCCACACCGGCTCCCCAGCTCCCCCCTCAACCAACTGCTGCACGACCCGAACTTGTTCCTTCTCTAAGACCATCTATGGCTCGTCCTTCTCAGCGACCACCCCCGGCCACAATGGAATCGGAATCGCTCTTTGTCCCTCAAGATGACGAGCATAATTGGGATCCTGTCAATCTTGGCGAAGACGAAGACGGAGATGAAAATGCACGGTTGGAATGGGATGTGAGCGGAGATCTGGTGAGCATTCCTTGTCTCCAGACCTTTTCTCAGAAGTCGCTAATATAAGTTAGAACACATCAACAATGAATTTGAGGACCATGATGGCAAATGGGGGCACCCAAGACGTAAGGCCTGCCAATACCGTTGATGAAGATTTCTCACATTTTGAACCGACGCAACGACTCTCAGAGGTCCGCAGTTATGGGCTCTTCCAAGATTAGGAAGTTGTGATCATTCTCCGTTAAATGGTTAGGAGAAGAATTACGGCGCCTTCAAAGGAAAAGTCCATCTGCTGTAATGTTGATCCAGCTTGTAGCACATCCAGCCCCAATAGCTGTAAATCTAGACCCTTCTGACAAGTGCTTCAATGATGCGAGCACGTTCCATCGCCCCTTGACATCCCCGAATTTCTCGGTTTGCGGTCCACAATTTCCATGCTCACCCCAGCCCCAGGAAACTACTTCGCTGTTCCTCGTCAAAGCCAAGATATGTTCGCTGCCGGCGACGATACACTCAATTTCTGGAAGGCCAGGAGGTGGTAGCTGGCCATGGTCATCCCGACCCCATGCGACGAGTGTGCCGTCTCGTTTTAAGATGTAAATGCACCCCCAGCCTGCACTTATCATGCTCCAGCTGGGTACCTCAGTGGGCGCGGTGCTCTTTAGTCCCCATTTATCTGCTCCAAGAGCAAGTATGCGACCATCACCAGGTTCACCAATAAGACAAGTTGTATATTGACAGCAGACAGCCTTGGCTACCTTGAAAGAAATCCCACTGATTCTCCGAGGGCGAGATATGATGCCGTTTGGATCGGCTACATCGCTCACATCCCCTAGCTGTCCCTTTCGGCCATTGCCCCAACCGTAAACGTCCCCGTTGTCTAATACAGCAACCAAGTGACGAAACCCGGCAGAAATACATACAACTTCTGTTCCAGGCGGAGGAAAATCGGCAACTAAACCGGAGTCAGTGGCCACAGGCCCACACGCATACAGTTTTGTAGCGTTGTAGTTCTCATCCTCCAACACGAAAACCGACGAGTCCCATGTACAAGCTACCTTGGAGATAGGCCCCTGAGGCTGTGGAGAAACTGGTAGTATTACTTTGCGGAATTTTGACACTTCTTCGTCGGGTTTTCCTACGACCCCGCAGGCACCGGTTGATGGGTCGCCAGCCCAGTATGCCTTTCGAGACTTGGTGAGAATAATGGTGTGATTTCCCCCGGCTATGATTTGTGCAACTTCATCATAAAAAGCTTCCTCGTCTTCAAACTCGACCTGCTTGGGCACTGAGACGTCCTCTTTGTGGCCTATGCCAAGTTGGCCAGAGCCGTTGGAGCCCAGGGCGAATAGGCCGTTCATAGCTCCCACGATAGAAGGATATTACCAGTCAAAGGCGACGTTTGATTAAGATTTTTAAGGTGCCATCATGTATGATGATTCTGTGATCGTTGGTATCAGGTGTAATATGATGTATATGCCTAGGCCTCCAAGATTTATAAGAGATAGGATGTCTTAATACCTACCCTAAAAAGTTAGTGGACTTCTAGGCGGTTCAAGGCCCCAGGGCCCAGGGGTCGAACCTTAGTTAAAAGATTGGCACTACACTATGTAACTCCGTATAGAAGTGGGCCTACCGTATCGGATCAATCTGGTCCGACCACCGGAAGCCCCATAAGGCCCCAGCTCATGCCCCACATAAATTTTCCATAACTTTTCGGCGCTTCACTAATTTTTTTTCTTCATTCCTACCTCTTCACCCTTCACACTTCATACTTCAGTGTGATATCTACCGTTTGTACTTTACCTCACCATCCCGCGAGCGTAAAGGAGCTATTGAAACCTACAATAATGTGAACGTATCACTATTATTAGTTTTCTATCAAGGTAGTAAATCGCGGTAGGAAAGGATTCTCACCATGGCGGCCGACAACGACTCCAGTGTGCCTTCAAGCATGAAGAAGTTCGTTGTTGGCATCATTGGTATGGGTGATATGGGGAAGATGTATGCGCGGAGGCTTAGTGATGCTGGATGGAGGTAAGACATGGTCTGTCTGATCGAGCACGTCGCATCTAAGCCTCCGTCAACCTATTCGGTAAGTCAAGCTTCCTTTTTTTTCAACACACTTCCTTCGCATATGATGACTTGAGTGCATTTGGCTCGAGCATTGCTTTCGGCATTCGGGGTAGGCCATTCTGGTTCCCGGCTGTCGTCTGCTTTCCATGATGTAAATTCTCAGCTACCTTAATTATTTTTTGTCTGAAGCGCCTTCACAATATCGTATCTTGTTTGACATCTTCTCTCTGCATTATGCTAACAATACGATTCACAGGCTTAGCATCGTAATCACGAAAATTACTCTAAACGTACTAACAGGATATCGCCAGAATCATGGCTTGTGACAGGGAGGAGTTGTATGAGAGTCTGTGTGAAGAGTTTGCTAGTAGGGTACATAATCTGTAATTATCCACTCTCAGAAGCAAATCATGCTGAGAGGTGTCTAGACCAATATACAAATTCTCCGAAATGGCCATCTTGTATCCCGTGCGAGCGACTATACCATCTATAGCGTTGAAGCTGCATCAATTAGCCGTGTTGTCGCTGAATACGGCCCTTGTATGATGACCCCATCATAGTTATCACATAGTCTACGTCTACTAACTAGACATACGTATAGCAACCAAACTCGGGGCCATAGTTGGTGGACAAACGTCGTGTAAAGACCCCGAGATTAAGGCGTTCGAAGATCATCTTCCAAGCGATGTAGACATCGTGTCCTGCCATTCTCTTCATGGCCCTAAAGTAGACACAACGGACCAACCACTAGTAATACCTCAAATTCACGTTGCCAACTATACTATATAGTCCTGCTCACCAGATCCCAGGTCCTTATTAAGCACCGGGCTTCGACCGAATCATTTAACAAAGTTGAGACAGTTCTTCGATGCCTCCATTCGAAACACGTATACCTCACAGCTCACGAGCACGACCGTATCACTGCAGACACGCAGGCAGTGACACACGCAGCCTTCCTCAGCATGGGCAAGGCATGGCACTCGACCCGCCAATTTCCCTGGGAGGGCGCGCGCTACGTCGGCGGCATCGAGAACGTGAAGATCAACCTAACCATGCGCATCTACAGCCAGAAGTGGCACGTCTACGCCGGCCTCGCCATCCTCAACCCCGAGGCCCGCAAGCAGATCAACCAGTACGCCAAGAGCGTCACCGAGCTGTACAAGCTGATGCTCGGCGGCCACCTCGACGAGCTGCGCGTGCGCGTTCTCAGCGCCAAAGAAAAAGTCTTCGGCAAAGAGCACGACCCTAAGTGGGCCGGCAAGCCGCTGCTCAAAGACGAGGTCCTGGACCAGTTCAGCCTCGGCGGGCCCCGCGTCGACCACACCCCCTTGCCCAACAACCACCTCAGCCTGCTGGCGATGGTCGACTGCTGGAGCGCGCTCGGCATCGTCCCCTACGACCACATGATCTGCAGCACGCCGCTGTTCCGCCTCTGGCTGGGCGTCACCGAGCACCTGTTCCGCGACCACGGACGTCTCGACGCCGCGCTGCGCATCGCCGTCGAGGACAACACGTTCCGCAGCGACGACCTCGAGTTCACGTTTGCGGCCCGCGGGTGGGCTGAGTGTGTTGGGTTGGGTCACTTCGAGACCTGGAAGGAGCGGTTTATCGTCACGCAGAAGTTCTTCGAGCCCAGGTTCCCGGGCGCGATTGAGGTCGGCAATGCGATGGTTAAGGCGGTGCTGGAGAGTACGAAGGGTTAGTTAGGTTGGTGGTGGCTGTATCATGTGGAGTTGGTTGGCTGTCTCTTTATTTACATCGTGTGCCTATATTTTAGTTCTTTGGTGTGTCCGTCGCGTCAGCATATTATTTCACGAATGGTGGTATATATACACCTCACTTAGAATTGCAGATTTATATTAAGAGCGCCTACATATCTTGCACGCCTATGTACCTACTTTTGATAGAATGACAATTACTTGGTTAGTTCACCCTGTCAGAATTCGCTTACTGTCCTCGTAGCTTGGCCCTTTTCAATTTCAATCATTGCTATAACCAAAAAGAAAATACCATACATCATCGCCGCCGCTTAGTTTTAGTTGCCAGAGAACATTTCGAACGCTATATACATACAAGTTCCCCCCCCTAATCTGCCGATATCCCTTAAGTGTGAAATATGACCACAAGAATGAAGCGCACCTAGTTCCCTCTCATTTTCAAATGCTAGATTTTGGCCCCAACAGCTCATCAGCAATAGCCCGTCCAGCCGCTCTGCCCGAGAATATGCATCCACCAAGAAACGTGCCCTCGAGCGAGTTATAGCCATGAACGCCGCCGCCGCCAAACCCAGCCGCTTCGCCCGCCGCGTACAGACCCGGGAACTTCTCGCCGTTCGCCTTCATAACGTTGCTCTCGAGGTTCGTCTCGAGACCGCCCAACGTCTTCCGGGTGAGCAGGTTCATGCGCACGGCGATGAGCGGGCCGTGCTTGGGGTCGAGGATCTGGTGCGGCGGCGCGACGCGGCTGCGGCTGTCGGGCCAGTAGTTGCGGCCGTTGCGGATCAGCATCGCCTGCGCGTCCTTGCAGAAGCTGTTCTCCATCTGCGCGTCGCGCGCCTCCACCACTTCTCTGATGGCTTTGGGGTCAAGCAAGGGACCGCTGACGGATTGCGCGAGCTCGTTCATCCCGGACACCAGGTCCTCGAGGTTGTCGCGCACGACGAAGTCCTTGCCGTGCTCCTGGAACTTCTGCACTGGCACGGGGCCCTTGGACCCGAAGACGCGGTTGAGCAGGAGCTGCCATATGCTTTTCCCGGTGATGTCGGGGTTCTGCTCTGAGCCCGAGAGCGCGAATTCGCGCGCGATGATGGTCTGGTCCAGGATAAACCAGCTGTAGTCGTACCCCGTGCTACAGATATGCTTGAGCGTGGCCAGGGTGTCGCAGCCCGGGTAGAGGAAAGGTGGTAGTCGCTTGCCGGTAGCATCGAGCCAAAGCGACGAAGGCGCGGGTAGGACGCGGATTCCATGATTCGGCCAGATCGGGTCCCAGTTCTGCAGCCCCTCCGTGTAATGCCACATCCTATCGCGATTGACCAAGTTGGCGCCCGCGCCCTCGGCAATACCCATCATCCTGCCGTCGACGTGCGCGGGGACACCGATGACGAAGTTCTCCGGGACCTTGGGACCAAGCCGGCCTACCGGCCATACCTTTTTCACAGCCTCGACGTTCCCGCCAATCCCACCTGACGAGACGATGACAGCAGACCCGTGGAACTCGAAACCGCTAACCTCCGTCCGCGACGTCTTCGCACCCCTCGGCGCCGGGTCCAGTTCGAGAATCTGCCCCTTGACCCCGAACGCCCGGCCGCTCTCGTCGACCAGCAGCTCGTCCACCCTGTGCCTGAACTTGAACTCCACGAGCCCCTTCTTCGCCGCCTCCCGCACCGGCTCCTCGAACGCGCGCACGATCTCGGGGCCCGCGCCCCAGGCGATATGGAAGCGGGGTACCGAGTTGCCATGGCCATCAGCCGTCCCGTCGCCGCGCTCGGCCCAGCTGACATTGACCATGAAGCCGACGCCTCTGGCCTTGAGGTACTTCTCCATGCCGTCCGTGGCAAAATCGACAAAGGCCTCGGCCCAGCGGCGGGGCCAGACGTCGTCGCCGTCGAGGCGGTCGAAGCGCGCGGACCCGAGCCAGTCGCGCATGGCGAGCGCGCGGCTGTCGCGGATGCCGAGGCGCCGCTGCTCCGTCGAGTCCACGCAGAAGATGCCGCCCAGCGACCAGAAGGCCTGCCCGCCCAGGTTCTGGTCGCCCTCCTGGTCTACTATGATGGAGCGGACGCCGCGCGAGGATAGCTCGAAGGCGGCTACGAGACCGGCTAGGCCGCCCCCCACGATTATTACGGGGGAGGTTTGTTTGGCGGGGGTGTCGTCGTATGCCATTGTGCTTATTTTGTTATAAATTGTATAAATTGATCTTTGATTTATATATTATATACATACGAATTATTCTTATTCTTATTTCAACATTAGACATATGCGATTAAGAAATAATAAATCCTCCCTTGTAAGTTCAAGGTTGGCATGGTTAGTTGGGGAACGTCTTATAGTAGCGCGGTTCGCTTTCACGTGGTATCGAACCGAGGCACTTTGATAACTATGTGCGTAGGTTACAATAATAGCATGTACTGTACTATTACCCTGCGTCGTTCCTTCTTTCATCGAACGATGGTGGCTTCGTCCGCTGATCCTTATTGGCAAATACGAGGTTATAGATCCCACCTTCTCCAAGTATTGTTACATAAGCAGAAGGATCCTGTGAGTGAGTTATTGTCTACCAGATACATGTATACTAAGGTAGATAATCACGTGCCATGGAAAGGGGTTTTGTTGCACTCAGTGCCATGTACATAGTAAGTACATCATTCTCCAACATAAATTACGTTCGGTTTCGATAATGTGTGCGTACCTAGGTACCTTTAGGGAAGCCAACACGCCATCCCATCTACAAGAGATTCTAAATCTGGTGCCCGCGGACTCCTGAGAACTCACATTTGATAAATTACCTCGCAAAATGAGGTGTTGGCTACAAGATATTTGGAAGTAGTCATTTTAAATCCGCTAAATCCAGACATCAGGTAACATTCATGCATCTTACCTTCGCGGAGATAGGAAGGAATATATTTCTAAGGTAGCAGTGTAGGTATATATATAAATGAATAACGAGGTCAAGACTCAATACTGATGGCATGGTCAGACTTCTCACATTCTTGACTAACACTCCCTTCTCTTTGCTGCCCCTTTACACTTGACAGATAAGCCAACGAACCTATCTAGCGACAAGATGACGGCCACCACATACCCCGAGTTCCATAAGGAGACAGAAGCCTTGGACGTGGCCAAAGCTTTTGCGGAGGAGATTCGTGGGAAAACCATACTAGTAACTGGTGTGAACCGTGGAGGGATTGGGTTCTCGACCGCGCAAGCATTTGTAAATATCGAGCCAATTGCGAGCTTCTAGGTATAACATGAAGCGCTAATCGAACATGCAGGCTTCTCAATCCCCTGCTCACCTGATCATCGCCAGTCGCACCCCCTCAAAGATGCAGGAGAGTATTAATGAGCTCAAAGCCGAGTATCCTACAGTCAGCTATCATGCCCTTACGCTTGATCTGTCCACGCAGAAAACCGTCCGGGCTGCTGCCGATGAGCTGCTTTCCTGGGAAGACATACCTGCTGTCGATATCCTCGTGAACAGCGCGGGCATCATGAACATCCCCGAGCGCACGATCAACGAGGATGGGATCGAGATTCACTTTGCTACTAACCACATCGGCCACTTTTTATTCACTTGCTTGGTCATGCCCAAGCTTCTCAAGGCCGCAGAGAAGAATCCAAAGGGACGTACCCGAATCATCAACGTCACCTCCGGCTCCCCTACCGTAGCGCGCCCGCGGTGGAGTGATCGCAACTTCGACAAGAAGAACAAAGATCTTCCCGAGGCAGAGCAGCCCAACTACCAAGTACAGAAAATGTGGGGGGAGATAGATCCAGAGGAGAAATCGTATCTCTCACTCGAGGCCTACAACCAGTCCAAAGTGGCGAACGTGCTGTTCAGCGTCGGCGCGACGCAGAGGCTGTACGCCAAGTACGGGATCCTCAGTCTCGCGGTCCATCCGGGGACGATCCAGACCGAGCTGCTCCGAGCGTACCAGACGGAAAAGTTGGAGGCGCTCAAGCGTATGGAAGCCGCGGGGCGTCTCACTTGGAAAACTCAGGGTGGGGGAGCCTCGACGAGTCTTGTAGCGGCGCTGGACCCGAAGCTCGGGCTACCGGAGAACAAGGACGGCAAGGAGAACTTGGGAGCATTTCTGGCAGATTGCCAAATCTCTGACAAAGCGACCCCGGAAGCTGTCTCAAGCGAGCAAGCGGAGAGGATGTGGAGTTTGTCCGAAGAATTGGTCAACCAGAAGTTTGCTTGGTAGGTAAAGATTGACCTATGTATTGTTCCATCACACATTGTACAACAGCTGTTAGTAATTTGGCTAAGTTAGGTAGTTCAGTTATATAACTCCGATCATTATATACCGAAACCATAAGCCACATGACGACAGCGACAAGGTACCCTAAGTAGGCAGTCACTGAAGTCGGCAGTCATCATGCAGCCACTAGGTAACTATGGGGAGTGTGTTCCAAACAGTGAGATTCCAAGGCACTGGATCCGTAGGAATGTGTACCTCGAGGGCTGTGCTGGCCATGGAGATAGGGGCTTATAACCGAAGACAAGGAAAGATGCAGGGGTACGTAATAGGGGCCTGGGCTAACCTGGAATATATGCATATAGCATGAGTTTATTGCCAGTGGTTAAGTACATATTTACCTAGGTGTCTCAATAACTTCAAGGAAACAACATCGATTTCACGAACCAACCCAAACACATACTCATATCCCACCCTACATACTCTCCAGCGAGTATGGACTCTCATAAAGAAGCAGTCATATCCATCTCTAAACGTCTAGAGCAATTCTACGCCCAACGCCAGCCCTTCAGAGTCTACCACGGCACCACCAACAGCACGCGCACCTCAGACAAGAGCCGCAGCAACACCGTCGACACCAGCAACCTCAACCATGTCCTCTCCATCGACCAGACCAAAAAGACCGCCCTCGTCGAGCCCAACGTCCCCATGGACCAGCTCGTCGCCGCGGCCCTGCAAAACAGCCTAGTCCCGCTCGTCGTCATGGAATTCCCGGGCATCACCGTCGGCGGCGGCTTCAGCGGCATGGCCGGCGAGAGCAGCTCGTGCCGCCACGGCCCCTTCGACTCGACCGTCAACTGGATCGAGATCGTGCTGGCTAGCGGCGAGACCCTGCGCGCGTCCAAGACCGAGAGGCCGGACCTGTTCTGGGGCGCCGCGTCCGCCTTCGGAACCCTCGGCGTCGTCACGCTGTTGGAGGTCCAGCTGAGAGATGCCAAGGACTTGGTCGAGCTGACGCATTACCCTGCATCCAGCTTCGCGGCCGCGAGCCAGAAGATCCAGGAGGAGATCGCCGACCCGGCCGTGGAGTACGTCGACGCCGTCGCTTTTTCGGCGCAGTCGTTTGTCATCTGCTCCGGCCGCCTGGTCGACGCCGTGCCCGATGCCAAGCCGCGACGGTACCTGCGGCGTCAGGACCCGTGGTTCTACCTCGACGTGCAGAAGGTGGCGCAGAAGGCGAAGGCGAAGGCGAAGGCAGAGCAAAAAGCAGTCGTCCACTACATCCCCCTAACCGACTACCTCTTCCGCTGGGACCGCGGCGGGTTCTGGGTCGCGCGGTACGCGTTCCGCTACTTCCTCACGCCCTTCAACCGCGCGACCCGGCTCCTCCTCGACCGCTTCATGCGCGCGCGCGTCATGTACCACGCGCTGCACGCGAGCGGGCTATCCTCCACCTACATCATCCAAGACGTCGGCATCCCCTTCCCCCACTCCCCCGCCTTCCACCACTTCCTCGACGCCAACCTGCCCACCTACCCCCTATGGCTGTGCCCCGTGCGCGCGCGCCGCGACGACCCCGACTCCGCGCACGGGCTGCACGCGCACTTCTCGTCTTCCCACAACAACAACAATCCCGACGCCGACCCGCACCCAGAGTTCCTCCTCAACTTCGGCATCTGGGGGCCCGCCCCCCCCTCCCGCGATCCCGCAGACCTGGTGCGCCTCAACCGCTCCATCGAGCACCGGGCCCACGCCCTCGGCGGCACCAAGACCCTGTACGCGCAGGCGTTCTACACGGAGGCCGAGTTCTGGGCGACCTACGACCGCGGCGCGTACGACGCCGTGCGCGCCGCCTACGGCGCCTCGCATCTGCCGAGCGTGTATGATAAAGTCAAGGTTAAGATAGATGACGATGATGGGGAGGTCTCGAGAATGCCCGCGGCTCTGCGACGGGTTAGGCCGTTTCAGGGGCTGTATGGGGTTTATAAGGCGTGGAGGGGTGGGGAGTATTTGTTACGGGAGAGGGGGGAAAGAAAGGAGAAAGGGGAGGGGAAGGGACAGCCTGCTGCGAATAAGGATACTACGGTGGAATCTGCCACGAATGGAAGCTAAGGGCGTGTACGGTAGGCGAAAGTTCCAAGTTCCTGAGCACTTTGCGTGCGTATCTACCTAAGTAAGGATGATCACACGAGTTAAGCACATTCACTGTTTTCCTTTTGGTTATGTAAATTTCATGAATTCATGTCTATATACGATATTACAAAGAATGCGAAGCTAATCTAAATCGATAGACGACGCCACCAAAGATCTTCCTTCGCTTAAGCTACACACTTCCCCATCTTAAGATCGCTTAACGACGTAAGCGCCACGCTCAATGGTGTTGATCAAGATGTAGCCGCTCTTGAAGTAGGGGTAGTGGCTCCAGGTGCCCTGGAACTCGATCTGGCCACCGCCCTCAGCGTCGTCATCCTCGGGGTAGATGTCGAAGTAGGCGACCTCCTTGACGCCGGCGCCGGTGGGGTCCGACGGGATCGAGGAGATGTCGAGGATGACGAGGCCGCCGCCGTAGTTGCTCTGGTAGGCAAAGTCACCGTCGATGAACTGGTTGTGGTCGATGCCCTTGCGTGTGGCCTTGTAGTACCCGGTCTGCTTGGGCGCCTCCAGCGACGACACGTCCCAGATGTACGTGATGGGGTAGCCCGGCTCGCCGAGACCAACGTGGTCGTACTCGTCGTACTCGTCGTCGAGCACAAGGTACTGCTGCCATTGGGTATCGAGAAGCCAGCCCTGGTGGGTGTAGCTGGCGCCCTCGTACGACGTGCGCGAGATGACGCTAGTGTGCGCCTTGTCCGTCACGTTGTAGATAGTCAAGGTATCCTCGTTGTACCCGTAGCAGATGTCCTCACCCACGTATTTCTCGTCCGGTCCCCGGTAGATGAGACATTGCGCGTCGTGCACGTAGCCGTCGTCGGCGGCGCAACCTGGCGATGTCAGGTTCGATAGGTCGGACAGGTCGATGAAGATCAAACCCGACTTGCAGGCATCGGTACGCGGCTGTGAGCCGGAGGCGACGGCATAGCCCACCTCCTCGTTGGTCTGAACCGTGTGGGATCGGCCAGAAGGAAGGCCGTTGAAGTGGGCAATGTCATCCTCGTTGTTGAAGGTGACGGGGCTGGCCGGGTCGACATCGAGCAGCTTAGCCATGTCAAAGACCTGGACACCGTGGTTGACAGCTTCACTGCCAATGACAATCGAGCTCTTGTAGCCCTTGATCTCGCGCCATAGCGAGGGCTCGGCATCAGGGTATTGTGGCAATCGACCGAGGTAGATAAGCTTGCCTTCGGGGCTGATTTCAGCAAAGGCGGAACCGTCGGACTGAGCGATGGCAACGAATTCGCGGCCTTCCGGGCTAGTCCAACCCCATGAACCAGCACCCTCGCCGCCGTTGCTGCCGAGATCGGCGTGTGACTGGAAGTCGTACAGGTCTAGACCGTTGCACTTGAAGGTATAGAGAGGGTCGCCAGCAATGTATTCTGCAATGCCGTTTACGCAAGGAACCACGTCGGCGGCAGCGCCCATGCTCTTGTATTGGCTGGAGTCGAAAAGACCCTGCTCTCTTCGGCTGGCCCAGTATGACTATGGCTTTATCGTTAGCATGATTAGCTCAAACAATACTTGGAAAAATGAATGCACGTACCTCTTTAGCCTCCATAATATTCTGGTGTCGAATACCACTGTCGAAGAGCTCTGCTGCTTTTATCTCGTCTGGTGGCATCTCCTTTGCAGCCGCGAAGCTGGAAAGCGCCGCGAGGGCGACTGCGTTCAAGGAGTACTTCATCTTGCTTGACGAATTCTCAGGTTCTATCCTACGGCCACATACGAGTTTGGATTGTCGGGAGTTAGGCACAGAGAAGCATAGCCAAAGTAATTAAGAGATTCACATGGCCGCCCGACCCTTATATACCCAAAGTGATTAGCTGCCGTGAAAAGGCGCCCGGATCAAGAAGCCGTAATGCCAATGCGCCAATGCACTTGATCGCATATCGACGAGGGTTCGGATGTCGTGGGCAATGGCATCATGTGCGTAGATACTGTCGTAGCATCCCAATCTACCTAAAAGGGTAGGTGGATGACAGTTTTAATATGTAGACTAGGACGGCAACAGTCGAATTCTGGCCTATACCCCGGCATTTTCTCCTGTGCCCAGCCCTTGGCGCACAATTATGCCACCCTATCTTGATAGACGCTCTTCGATATTCAACAGGAATCGCGGTGCATACATAGCTATGTGATGGTCCCTGCTCGCCGATCCCTCCTCCCATGTATTGAGCCGGCCAATCAACAAGCTCCCCTTTGTTATATAACAAAGAATGCTTGGGGGTAAATATGGTTACTTCTCTGGCGTGTCTCGTAGCAATTGCCGAGAGAGGCAGGACAAGAGTATATACCCACGTCGATGGAGGTTCTTGGCAAAGTTCTCTACTATGTAGGTGACAGCGTGACTCTTCTCCATTCTCGTATAAGATATCATACCTAACCTACTTAGATACCTAGACATGAAGACAGGACGGCTAGGTTCGTGGGGTTTGTGAGTTACAATACGGGATCTGGAATGAAAACGAGTATATCGCTTGCGCGCACGCCATACCCGCGGCCGTATTAATAAGGCTTTACAGTTTGAGTCTCGACTCGGCCGGTAGCAGGCGGCTCTCCGGATTGTCGTAGTACGTTATCATTGATACCCTCCAAGGGCCGATTCCTGTGCCCCCCTTTTAGTGTACACCGAATACCGATGTGTGAGTAAGGTTGTTTTTCGGAGCTTTGGTCGTCGCCGATTGTTCAGCCTCTGCGATGAATGAGGCGGAAAACTCAACTCAACTCAACTCAACTCAACTCAACTCAACTCAACTCAACTCAGCCAACCAAGCAAGCAAGCAAGCATGACTTAGAAATCTTCAAGAGATACAGTAACACCAAGACTACAGCCAGCGCTACAAGAGGTTGCAATTAGAATATTACAAGTCGATCGCATCGAATACGGGTTCCATCGGTCTGACTGTGTTCAGGAACATGCCCAACCAATCCCCTCTCCGCCCCCGGGGCCCGAATACCTAAGCCGGGAAACTCCCATTACAGCAGTTCTGTCGGTTAGTTGGCTATAGTGGTTTGCCTAGGTAGGAAGCTGTCCAATAATTCGATTAGACGATTCCAGGCGATTTCAATATCATTTGCTTGGCGGGTGGCTTTTTGAGGTTCTAGAAAAACTTGAACTATCCATTCCAAGGCTTGTCTCTTTCTTATGATGGTGTCTCTCCCGTCTTTTCCTTGTTGCCTTCCCGAACCGCCGTAGTTCCAGCTAGCACTCCCGGACCTTCGGTGTACGAATCAATGCGGTTGACCTTGGAAACTTGGCGGCTTCACGACAATGGGGAGACGACAACATAGGGAACAACCAAACCTACAAATGAATAAACCTTGATATGAATGTTATGTTTCCTGAGTAAGGAGGTGCATATCACCACTATGTATGTAGTATGAAGGTGGCTTAAGGAACGAACATGCAGTACATAACTACATGTATGTAGAATGCTCAGGCTGGACAGACATGGAGATAAGTATGTACATATGTAGGTTAGTACAAGTACTATGTAGTTAGGCGATGCCAAGTCAACTTTGAAACATTGAAGATCTGGGCGGCGCGATAGATACTAGGTACCTAGGTACCCGGATTAGAATTTACTAACCTACATGTAGGTAACTAGTGTAACATTGAACGTGGAAGACTTAACCTTAATTAGTAAGCTATACGAAAGATGGGATGGCCCTGCTCGTATGCCTGCCTACTGTACCTAGGCACTAGGGTAGGTAGGCATCACAGTGATCACACATATGGAGATGACATTGTTTGAACCAAAACTACTGGTTGGCAGTGCTGCTTTAGCTATATAAATGACAAAGGCACGTCCTTCGATTCGTGCTATTGTTCATTCTCACTTCTCTACATAGTAATAACTTGAAAAGAAGTCGGAAGCCACAGACAGACAGAGAAGATTTACATACATCCATGGATGCAAGAAGACCATAGGTGTTAACCTACATGCGGTTAAAGCGTTACCTGATTTCAGTAATGATCTCAGTAGCAATGACTGACTCGCATTGGGGATATTTATGTATATCCATTACCTCAGATAATCTTTTACATAGGTATGTAAGTGTACATATGTATCCTAGGGGAAAAAGTTAAAGGGTCAAATATTTAACTTTGAAATCATTTACAGAGAGGAAATAAGGAAATAAGGGAAAATAAAGAAAATAGGCAGCCATCAATCAATCAATGATGATCCTTCCTTGTTATTTATAATTTTCACTAGTCAAGTTTTGTTGATTGAAGAAAAGAGTTAATTAGTATGTATCCTCACACAATGGTCTTTTTTCTGTGGAGATCTCTCCGCGGATTTCACTAGAACGGCTAGACCCGCTAGTCCAGCTGGATCTAGGTTAGAAACTCTGCCAAGTGTGTAGGTACTATCTCAGTACTTATTCCTACAGTCTTCTACAGACAAATACCTGTCAGGTACGTGTTACTTTCCACATCACATGTACACATGGGCAAATGTTGAACCTGAGCTAAGCCGGGAAAAACTCCGTGTCTTGTGTAACCAGTACCAGAAGAAATCGAAGCTGTGTGACGACCGTTGTCAGTGTTGCAAGGTTTCCAAGGATATTCCAAGCTCCCAAGGTTTATTCCACCGACAAAACGACAAACGGTAAACGGTAAACGGTAAACGTCAAGAGTTACCAAGTTACCAAGTTACCAAGTAACCCAGTTACCACCGCCTCATTTTTAAACCTTTGGACAAGCACAAAAATATAACCTAATAACCTAATCAGTTTTTTATATTTTATATTACTACCTATTTATTACCCTGCCTTGCCATCAGGCAATGGAGTCTGACCCAAATGACCCAAACGGTCCTGGTCCTAGCAAACGTCGACTGCTTTCAATTGCACCAGCCCCAACCAGCGGGTCGGGTCAAGGCAGATCTGCAGATGCGGGCTCGAGGGGTAGAAGACAAGTGACGGCTGCGTGTGAAGCTTGCCGGAAAAGGAAGTCAAAGGTGAGGATAATTATGTTTTTGTGTAATGGTGTTTTTGTTTTTATTACCTACCTAGGTATATATATGCCTAAGATATTGATTCATGAAGGAGTGTTACCTGTCACAAGTTCACAATAACTATATCTATGACTATCTATACATAAGCTAACCAACCGGGTCTTGTCCTTGTGTGTTCCCAGTGTAACGCTGAACGCCCAAGATGTGGTCTCTGTGTGAGACATGGGACAGATTGTCGATATGCTACGGCCCCAAAAGAAACACACTCGCAGGCCTTGAAACGGAAGCATAGCGAGTTGCAAAACCGAATCACCCCCTACGAAGAGCTCTATGATCTCCTCAAAACCAAGACCGAGACCGAATCTCTCGAGATCCTGAGAAGGATCCGATCTGGCAACGATGTCAGTTCTATCTTGCGTCACGCAAAGGATGGAGATCTTCTCATACAGCTCTCCTTGGCCCCTGAAGCTCGGCGCCGATACGAATTTCCCTACATCACTGACATGCCAGCTTCCATCTTGGTGTCGGACAACCTCTACTTGCGATCTTTTGTCTACGAGACCACCTTTCGTGCTCCTCCTTCTCATGGTTTTCAGCATGAGTCTCAACGTCAAGGGTATGGAGATGACCGATATCTCAAACCCTACCATGCAGCTCAGATCGTTGATCCCGTTTTCTCGAACCTCAACATCTCGCAATGGACTTCTGTAACATCAGACAACCACCTTTTAAGAAAGCTGCTCAATTCATATGTCATGTTCCAACACGCTTGGACTGCTTCCTTTCAAATGACATATTTCCTCAAAGATCTCGCGTCTGGACACACTCGGTTCTGCTCGTCTCTGCTAGTCAATGCTGTGCTTGCAGCCGCATGCGTAAGTCCACGTCGTAGATCGGTCATGGCCTAGGCATCTTACTTATTGGCTAATCCCCCCCTAGCATATGGATCGTGACGTTCCAAACCGTGCCAAATTTTGGATCCCTCAGAATCTAGGATACCAATTCCTGGCGGAGGCAAAGAGACTCTGGGAATTAGAGAGCCGGAAGAGCGCCAAAACCCTGACGACGATTCAAGCGGCCGTCCTTCTTAGCATCGTGGCAATCACGACAGCTATGGATAAGGTTGGCACGTCATATTTGATGCAAGCCATAGTCATGGCCATGGATCAAGATATGTTCAGCCCTACTACAGGCACGGACAACGAGAAGCTGAGGAGAGCACGGGCATTTACTGCCTGGGGATTGTTTTGCTGGCAAGCGTATGTGAATGCAGCTCATTACCTACACCGCTCTATACTAAACACGTTAGCATAGTTGGCAGCAGTTTTACTTCACCATGCCCCCATTAATCAGAGAAGCCCCAGCGTTCCCGCTGCCCGATCCCACGGTTGACCCTCAATGGTATGGGGAGATATGGATACGCTATCCAATGAGCCAGACGGTATACCCTGTTCATCTCGGCACTACTATCAAATGCAACTTCGAGCTACGCAAGATGATGAATGCCATGGCATCGGAGCTTTTTGAAGAGGATAAGCCTCCCATAGTGACGCCCGGGGAAATTCTAGAATGCAAGTCTAGATTGGATATGTGGTTCACTAACCTCCCAGACCCGCTCACCCCGACAAAAATTGTGCTGCCAGACCAAATCAAAATTCAGTGAGTAAACTACCTCGCTCTCCTTATACCTAGGTAGCATACAATTATAGTATACAACCGACATCGTAGGCTGACTGGGTGACATCGATGTACTAGCTTGGAGTATTATGGTACCATTATGGTTCTCGTGCGCCTCCTGATACAGTCAGGAACCACATTGGACCTCACATGGCAAAACGTCATTACCCATGCAGAGGTTCGCCTTGAGACTCTACTACGACTCTATTACCTCCGTCATAGCTACGAGTCATACGACCCATTACTGATGCATTGGCTGGTGTTTTTGGGCGACAACATGCTTCTCAAGCTCGGCAATACAGAGGGTTTAGGTTCAGATTCATCCACATCAGTACCGACGAGAACGTTGCCCCCCGCGACCTTCGAATCATTACGGTCGACGCTAATTCTTTGTGCCAAGGGTCTCTATGATCAAGCCCGCAATTACCATATTGCGGTACTTGTATACCGACTCCTCCGTGACCGCATGAAGGCCAATGATGTTGACCTGCTACGGACACACATCTTCGCGTCATCACCTACATCTTCCCCACCCCCAAGCAACGCTGCAACTGACGACGAAAACCTCATGGTGCAGTACGTCCAGGCGCAGTGGGTGGCGCCCATTGCGCCATCCGTCACCGATTGTAGTGCCCCCACTAGGAAAACGCTTGACTATCTGTTCAAGCAGTACGAAAAATTGACTCTAGACACGACTCCGGAAGAAGTGAGCGACGTGGGCAGCTCGACAGAGTCTTGATCGTCAGTCTAGTAAATGGTGTGCATCTGAAAAGCCACATCTATGTGAAATCGGCTCTTGCAAGCCAGCATATACAGCGTTTTCGCAACTTATATTTCCGAATTAAGAGCACTCATGGGCAATACCTTATACCTTTTCTAAGGAAACCACCCACTGAACTAATACGCCCTTTCAGTTTTTGATAACAGCATTTTCATTTTTTCTTGTTTTATTCATTTTTTGAGGTTACTTTGATTCCATTGTTCCAGTCATCTTCCATCTTACATACCTATATCTTCAGCATAGCATCACCTCCTACGCATCACGGCCAGTCAAGGCGGGTGGGGGTTTATATACATACGAGTTTCATGAGGGACAACCTTCTGCATATCCTTTTTTTTTTTTTTTTTTTTACTTCTCTCTCGGCACGAAACTTTAGGATGAATATATATATTTACGGTACCTTCTTAATAAGGGCATTTGTATACCTGGGTAGTAGGTATGCAGAAACCACTAACGGAGATTGTTGTTAATGGGAATCATAGAAAAAGAAAAAGAAAGAAACGACCTTCCATCATCATCATCATCATCATCATCATCATCTAGATCTAGATCTATATACACAAACAAGTATTAGAAATAGTTTTAATAATGAAGCACATGATATGATTCTAGAATCATACTTACACATATCCAATCACCCAAGAAAGGATTTTTTTTTTATAAACTAATATCAGCGGTTGTTGCTGTATACCTACAATCCCAGCCGCTCCCCTCCCCTCCCCTCCCTCACCCCCTTTTTTCTTGACTAAGCCAACTCCTACATACCCTCCTTTCCATGTCAACTGAGCGGATGATATCACTTTTTTTTTTTGGACGTTCTACATCCTTAGGTAGACACCTAGGTATCTAGTTAGGTTAATAGGCACTATATCTACGAAAAGGGTCAAGAGAGAGAGAGAGAGAGTAACCATCCTTTTAAAGTAGGTATAAATCCATCAGCATGCACCACTCACCATACAGCTACCTAGCTAGCTGCATTGCCTCACGTGGCTACTAAATCTGAGCAAAACCAATCATACATACCTAAATACGTACGTACCTACCTACCTACCTACTTAGGCTAGGCTAGGCTAGGATACTTGTAAGGACAGCAACTTCTGCTCTCAAGGTGCTCGTCACTCGCCTACAGATGCGCGGGTGGCTAATCTCATCTTTTGTTCTTCGACCACCTCTCATAAGAAGAGCAAGGGCAATCAATATATATAGGCACCTATTCTCTTATGAGACCTCCTGTCCCTTCATACAGAGGTATCCCAGCTACCCTACCTAATTCTAATACCGTACCCCCCCATACTCTTAGATTGATTTTTGAGCAGTTCATGACAATGATTCTATAAGGCGCCGCCCGAGTATTCTACACCCACCGTCGTGAATCCCAGTATCTTAGGCGTTACTTCCAAAGCAGACGCCCTCCCACTCACCCCCTTTCCCATGAAGAGGGTATATCCATCTAAATAGCAACAAACAATCAACACAGCTCGTCCTTTTTTAGTGGCCAGTCAAGATCAGCCCACTCAGCTCAGCAACTCCTTAATGTCCTCGACTCTTTGGAGCCTCTTCTCTTCATCCGTCATCATGCCCAATGAAGTGGCACTGCGGGGCGACGCGTTAGTTGAGCAACAAAGCAGAAAAAGCCGAGGGATAGCACTTACATGAACTTTTTTCGGTCCTGGACCTTCAGCATCCTTTCCTCCACGCTATCCTTAACAATGAACCGGTAAACTTTGACCTCCTCTTCCTGGCCCATCCTGTGCACACGGTCAATGGCCTGAGCCTCAACAGCGAAGCTCCACCAAGGATCCATCATGAAGACACGATTGGCCTGCGTTAGGTTCAGGCCTACGCCACCGGCTCGTAGACTTAACAATAAGATGGTGAATTTGTTCGAGTCTTTGAATTGACTAAGTATGGCGGAGCGAGCTTTCTGATTAGTGGAGCCGTCGAGACGCAGGAAATGCATGTTGGCTTTCGTAAGTGCAGGCTCGATAAGCGACATAAATGAAGTGAACTGGCTGAATACCACCGACTTGATTCGGGGGTGTTGCCTACGCAGATTTCGTAGGTGGTCCATCAACGCAACGACTTTTGCTGAAGACTCGTTAGAACCTATACGCTGAAGACTGATCTTCGACGAAGTTTGAACAACATCCGGGTCGTCGTCGTGTCGGACTACTTCGAATAAGTCGCGACCGTTGATAGGCTCGCGGCAATTGAAGCATCTCGGTATCTGATGATGATCCGTGCTATGCTTTATATAATCTAAAAGACATTTCTTGCAAGCAGAGTGCCAGCAACCAGTGACCGTCTGGTTAAGCATTGGCTCCTCGGTACAGATAGGGCATTCGTTAACAGCTTCGTCTCGAATTTGCTGGAGAACATGAGCACCGAAGACATTGGCATCTTTCTCGTCCCCAGTTGTCGCGGTGAATCGTTCGATTAAAGACTGAAGGTCCATATCGTCGCTAAATCCAACAGCCGCATCTGCTTCTGCACCGGCGATCTCCTCGTCTGCTACGATATCCTGGTTCCTAACCAGGATTGGGTGGCAACAAGACTGACGGAGACGGAGAATCTGAGCGAAAATAGTAGTGAAAGCCTTCATGACAGTTCCTTTCTCAACATTGGCAGAAAATGTCCGCTTTGCCCTATTGAAGATATAATCGTAAACATCTCGCTCTGCCCGCGATAGTTCGACTTCAACAACTTCAACGGATTTTGGAGGTAAAGGAACGAGGCTAATTGGCGTCAGCATCCCTTCTTCAGTTGCAACAAATAGGTGGTCCCAACTTACAGTTTCCCATCGGGTGTTTTCATATCTTTTGTCCTTCTCATGACCAAAGGCTCTAATACGGTCTGTACCACGTCTAGAGCGCGCATGAAGTCTTTGGACTCAAATGGAACAGTAATGAAGGTTCGCCAGAAGGAAAAGTTGTTCCAAGGTTCAACCCTAAGGAACCTGACCAAACTGAAAAGATCTTCCAGGCGATTTACGATAGGAGTTCCAGTTAGAACCCAGCGATGGGTAGCCGATAGGTCGTAGCAAGCTTTAGCAGTTTTCGACTGCCGATTTTTAATATTATGTGCTTCGTCAAGGATAATTCGAAAGAAATCTAATGAGAATAGACCATTGTGTGCATACTTATAACCGTTTACAGAAGCAATCTGAGTAAACTCAGAGAGCACTACCCCATAGCTCGTGATAACCATATCAGGGGCAGAGGCAAGATTAGCATCACAACATAATGCTTGGAGGTTATTGGTTTTATCGTTGCCGTAATAGACGATAGACTTCAGTGTACCCTCCTTAGAAGCATGTTCAGCTTCACTTTGCCACTGCGCAAGTAATGACATTGGTGCGACCACTAGAGTTGTCTTAGGCGCGGGAACAACACCAGACCAGGCGGAAGACTTCCGTAGCTCATGTTTAGAGCTGAGAGATGTACCTAGACGTTGAACTACTGCCTCGGATTTATGGGTGTGAATAAGACTCAACATTTGTATAGTCTTACCAAGACCCATCTCGTCGGCGAGTATGCCGCCAAGGCAATGCTGCTCCTGCACAGGAAAGTCTAATGACATCTCACCAGAATACGGGTTCATATAAAAGCTAGGCTGACCGTCAACCTGAGATATGTCCTTATCATCGGCATCCTTTGTGGGCCAAATATATTCTTCCCAGAGAGGGTGCATCGAGGCTTCACGAGCATCATTCTTCCGATCTTTTTCTTTCGCTAGCATCCAATGCAATGACTGCTTTTGGTATGGGCGAAGGGTCATGTTGAATGTTTCGGCGGGTTCAGCCTCCGGCGTATCAAAGTCAAATGATTGAGCTTTCCGATAAAGCGCATCCAGCTGACCTTGCTCAAGTTCCTGACCATCTTCAGCATCTTCCAATGGGGGCGATGAACCAGGAGTGCTAGACTTTGTGCCGTCATTCTTCTTGTCAGTCATCTCAACGGCATTAAGAAGACCCTGTCTGGCGTTCCTGGCAGCTGCCGCGTTGCCTGTTGAAGGCGTGAGGTTGATCTCTTGAAACAATCGTACGAGAGACGCCTGTCGCAAGCGCAAGCCTCGCTCCTCAGTAGTTTCCTTCTCCTCAAAATGGCCAGTTGAACGGTTATTTGATAATTGAAGCCCGTTGTTCTGGAAAGCAGATCTCATTAAGAAACAGCGTAACTGCAAGAATATAGTGTCGTTTGTCCGCAGCCTTTCGGGCGCGTACACGCAGCTACCCTCGAATGTGCAAACATTTTGATCCATAAGCGAAGAAACCCAATTCGCGGTGTCTTTGGCTAATCGACCAATTTCCGTCCCCCGAGCGTCGGTGAATCGCACGATAACGTCAACCCGTCTAGCTGCAACCGCATTGATCTTCTGGCGTTCGATCTTGACAACATCTCCATGATTGATAAGCTTTGTTCCACTTCGAGTAGCCCATCCCTCCACGCCGAGAGCACCGATATATCGAACTTCTGGCATAGAGTGTGAGGATGCAGATCGCAAAGGTAGTGGATCGAGTTCTTTGGAGTTAACAGAAGATGGGGAGACGCGAGTTGGGAAAACCGTAGCGATATTCTTGGGACATTTGGGTGTCCGATAACTCTTCCAGGTACCATCATAATACATATTCACAGCCCGCTGGAGGTCGTCCCCACAACGATTCCCGATTATGGCAAGGGCTTCTGAATCGACCTTGTCTCCCACTATGGTTTGAAAAGTATCCTCGTCGAAGATCGTTGTGTGGTCCGGTTCAGAGGTAGGCTCTGTTGAGAGGGTGCCAGAGGGGATCGGTAGTGGGGTGTGATGGCTGGCATGGTTGGCCGTCTTCTCCGTGAGGGACAAATTCTTCGGCAAGCAATGTAAATCTAGATTGTTTTCTACCTCTAGGTCTGCAAAGAATCTTCTCTTCTTGGCGGGAGGTTCCCCTGAGTCTTCAAAGCCCATCTTGAAGTTTCTTGGAGTATCGTCAACTCACGCCGAAGTGTGGAGGGGGTTTGTGAGCTATGTCTATAAAGGATGAAGGCTCTAGCAAGTTTTAGACATTGAGTCAACTAATAAAGTTGATAAAGTTGAATTTAGTTGAAGAATGGCACTGGGGTATAATTAAGTGGCATCAGGGAGAAAATAAGAGAAAAAAAGTGGAAGAAACAGAAAATTGCAAATGCTTGAACAAGGCAAATAAGTGAGGTAGGACAAGTGTACATGCATGGATGTAAAGAAGACGCGCCAGAAACTTTTACAATAATTGATTTGTATTACCCTAACCTAACCAGGTAGGTTAATAGGCGAAGAGACGCGACTTCTTTGGCAAATAGTTGCGGGTCATCAGGTGACCGCGTTTTCAATTAAAACATCCATGTAACTACGAGTAGTAGTGTCACTAGTGTGTACCTAGTACCTAGTAGTGTGATATCATTTTAATGCTTAGTTAGTGGAAGCTTGAAGCTTGAAAATTACATATCGATACCGAACCATTGGTGCAAATGCAATTCAAAATATTTTCATATTTCATCATGTATCGATTCTTATTGTTTCTTCAATAACTAAGGTTAGCTGCTAAGTACTACATAGGCATATTCCTATATTATACTAGGTATCAATACCATGGATTATTCTATATAACTTCCAAGGTTCCATCAATCTCATATGTATCGTGTGGTTCAAGCACGTCGAGGCCTTCGATGGCCTAGAGATTTGTTCCGATCCTCATCAAGGCATCTTGCCACCGAAGCCGAAGTAGACAAAGCGCGCGAGTATTGCGCTACACAGTTGAGGTAGAGATTGAATCCTTTTGAATCCTCATTCGTTACATACCACTCTTTCACGCCAAATAACTAAAAAAAAATAACCACAATAGACAGTCGGATTATGAAGCTTATTTAATACGGAACCTACTGCCCAGACCTAGGCAGGATGTTTATGACGCCTTGCGCGCTTTCAATCTGGAGCTGGTACGACTCCCAGAGCTTGTGTCAAATCCAACAATTGGCCAAATGCGAATACAATTTTGGCGAGATGCTATAAACAGCACTTTTAACGGCAAACCTCCAAAAGAGCCCATTATGGTTCTACTCCACAAGGCCATCTCAGAACTTACCGAACGAGGCGGTGCTCCGAATTCTATCAAGTTCTGGCTGCTACGTCTGCTCAACACCCGGGAGAAGCACATGGACAACCGACCTTTTACTAGTCTAGCTTCATTAGAGGAATACGCAGAAAACACCTATTCCACTCTCATGTATTCAAACTTAGCGGCAATTCCGATTCAGTCTATGCATATGGATCATTTGGCCAGTCACATTGGCAAGGCGTGTGGTATAGTAGCCATTCTGCGAGGTATTCCCGTCTTGGCCGCTCGATCTCCGCCGGTGAGATCCCCTGGGGGAGCCAATGTGGGTAGTGGTAGAAACCCAGTCTTATTACTACCAATAGACGTCATGACAGAAGCCGGCCTTAAAGAAGAGGATGTCTATAAACAAGGCCCACGCGCTCAAGGATTTCAAGATGCCGTCTTCCAGGTTGCCACGCGCGCTCATGATCACATCATAACGGCAAGGGAAATGTTAAAAAATCTTCACGCGGGACATAGCCCTGGTCATGATTACGAGCATCATGGCGAAGAGCAGCACGAATACCCATCGTTAGCTTCCGGAGAAGACGATACTAAAAGGGAATTGCGCCGAGGATTCAAGGTGCTACTAGAAGGCATACCAGCTGGTGATTACCTGGAGAGGCTTGAAGCACAGAACTTTGACCCTTTTATGGTAAGGAGTAGTTGGAAGCTCCCGTGGCGATTATGGAGAGCGATTGAGAATCACCAAATATAATACCATTTTCCATTTATGAATAAAGTAAGCTATGAATACGATTGATAACTACCGACGGGGGACCACCTACGTACATAGGGGTCAAGACTAGGAGTCAAGACTCCAGGTAAGCACTAGGTTAGTATTTTCTACTTGGAATTATAAATCTCGGTATCCGATCTATCCACCCCATCCAATCCACGATGCCTAACTTCTTTAGTAATTAATAATGTGAGGAATATACCTCACGCCTTCATCGGACTTCACCTCCAGGAGCACGTCTGATAACCCTCTTTACCTATCCCACACAAATTCATTTCACACGCTACTATCGCTCATTGCAATCAAGGACAGGAACAATGCGCTGCTTTTCTTCGATTCCAGAGTGTCTAGGCCTACTCTTCTTGATGGGAAGTTCAATTGGAACCCATGCCGCAAACCTAGGCCGAGCTTACCCACCAACCGCAATTGATCAGCGCAGTGCCCAGGAAGTTGTCAAGCAGCTCAACCTCATTCCCAACGATGAAAAGGGATACTACGTACAGACGTTCGAGGACCCAGACACAGTCACGTGGACCGGAAGCAACAGCACTCGGTCCGCTAGCACCCTGATTTACTATTTGCTCGAGGGCGCCGTAGGGTCCTCGTACTGGCACAAGGTTGATACCGTCGAGGTTTGGCACTACTATGCCGGCGCACCGCTGACGCTATCGCTGTCAAATAACGATGGCACCCCAACCGTCAATAAGGTACTAGGCCCAGATGTGTTCAGCAATCAACAACCCCAGGTAGTGATCCCGAAGGGCACGTGGCAAAGCGCTTTGTCGAGCGGGAGGTGGACATTGGTCGGAACTACCGGTAAGAACTAAAACCCCCTTTTTTATTTTTTTATATGTCTTAAGAAGAGGGGGGGGCTCATTTTCCTTCTTCTCTCTGAGGGTATATCGGAACGACGTAGCTAACGTACTTTAGTTGCCCCTGGCTTCGTCCCGGATGGCGTGGAACTTGCACCCCCTGGTTGGGAACCTAATGGTGCGGTGCATAAGGACTCATAAGATGGCACTTGCGTGTATGTGAAGACATCAATCTAGACATGCTCCCGATACTCGCGGAGGGTTTAGGTCGCAGGAATAGTTACGTACCTACCTAGTTACCAAGATGCATGAGCATATTAGGATCGTATTGCACGTCTTTATTACAAGCATATATTGCAATATTAGATGGCATACAAGTAAAATTGGTGAACAGATACTGACAGTTGTTCGAGCAAATGCTAGATACTATCTACTATCTACTGAAGTTGTATATCTATTAGATATTCTTCTTCTTCTTCTTCTTCTTCTGCTTCATCAGGTTCGGAATCACCACCTGTTAGGTAGCCATTAAAGATTGTGTAGGATCTTCCGGTTCCCCCGTTCAAATCCCGTTCTTTTCTCTTTTCATCCAAATATTCCTTGCCCATGATGAGATAAGCCATTGCGTAGGATCTGTTGTTATATTTTTCGATTGAAGGGATTTCAGGAAACTCTTCAAATATAGAGAGATCCGGTGGCGTTTCTAAGGGGGGGTTAGGCTCGACTCTTAGCCATATATCGTCATGTTCTTTGTATAGCTTGTCCTTGAGCTTTCGCGGAACATTCGTATAGTCAGCACCACGGAGGAGCAGACTACGAAGAATCCTATACTTGCAGGGTGTTTCCGTGGCCAATGCGAAATGCAGTGGGTTCTTGAGCTGGCCGTCAAAGAGATCGGGGGTTGGCGAGACACTACAGTTATCAAGAATAAAATCAACCATCGGCACAGGCCTGGATTTAGAACCGTATAGGCTCTCTTGTCGAATAGCCATTTTTAACGTAAGTGCAGGGCGCACGCTCGAATAGAATCGCACGGCTTCGTAGCAGCCATGGAGGATACTCGTCTTAATCATGTCTTTTTGTGCTCCTTCCTGCTCTGTTAACAAGTCAGATATAATCGAAGGCTGTAAGAACATGACTTTAACAATATCGAGATGCTTTGCTTTAGAGCAAGCGTCGAGACCAATTTCGCGGGCCCCTGCGACGGGGTGTTTTGACTTCATCCACATGTTGAAAAGATACGTCAGTTGTCCCTTTGGAATACCCCCCAATGTCCCATCCCTAATTTTAGAACTTAGCCACAGTATTTTATCAAAGTAAGGCTCGGTCACAAGCTTCAAGAGGCGATCGATCATCGTATAGTCCGCGATTTTGTTATCACCAGCCCAGTGAAGTGCATGGGTGATGATAGATAGGCGATGATGCGTGTTGAAAACCGGGTGATCTAATAAAGTCTCGAAAACTTCAAAGCATCCGAATTCAATGGCAGCCTATAACAATACGGATTAGCAATCTCCCTCAAGAAAAAGAACCTCTAATGGGGGCAAGGATAGACAAGTCTAGAGATGATAGATCATGTACGTACCAATATATCAGCCCATCGTACTTCGAGTCCGTTGGAAATCATATACAGTGCTACATCTTCTCGTTTGTTACTGCAGGCTATACGAAATGCGTTATCGTTCCGCCATCCGTCAATTATCATTTGGTTTTCAATATGATCTGGGACCGAACTAAGTGTGAAATGACACTTAAATGGTGCGCGATCATCTCTGCCTCTCATGTTAACTCCACACTTTACAAGTGCCTGTACAACGTCAAGTCTTCCCTTGGCGACGGCTACAACCATTGGTGACGAGACATCATCCAGGATTATTGACCTTATAAAATGTTTCCAATCGGAAATATCCTGTCTTATTGTATTGCGATCATAAAAGTATGAAGTAGTATAGATGAAGTTTGGAGCCATCGCCCTCCAAGACCACTCACCATGAAGTCCAGCGGGAAATACTTTCTGATATGCGCTGATACACCTATTGATCTCGGCAATATCCTTTCCACCTGCGATTGCATGGATAAGGTATGGTACTGGCATGACTGGGAAGAGTGGCGTCCGATTATCACCATAGCAAGAAGTGTTCATGCTAGCCATCCAATCCCACTCATCATCCTCTTCCCCGATGAAGGGCTGATCAATGCGATGCTCTATAATCGTGACCATTCTATCAATCCTTTTGAAGATGTCATATTTTCGGTGGTTGCGTTGCCGTCTATAAGGCTCTGCCAAACATTTCATATGGAATTTTGTATCTTTTGTACAAATATCGAACTCATTGATAGCATCGCGGGCGTACCTGCAGGTCGATCTAAATTTGAATAACTGAGACATCGAGTTTATATCGCTTCCTATCTGTCGAACGAGTTCCACTGGGAAGTCATGGAGACTCATCCTATTGCTTGGGATGTCCATATTGCTCGAGGTATTCATACTTAGGTAGGTATCCTGGATAGTTGAGTTGATACTGTTAACTGAAGTTGAAGTGTTACTCTCTGAAAAGGTAACATGTAGGTATATATCCAACATATATTTCACTGGGGCTCCAGAACAACTAGTTCAACTTATATACCTAAATAAGTTGAACGTCATGTGGTTGACGGGCAAGGGGCACGCATTATCATTAATAAGGAGGTGGTATTATATACAAAGAGAAGGTATAAGGGATTGTTCTTGCTTCCTTCTTTTTAGATTATAAAGTTCATTACTTTTAGAAAAACGCTGGTCTTTGATTTAAATACAACATTGAATGGTGGATGGGATTACCGTGCTGCCTTTTATATGCACATGGCAGTACTATCATGAAGAATCAATGATTGTATTACATAACACAATATCCCTTACCTTTCTATACCTAGTAGATGCATTAAGAGATTCAAATACAATGCTGCCGATTGAAACGGAGACACTAACGCGATACGTCATTTGGTTGCATGGTTAACAGGCGTTGTTTCTATGTACCTAGGTAACTATGTTTTAGTATACCTAGTTGTAGGTTAGGGTACCTGAGTTATGGCTCGCAACATGAAACATCGCGAGACACTTGGGGTCGCAGAATATATGTACATATGTAGGATAGCATGATAACGTGATGACAGGAGCGATAGGTGCTACATACCTAGGTTAACCTAGTATTTGCTTTTGTTAACTCATCTTGTCTTCATCCCAATTCTTTCCATTTTTATCACCTAACAGTCTTCACTTCTTACTGCATCGGCTTTTACGCCATTTTTCTTTCATTTCCACACTCCTGGGCCGGAATCCCATTATTTCATCGAAACTACTCTTAATCATTCATTCAATTCATTCTGCAGGTCAGGTACCAAAATCATTCGCTAGGATTCTTCAACGAGCCAAATATATATATATATATATATATAGTATAAAATATACTACGAGAAGCAGAGTACCAAGTGACATAATGAGAGATAGCCGGAGACAGAAAGACGAATACCAGACTCTCAGTACTGTGCATGAAGAATCGGATCACGACGACTCGAGCAGCAGCACAGACGTGGACTTAGAGGCGCTAGATCTGAACGAGAAGGATTACTTACACGATTCGGGAATGGATGGAGAGCAAAGGGGGGAAAGGAAGAGCGGGCTCCTCGCCATCCTCAAGGAGTACTGGTGGCTTGGAAACACATTCTTATTGATGGTCATTATCGTTTTACTTCTAGATGGACCAAGCCACGGGCGGAAGCACTACTTTGAAGGGGCAGGTGACATTACGGGGTTCGCGCCTGAGTTCTCGCAAAAGATCACAACTTTCTCCCCCGACCCAGGCTTTGTCCCAGAAAATACGTCAGAGTTCTTTACGGACGAGACTCGACAGAAGTGGCTAGGTCTCGTGCCAAGTAAGTCATACAATATACCTACCTACATAGCAGACTCCTACCATAGCATAGAAGTGGTCGATACTACGATGGCAAGCACAAACACGTACTAACCAGCGCCAGAGGGTCTCGGCTATCTCAAGATCAAAAACCCCGAAGACTATGACAATCTACCGACACGGTTAGATCCATACCCGAACGACTTTGTCGTCACATCATCGATGACGCATCAGTTACACTGCCTGGTACTTATACTACTTCTCTGCGCCTTTTATCTTCTGCTTCAACCTCAACTTCAACTTTACTAATGCTCAACAGTATGCTATCGCCGAGGCTTACTCAGCACTCACATCAGACACTAGCCGGGTTCCCAGTGAGACGCCATGGCATCTAACGCACTGCTTTGACTATCTGCGACAAGGAATCATGTGCTGTGGGGATGTTGCGCTTGAAGGCGAACAGACTAGCTTCCCGGCTGGGTTTGATGGAAGTGATGGTTGGGATGCGAAGCACGTGTGTAAAAACTATGATGAGATGTATGATTATCTCGACAAGAACCGCGCCGATAACAAAGTATGGATATAGGCGGTAAAGTATATGCCAGTGGCAATAACAGGACATATTCAGATGTTTGTTATTTGTATATACTATATGCTACATCCATGTATGCCGTGTGCAATATGTATGAACTTACATACCCAAGGTACTGTCAATCGAGTAAAGAAGTTGTTTTTTAGAAGGTTCTAAATCTAATCTATGAATTGTACCAAAATGTTTATCAGAGGGCAGATGGGGGGTCAGCCACTGGCACACAATACCTCATAACTTCGATTTTAAAAGTGACATCACGCACTGGCCTATTGTAACCCAGGACCCTACTTATTAAAGTTCAAACTTTGAAGTTCAAATGTTCAATATTGTCTAAATCAACGTTGAATGAATTAGCTTGTGTAATGATGGGGCAGCATATTAATGATTGTACGGAGTAAATATATGGGGCAATCATGTGGTGGGGGAGGAGAAAAACAAAACGCCGAAAAATATCCGACTAGATAACCACCCACATCATATATGAACATTGAATATAGCAACTTTGAACTTCAAATGTATGCCCCTAGGTACATATTGTACAATACACAATTCCATATACAATTCCATATGCTACCATACACATAACTATACATACGGCGTTACTTGTATGTAGACGGATCTCCCGTTGTCTGCCTTACTGCCTATAGTGAGAGAAAGAAAGAAAAGTTAGTTAGATCGAACAACATTTGAACATATTAATGAAGCTGATGTTTGTTCTTTGCTACCGTACTTAAGATTAGAATATGTACATATTTCCAAGTTACATAATGTACCACATTTTCTTCCTAAAATCAGCATGCCACTATTATCATCATCATCATCATCATTGTCGTTACTCTCGTTCTACTCTTTGTTCCCCATACCACATCGCACTTATATGTAGCAGTAGTAGTACTAGTCCTAAATACATACTATGTACTATAATCTTAGCGTGCATCGCGTCCTCTACTATGTAATATTTAACTTAGGCACTAACTAGTACGGATAGTGCATACCTAGGGTACTATATGCACTAGCACGACTGCAGCAACACTAGGTAGAGTCTGGACGTATTCACCCGTTAAGGTTCAAACATTGAATGTTCAAATGTTGTTTCGTACCTAGGTACCTACTAGGTAGTACCTTCTCCAAACCTGTCCAAACAAAAGAAAAATCAAAAAATCAAAAAAATCAAAAATCTCCAAATGATAAAAAAATAAAATACATATCAATCGTTGTCTACCTTCATACTTCATTGTACCTACCTAGGCAACCCAAACAAATTCTCCACCACCACCAAAAAACCCCCAAGTCTAATAAACCTCCCTCTTTTCGATTTTATCCATCATCCATCATCCATTTCAACTTCCACATTCACATTCACATTTACATCCACATCCACATCCGCAACCCACATTCACATCCACACCCACAATTTTCTCACCTAACGATTATCTACTGACGGTATTACGCCACCCGAAATCAAATCTCTACCCCCCCCTCTTTTTTCCTCCCAAGGTTCTCAATACCTACCTAACCTCAATATCATTTGGTCCTTTTTTCCCCTCCAATCTGATCAAAAGCATCTTCTGCTTTGTTCCCTCTTAACACATTACGCTCTTCTAAAGTCAAACTTTACCTATTGCGCCGCTGAGCATTACTGAGTTTGTATTACACCAGTCGCGTGTGAACTCCGCAGTGGTTTTTTTTCTCTTTGTTTCTTCTTTTTCGCTGGAAGAGCTTTTTACCTGAAGGTTATCTGATACTTGAGGGATTCCTCATCGTCGAGCTCTTTAACAAATCTCTCCTCTCCGGTTAGGCGCGCAACATATCCTTCCACCCAGCGCAAAAAATGGCGACAAACGGTAACGTTGGTCACTTGGACCAATTTTCATCATCCTCTACTGCTGCCGCGTCCTCTACTGCCATCCCTTCTGCCGACCAAGCGAGCAACACTAGCTCCAACAACAATCTTGGAAAGGATGAAGTCGCCTGGTTTTTCGTTGAGCAATATTACACTACCCTAAGCAAGAATCCAGAGAAGCTACATGTAAGTTGATCGCAACCCACCTTTGCTACAACTAGACTTGCTGATCATTTATCTAGCTGTTCTACGGAAAGCGCTCTCAGTTCGTCTACGGCCTCGAGGCTGAAGTCGCCAATGTTTCTGTTGGCAGACAGGTATGTTTTTCTTTTCCATTTACTTTTTCGGCATCGTTGTTGCCACCAGTCTTGTTGAATTGCGCTAAGACATTAGTTTAGAACATTCAAGAGCGCATCAAGCAACTTGATTTCCAAGATTGCAAGGTCCGTGTCTCCAATGTCGACTCTCAAGCTTCCTACGACAACATTGTCATCCAAGTCATTGGTGAGACCTCCAACAAGGCCGGCGACCCGAAGAAATTCGTTCAGACTTTCGTTCTTGCTCAACAGCCGTTTGGATATTTCGTCTTGAATGATATCCTCCGGTACATAGACGAGGAGAGTGAAGAGGAGCCAGTCGAGACTGTTCAGGAAGAGCAAGCAGAGCCTTCTACTCAGGCCGTCCCAGAGCCTGTAGAAGAGCCAGAGGCGCAACCAGAGGAGAACCCCGAGAAGCCAGCATTGATCGATACCGGTGTTATTGACAAGAAGCTAGAGGAAGTTGACGCAACCCCCAAAGAGACTGCCCCTATCAATGGAGTTGTACAAGCCGAGACAACCACTGGTGAAACGACTGCAGCCCCAGAGGCGGCTAAGAAGCCGGAGGCTGAGGCAATTCCAGATCCCGAAGTTGCCACCCAAGAACTCGCCGAAGAAGACCTTAAAGAGCCCGAGAAGCCTGCTGATCCAACACCGACGCCGGCGCAGACACGACAGCCTCCCGCGCCAGTTGCAGCTGCAGCTCCAGTTCCGGCTCAACCAGCCAAGCCGATGACTTGGGCTAGCCGCGCTGCTGCCGGCGCTGCCGGTACCGGCCCTCGACCTGCACTCCCTCTCACAACCAAGGCGCCAACTCCTACCCCCGCTACGCAATCACGTCCTCCTGTTCCTACCGCTACCGCAGTTACCCCTGCAGCCCCTTCACAAGCTACCCAGTCTGCTCAGCCTGCCACATCTCAGTCATCTGCCCCAGCCCAAAGCTCCGAGGCCACTTCTGCCGTTACCATGCCAGCCAAAGAATTTTCCACGGAGTGGCAAACCGCTGGCAGCGACTCGAAGCGGCAGAACCGACCCCAGTCGATCTCGGGAACCCAAACTGAGAAGGAGGGTACCATGGGGTATGTCAAATATGTCACGGAGAAGGTGAAGCACGAGGATCTAAGGACAGCTTTGGCACAGCATGGTGAGCTGGTCTACTTCGATATCAACCGCCAAAAGGTAAGTTATCCAGATATGTTTTATCGATCTCGTCAATAATCCAACTAACACATTGTAGAACTGCGCCTTTGTCGAATTTGCTACCCCGGCAGGATATCAGGCTGCTGTGGCAGCTAACCCACACGTAGTTAGCGGAGAGAACATCGTGGTGGAGCCCCGACGCCCTAAAGCAGGTGCTTATGGTGGTAGCAACTACACTACCAGCCGAGGGAATATGCAAAACCGCTCGGGACGTGGAGGTTTCGATGGCCAATCCAGAAGCCAGGGTGGACGAGGCAGTTTTGGAGGCCAGGGTCGTGGTAGAGGCGGTGGCAGTGGTGGTGGCGCACCTCGAGGTAGAGGTGCTGCTCAGCCTACGAACGCATAAGGGCCTCGTTGAAGACTCAGGTGTTTACAAGGTTGAGTAGGTGCTGGATGTCTGGGGACTCAGAATTCCTCAAGAACTTGGAGTTCTTTGGGGACTGAAATTCTCGACAAGCACATCTCAGAAGTGGCAAATGCAAGGTTCGTTGGAGTTTAGACATGGGCTGTTTACGGTTTGAGCCCAAGTCTACGCAGACATCTCTCGAGGTGTCTTGGGGCTGGGTTTAATTTGAGCAAGCATATATCATTGCACGATCACGGTCATCATTACCTAGCTCATGCCGCCTCTTTGTTTTGGGGGGAAGGGGGGTTTGTACATTGATGGACGGGGACGGCTGGAAAAAGTTAACGCTCATATGCATGGAAGGAGTGAAAAAGGAAGGGCGATATTGGGAAATCCAGGACCAAAGGTACATGTACAGTCGTGCAATACGGGCAAAGTCTACGTGATCAATAAACATTGAACATCTTTACCCTATGTACCATTGTAATCCTATCATACTAATCTATTCAACGGCCCTTCAGGTTCAATGCTGATATCATCCGAGCTGCCGAGCAGTGCAAAAATGTAGGTACATACTAAACTACACAGGCCTACCTTGTGTCCGACTGTTGTTACAAACTGTTGTTACAAACAACATTATACTACCTACATGCTATACTGCCCAGTACCTACTAGGCACTACATACATACATATAGTATATATAGGTGTGCATGTCTACACAAGAAGTATGCTAAGATCTAGTGGGATAAGAATTATGTACTTGAGTTAGCCAGGCACCTACTTACATATGTACCAGTCTTACCTAGGTACCTATGTACCTACATCCATCCATACATACCCAGATGATCCGAGGCCGGATACTAACGATACATATAAGTATGTGTTACATGTATGTATGTATCCAACAATATCTCGTTCGTCTACATAAGTACCTAGGTACATACATTAGGACGGCCCTCCATATGTAGGTATGTATCTGCTGCAGAGAGGCGCAATGCAGCTTTCCGGAATGAGACGAAGATCAGAGTGATTGTCTGTCTCCTATGTAGATTATTACAGTAAGACTGTGTGATGTGTGTGTGTGTGTGTGTGTGTGTGCATGTACATAGGCATGTAATATATGTATGTAATACGTATTGGTTGATTCGTATGTAGGTATGTAGGTATGTATGTATGTATGTATGTAGATGGCATAGCAAAAGCCTTACCATTATGCTAGTACATAGCATACATGTATGTAGGTAGGTACGCCGAAAACGCCCGACCGTAGGTATATGTATTGTACCAAGTAGGTAGGTACCTACTCAGTATGCACACACCTCTCTGTACTAACCAAGCAACATTATGTACCAAGCAACTACGACTCGCGCGCCATCTCAGCCTCGACGGCGCGCATCTCGCGGGCGAGGTCGTCGGCGACGTCGTCGATCTGGCCGTTAGCGTCGTCGATGTCTTCCATGACCTTGAGGAGGAGGCCGACGAGGGACTGCATCTCGGCGCGCTGGCGCTGGATGTCGGCGAACAGCCTCGCGTTGTGCGCCTGCACCGTCTGCAGCTTGGCGTTGAGCTGCGACTGCTGCTGCGCCAGGTGCGGCGCCAGGTGCGCGGCTAGCACCTCGTCTGGCGGGAGCATGTGCGGACTTTTTTTTTATGCGCCCCTCGGAGTTAGTAGATAAGATAAATTGGGTAGGTAATAAGGTAGGTGGGCAGATAATAATAGTGTGATCAAAAAGAAAAACAACAAAATATGACCCAAAAAAACAAAAAACGTACAACACCAGGGATTCGCTGGTCGTCACCGACCCAACTACTGATCTGGCGGTATCTGGCTTATCTATGGGAGAGCGGACGGGATCCCGAGTTTTCCAGATCCTATGGTCGTACGTGAAAGAATACAGCACAATTGTGACTTATATACCCAACTACCTGAGTTGAGGTATGCGTTTATTAAAAAAAAAAAAAAAAAAAAAAAAAAGATGGCAAAGTGGAGAGGAGATAAAACTTACGGAACAGGCGCCTCGGCCCCCACCACTCCCGCCTCGTCCCTCTTGCGCTCGGCCTCGATGACCAGGCCCTCGAGCTCGTTGAGCTTGGCTACTACATTCCGGGTCTGCATCACCGATTCGAATTCTTTCTGTAGTAGCGAACACGTGATCAATTAGTTGTTTCCAACTCAAAAGAAGGGGGGCAGGGGGTTTTTCTCTTCTCTTTCACAAGAAAAAAAAAACTCACCTTACAAAGCGCACCCAACCGATCGACCATCTGCTTCTGGACCGCGCGCAGCACGGCGGGCGCCTGCGCCGCCACCGTCGGGTAGCACGCCGCGAAGTTCTCCCAGCTGATCTTGCCCAGCGTATGCGACAGGCTCGAGTCCAGCACCTCCTGGAACCGCGACGCCCGCGGCCCCGGGGTCAGCGGCATGTGGCGCGCCGGCAATGGCGGTGATCCGTTTGGACCTTGCTCTTGCTGTTTTTGCTGCTGCTGCTGCTGCTGCCGCCGTTGCTGCTGCTGCTGTTGCAGCTGGTCTTGTTGTGAAGCTGTTGCTTCGGTCGTCATGTTTTGTTTTGTTTCGCTTTGCCTTCTTTTTGGAGGATCAGGCTGAGTATTTTGATGGCCAAGCTGGGTTGGGGTAAATTTGGCTTTGATACTAGCTTTTTTTTTTCTTTTTTCTTCTTTTTTTAATATATCTTTTCGTCGGTATTGTTGATGTTAACTGTCAGTGATTCTCTGCGAATGATGATAGAGTAAATGGACATGGTTTAATTATCAATAGGCGCGTTTTACAATCTTGGAACCGCGGTTTTGAGTTACGGGAACTTATCGATACGGCGCGACCGCACGTGGAACGGTAAGATTCTACCAGGCACTACGTAATAGGTACTATCCTATCATCGTTGTAAGTGGCACTAAGTGCACATTTAACAATGACTACTAGAAAGTTCAACTTCAAGTCCAACATCAACTTGACATTTATGTGTCTATGTACCAGGGCATCTACTCATCAAACTAGAAAAATAGTACACCTCATTTATTTCTTCAACCTGGCATCTCCCGCCATTCTCATCATCCTCATCATCACCATCGTCATTCTGTTATATTCATCCAGTACAATACACCAACACGTACGAGGAAATACAACTCGTTGGATATCTCGAGATATCATGCAATGGAATAAGGAAGAGACTAAAACCCTCCTCAACCCATCAAATCTTTCTTTTTTTTTTCATCAGGCATGATTATTTCCACACGTCGTAGTCCCCCGTGGAGGTAGAGTTCCGTCGTCGTTGATCTATGTTCCATAAGGAGAAAATTCAATTTCATATCCGAGTCGAATTCAAGTTGTTCAAAGTATACGCCAAAACACCGAGCAATGAATGAGTGTCGTCAGTCGCCAACCTGTTAGCTGAATTCCACAGTATTGGTGGGTCTCTGATCTCTCCTTTCCTGGCGTCTTCGTCGTCTTCGATCTGCAGCTGATTGGATGGATGACTCCACCGGTCCTACTGTTGGTCCGCTAGGTGAAGGACTCAGTGCGCTCCATTCATTCTGACTCTCCGTGACTATACTAGAGACAGTCGGGTCAGGATAAGGAACTCTGGCCGAAGGTCCTGGTTGACCGGAATAATACGCCGAGTCTTTCCCTGCTCGTCGACCCTTGGTAAAAGCAGGGCTTGGGGGAGATAATGACTGAGAAACCAATCCTTCCGCTGCTGTTTCGTCCGCCGTTTTGTGCGAGCTTGAATCACGTCGATAATGTCGACGGGCAGTCGGTGCCTCGCTCTCCGAAAGACTGCTGACCGAATCCGATCTTCCTCGGCTATGACGCCTAGCCGCTGCTGCCGTCTCTTCTTCGGTAAGACGACGCAATGTTATCTTCCTGTCTCTGTCGTCGTGGTATCGTACTTTCACACTGACGGGCTGGCCGGAAACTTGGCTGGTGTCTCGGCGACGATCTTCCTCGGCAGCTAGACCCGCTGCGCTAGCAGCAGCCGCCGCCGCGGCTTCTTCTCCCTCCCTACGGCGGTGTGCTGAAGGCCTCCTCTGCATCCCACTCTGCATCCCGCTCTGTGTCCCACTCTGCGTAGAGGCGAAAGAGTCACTAACACTAACAGACTCTGGGCGTAGCGGACGAAGCAGACCATGGGGATCTGGCGGCATCGACGGCATCGAGACAGGATCGGTTACAGCATCACTCTTTGCCCTTGACCTTGACCTTGACCGTGAATGTCGTGAACGCGATTGTGAACTCGGCAGTGAAACCGACACTGGAGGTGGCCTGCTTCCCGCGCCAAGGGGAGGCATTGGCGGACCAAGAGTACTTGTACCGGGAGGACGAGATTCAAGCATGGATGATCCTGAATCGACAGTGAATGATGTAGCGGTTGGAGCGGAAGCTGCTGGTGGTCGGCTTCGAGTTGACCTCGTTGGCGTGCTATAACCATCACCCGTGTATTTCGAGCCGCGACGTCCATCTCGTCTGGCATCTTCCATTCTTCGCCGCTCATCCTCTTCTCTCTTGTTGTCTCCTTGGCCTTTCATCCTCTTAGCCAACCAGCCTAGCCCAAGAAGTCCAAGAATGCCCTTCTCATCTTTGTTCTCCTCTTCCTCTTCCCGCTGTCGCCTTGCTGGATCCACATATGATGAATAATCTGAGATGTAGCTACTCTCTGCATGTGTATTAGTTGGTCGAGAATGTAGTGGGCGCGGTGTCATCGGCTCTGTGTCTGTACCACTTAGCACAGTAGTTGCGGCAGGGTTTCTAGGACCTGGCAGTAAAGGAGTATGCAGTCTGGGTCCGGCGTGAAGGTCTGTCCGGTCATCACTAAAGTCACTCTCCGTATACTGATCAGTTGCGGGCTTTCGGAACCGGTTCGGGCGATTGGGTGTGTCTGTCGGAACTGCCGAATATTCTTCATCGTCGTGTCTTCGCCTCTCTCTTCTATCCTTCACTCCTTTGACCAACCCCCCTGCTCCGAGAAGTCCGAGTATACCAAGCAATGAATTCATTATACCACCTTCGCGGCGATTAGTTCTACCGGATATTTTCTCGTCCGCGTAGCTGTCGGAGCCTCCCTGAGATGGAATTACCTCAGGAGGGCGGGCACGGCTGCTCGGTAGGCTACTGCGGCTTTTAGTCTGATCTGTTGGTTCGTCTCTTCTCCCTCGTAGTAGGGCCAAGATACCAGCCCCTGCGGCCAGCGGGCCTAGCCATCCCATTCCTCGTCTAGACTTGCCTTCTGATGTTGTGACTCCACTTTCGGAACGTCCGCCGTAATTCGTCACGTCATCGGGATGGCGCTCAGCTTCATGTCGCCATGCCAAGAAGAAGTAGGTGACAAATAGAATTGCCATCCACACAGCAAACAAAATAAAGGTATACAAGGGAGATCCGTAGAGCGTAAGTCCTAAGGGGATCTGTATAATTCCTAGGATGGCAACAGCTCTTCCCAGCCAACGATGGAGCATTAGTCGAAATGACCTCCTGCGAATATTCTTCACCAAGCGACCCCCGACGATCTGAACAAGAATCATAGTATAAATGGCGACTCCGATTCCATGATGTGGGTTCGTCAAGCTTCGGTTTGGGCCGACCGCGAACCACCCGAGTATGAAAACGACCGTAGTGAGACCAACGGCAAGGACTTGCAGGTATGCGTGTAGACGCACGGAAGAGCCGAACGGTCTGAATCTTGCGTAGATAATAGCAATGGGTACGAGGAAGAGAAAGGTGATGACAGCAAGAATGCCATGGCCAATAACCAATTGATGGTATTGCTCCACAGTCGCGAAGCGATTACCCATGCCTATTTCAACGTATGTTAGTTATTGATAATGATCAATGATCTAAGACGAGCGGAAGATAGGCTTACCATTGTATCGCATAGTCTCATAGTTCAACCCAACCAGATTTGGCAACAGGAAGGTATTCTTGGTGAAGTCCCAGGTTCCATCTCCGACGACCAGCGTGTCTGACGCATATGTCGACGACCCGGGCGCCGATAGCCCATCGGCCGACGCCATGGCGGCGGGGATCACTCTTTAACGAACAACTCGGCTTGCGTGCTTATGATGAAGACCCCTTGAGAAGAGGCTGGGGCCGCGGAATGCGGGATGCGGGATGCGGGATGCGGGATGCGGGATGCGGGATGACGGACAGATGCAGGCGTTGGAATGTAAACTTGGCAGTATGTAGTCGAATTGAGATATGTAGAGAGAGAGAATATTGATTACAACAACTCTTGTTAAGGTTGATAAGGCTCAATGCGAAGAACTACGATTCGTTGTAGCTTTCCCATTTACCTAGTATGTACCTTATCCCAGTGGTCCGAAACAGCCCAATCCAGAGATTGGGAAAGATGGAAAAGAAAAGAAACAAGATTGATGAATGATGAATGGTGTCGTTGTAAGGAAAAGAAGGCATGCAAAAGTTGACAACAACAGCCTATCTTTGGTTACTTACTACGTACATGTATGTAAGTAGGCGGACAGAGTCCGACAGACAGCTTTAGGCCTTTGGGTGACATGGCACTGCAGCTATTTTTTTTTTACTTACAGGGATCCGGGGAAGCCTCCCGCTCTTCAGCTTCCCTGGTTGTTTTCACCGCGGGTTGCGGGGTGACGAGCAGGACCCTTGCCGTTATTCTATCCCTGCCTCCATTTTATTTTTTTTGATTGACCTCCTTTGGTAACTACTGTGTATCTCGTACTAATAAGTTACTACTAACTACCTAGTAACCTTCAAGTAGAATAAACGCTGATATCCACTTTAAATAACAGTTATGATCAATGATACATAGGTACATAGTGTATGATTACGTTACCAAGCTATCGTTAAAAAACTGAGCCATAACTATCAATGTACATAACTATCTTCTAAGTGCCCCTCGTTTCTGCCGTTCATGCCCGCCCTTGATTTAAATGCTGCCCCTCTGAATACCTAATAGTACCCTCCCTACGGACCTGCCACTCAGTAATCATGGTTTACTATGATCAAAGTCAATCATGACGGTGTGGTTTCTTGGCACGGCGTGAGGTGACTATTGATCACGTTAGATATTACTACGTAGATCTGAAGCTTCGAAATCAAACGAATCGGCCAATCATTCGGACCTGGGACCTGACCGATGCTCCTCCGGACAGACCGCCCGACCCGTCTATCAAATTAAGCCAGCCCTCGAATTTAAAAGATAGTGTGCCCGAAATTACGGGGAATGTTCCATTTACTGCCTCGTTTTTTGACACCAGTTAAAAAGGTTTATTAAAATATTTATGGATGGTGGGCGACGTAGCTTGCTACTATTGACCAACTTGCTAGCGTACTAAGGTTAGGTAGGTACATACTAAAAGGTACATACTAAGTATTACTAACCATTGGTGACAATTTGGTGTAGCAGCTGGAGGTATTCGTGGCAACGGTTAAACAAGGCTCAGGGCTCTCAAGTGCTCCCATTAGTGACTTAAACCCCCCTGTTCAATTCTACATTTGTACCTACATACCAAGTTATACATGGATGTGCTGTTGGCAATATCTAAGATTCCATGCTAGGTGCCCACTGAATATTATTTAGTATCGTTTCGTTATTACTATGTACTAACCTTAGTAGTATCTTAACACTTTAACATTCGTTGTCCTTCGATTTATCAGACTGCCTACCTAGTTTGAATTTCAATCCTGCTGACACCATGCTCTTTTATACAGTCATCCCTCACATATCTACAATATAGCTATTGGCAGCCAAACGATCATGTCAACCGCCCGGTTGACCTTCTTATATCCTCACCTATTTCGGGCTGCTCGCTTTGGCAAGTCTCCAGCTCAGAGAGCAAACCTCCGATGTCGCAAGTGCCCCCCTAATATCCGAAAACCACGCTTGGCCGCCTTCTCCTCCTCAACTCCCGCAAGACAGGCCGTCTTTGAGAGACATGGCAAGGCTGTAGAGCCGGTTCCCCCTATCCCAGATGTCGTACAACTTCCAGAGCCAGGCAAAGATCCGTCAAAGCCGCCGAGTTTTGAATCCTCGACCGATAAAAAGAGCACAGAGAAAAAGGAAATAACACAAGAGCCTCAAGAAGCCAAAGATACAAAAGATGCTAAAGATGCAACACCAAAGGAGTCGGACAAGACAGAAGCTACTCCGCAGGAAGGGTCTACAGTCACCGGCTCGCCCTCTCCTAACCCGCGCCTAGCTGCGACGGAGACCAAAATGCAAGAGAGCGGCCCGATGGAAGCAGTATTACATATGCCACCCCCCGACAAATCGCACCATCCGCATCTATCAACACCGCCGTATGTCCATCACTTCGACAGCTATACTCTCGTGAAGGGGTTGGAGGCCGATGGCTACTCTAGGGCGCAGGCCATAACGGTAATGAAGGCCATCAGAGGATTGCTGGCCTCTAATCTAGACGTTGCCCAGGACGGGCTAGTGAGCAAAAGTGACGTTGATAATGTAAGAGCATTCATCCTCTTAGCTTGTCTTCCCTGTGACTACGTGCTAACGAACATCACTAGGAAACGTATTTGTTCCGCGCAGCTTGTTCAGAGCTCAGCGCCGAGGTCACGAACAACCGAAAGATCGCTGACGAGACGACACGCCAGCAGCGAACCCATCTCCAGCACGAGGTAGACATCGTGACCCAACGGATGAGCCAGGATCTTATGACACTCAAGGACGATGTCAAGGGCATGTTTAACGATCGTAAGATGAATGTCAGAGAAGAGCAGAGGGCAATGGATAGCACTGTTTGTCTCCCATCTTATTATTGTCTATCTCCATTGTTGCGCCTGCTAACTTTGTCCCCTCCAGATCCAACAGCTCAACCTCAAGATCAGCGTGACGCTCAACAGTGACTCTAGATCCGATATCGAAGGTTTAAGATGGGTGCTAATCCGTCGATCCGTGCTTGGAATCATATTCATGGCAGTACTCACGTTGGGTACTCTGCGGTATGCAACTTACGTCAAGCACGAGGCACAGAGGGAGGCCGAGGAGAAGGCTCGCCGAGCCGAGAGACGTAGGAACAATCTCGGACGGGAAGACCATGCTTTATCGGTAGACGCGGCAGAGATTCTGGCAGCGAATTAAAACATGATACCCATAAGAAATAGACAGCGGGCATGAATATATATATATGGGACGTCATTGTGCAATATGTCCCTTCTTGAATTTAACCATCTCGCGCCCAAACGATATGAAGTCATAAAGCCAGTTGTAGTGTAGTGCTTTCCGATCCCAGTGCTGATCAAAATGATATCCTGAACGCCAATGTGCAATGTGACAAGTAGGCACCTAGTCTGCAGGCAGATACCTAGGTAGTTGAAAGAAAACAGCGTATCGCATCCCGGGCATCTAATCTCTCTCCTTCAGCTCCGAAGCCTCCTTCTCCATCGCTCTTCGTAATCTATCCTCTTGCCTCTTCCAATGGCTGCCCTCTTCGTAGTTCTTGCTTATCTTCAGCGCGTTCCGCAGCCGCTCGCTCTCCTTGATCTTCGCGTCGGCTAGCTCGTGGACCTGGTGTGCCTTTAGAGGCTTCCTCGGCGCGCCGTCGCTGCCGCTGCCGCCTTTCTCCATCTTGGCTTGTAGTTCTTTGCGGAGGGTGGCGCAGCGCTTGTCGATTTCGTCCTCGGCGACACTAGAAGTTTCCCTCGTCAGCATCCTTAAGAGTTAAGAGGGGAAAGAAAGATTGTTTGTGGTGGGGGCATTGAGGAGTGCGCGGGAGCTTTGCTCTAAAACGACGACGTACCCTTCGTCCTCGAGCTGGTCCCGCAACTCGAAAACCTTGACCTCGACCTCGCGCTTCCGGTCGTGCTCGAGGATCTCCTGGTCCGGCTGCCGCTGGCGGTGCTTGTAGCTGTCGAAGTCCTTGGTGCTGTAGGGGGCGGCGCGGTCGCGCGGACGGTAGTGCGCGAGGTTGCGCTGCACGTAGCCCGAGGTTCCGCTGCCTCGCGGCGTCGAGAGCCCGACGTTTTCGGACATGATTGGTTTTTTTACGGTTTGTTTGGTTTGGCTGTGATATGTATTGTTAGGGTCGAAGTTAAAGAGTAGGGCGTAGAAGCTTCAATGGTATGTACATAGCACTTGAAAGTAAGAAGATTGAAAGAAAGGAAGGCGGTAACATGTGGCGTAATTATGGATAGTTACTTTGTACCTAAGAATGATCCATAGTAGGTACCTACTACGTACTAGGTATGTAACTAAAAATATAGTGGAGCTGAGTTGCCCCGCGGTCCCCCCACCATGGATAGGTATGAGTCGTAGACCTGGTGCTACATAATGTTTTTATTGTAGAGCAACATTGACATTTAACTACTCGAATATTAAAGACTCATACTCATCTTGAAGACTCATACTCAATCAATACATTGTAGGCCTACTAGGTATTAACTACTACGTGAATACATCATGTCTATGTAAAATCCTTTCTTAACTTCTTTTCACATCAACCAACCTCTACTTCAACTGCCAACTAAAAAGATGCCTGCTCCCACCAATAAGCAGTCCTCTGAGGCCGCTGCAACTTCACCGGCGCTACAGTTTCCTCCTATTACAAGAGATCATATACTCAACTGTTCATATGACTCCTGGTTCCCCAAGTATGCTAACATTATACGACCTATTGAACAGTTTCACATTTCCACATTTTCACATTTTCACGTATTTATAACTAACACGATTTTAGGTATCGCGCATCATGTATCAAATCGAGGATAATCCCACTCTCTACTAAGTTTGTAGAGTACATTCGCGAAGACGGCATTATCCTAGCCGACGATGATGTTGTCGAGCCAGAGGACGAGGAATGGGAATCGGCACCTTCAACCTTTCGGCCACCCGTTGAAGAAGTTGAGTCAGAATCTGAAAGCGACGAGGAGGACGAACTGCCCACGATACCACCGAACCAAAGATTTCCTGACTTACATCAAACAATCAAAGACAAAATTGCTGAACTTGGCGGCGCAGTGGCTCCAAAACTAAACTGGACAGCCCCCAAGGATGCAGCGTGGATATCACCACACCAGAATACCATCAAATGCACAAGTCCCAACGACATATACCTGCTACTCAAGAGCTCCAATTTTGTCACGTATGACCTAGAGCATGCCTTCGACGACTGCACCCCGACTCCCTCTTCGGCGGGTAATGCGCCACCAGCCTTCAAGCCTGTGCTCGTCTTACGCTCGTACTTCAACCCACATACGGCCATGGAATTCCGCTGCTTCGTAAAGCACCGAAATCTGATCGCCATCTCACAGCGTGACCTCAACTTCTTCGAATTCCTCAAGGTCCTACGTCCTGACATCATCGCGCGTATCAGCCAGCTGTTTAACAACAAACTAAGGTTTACCTTCCCAGACGGCAATTTCACATTTGACGTATATATCCCCGAGGGCGAGGATGAGCCCCTGAGTAGAGCCCGTCTGATCGATATCAATGCCTGGGCTCCGCACACAGATAGTTTGCTATTCGAGTGGAGCGAACTGCTAGATATGGAAGTTCCGAGTGGTCCAATGCTAGGAGTAGTGGGGGGTGGTGAGCCTGCCGATGGCGGGAATGATGAGCTATCAAGTGAGGAGGATGAGGACGAAGACTTCGCCCCTGAGTTAAGACTTGTCGAAAAGGAGGACCCATCGGCATACAACTTCAGCTCGCCGCAGTACTCGGCGCACAAGCTACCCAAGGATGTGGTGGACGCAAGCATGGCTGGCGAGGGTGGTATGCGTGAGTTCGCGCAGAAGTGGAAGGAGATGACCGAGTATAGGGAGAATGTTGCAAACTGGGAGATCAACGATAAGGAATGACTGGCAGGATGACTAGTCTGGACTAGATAGGGGGGTCAAAGGGGAATCCTACCAAATGCTAGGTCTCAACTGAGTGATGGCGTCCAGAACTTAGACTGTGATTAACGGTCTTCATAGGATCTCATAGGACTCTTAGAGTCTGGGCTAAATCCCATGGTCACACTGCTGAATTATTGCAGCTGTCGGGACTTTGTAAAAACCGTTGCTATCATAAGTCCATCAGATGCACTGACAGCCTACCTCGCATGGCCATTCATACAGCTATCGATGTATTCCTGCTTAAGCAGGCATGAACACGGATAATAAAACCCCTTTCTTAATAAAGAGAAAATCATATTTCAATTTCACATTCATTGACGTTATGTCTTGTACCTTAGATAGGTACGTAGATACCCAAGCAAGCATCTTTCATATCCCCCTCTCCCCCCTTATTTCCAACATGGGCCCTTTCACCTTCCCAAGAAGAAGAAGAAGAAGAAGAAAAAAATTCACCACAATATCCGGACGTTCCAATTTCATGATACCGCCGTAAACCCAAGACCATCTCGTGTCACGTATGTAAGAAGAAAAAATTTCCACCCTTTCCTTTCCTTTCGTTCCCTTTCCCTTTCCCTTTCCGTGTCCCGCCCGTACATTCAAAGGGGGAGGTCCCGATCCCGACCCCGACCCCGGCCCCCATCCTCATATAGCCATCCCAGTTCCCGCTTTACATGACAACACAGCAATCCGCAATCTTCCGCACAACCTTCGACAACAAGTCCTCGGGCTCGTTATCCTGCTGCTGCTGCTGCTGGTGATGCTGCTGCTGCGGCCGCCCACCGCTGGCATGGCCACCGTGGTGCTGCTGCTGCTGCTGGTGGGGGATCGTTGGGGGCGGGGGCATGACGGCTTCGCCGCCTTGGAGGTTGACTGTTTGTTGGTTTGTTAATATATATATATATATAAAAGATTCGAGTTTTATAAAATGGGAGAGGGGGGGGGGGAGTGGGGGGAGTGCTTAGGTACCTACCGTAGATGCGGCCCGTGTTCTCCTCCGTCGCGAACTGCAGCCCGAGCTCGCGGCACACTTCCTCCACGCGCGGCTTCAGCTTCTGCACGTGGTTCTCGCTGTGGTTGCCCTTGCCGACGATGCTGTGGTTTGTGGTTTGGTTAGCCGCCGTCTCTCTCTCTCTCTCTCTCTCTCTCTCTCTCTACCCCCTTCCTCCTGATATAAAAAAAAAGAACGGGAAACAACAAGGGGGGGTGGGGAGGGGTGGAGTTATGCACATACACATGCAGATGGGTCTGCCCGTGCTTCTGGGCGTAGCGGATGCGGCGCTCGAGGATGTCCTTGGCCTCCTCGACGAACTGGCCGTGCAGGTCGATGGTGTCGTCGGGGACGCGGCTGGTCGCGTTGTTCTCGCGGAAGATGTACTCGCTCGCCTGCTGGTTGTACTCGGCCATCTTGGCCGCGTGCGCCTTGCCCTCGTTGCTCAGCTCCTTGGCCTCCGCGCCGTTGCCCCGCTCGTACGCCTGCTTCGACTGTTTGCCATGTTGGTTTTGGTAAGAATCTCTTTTATTTTATTTTATTTTTTTTTATTTTTGTTTAGGTATTGCTTGCTTGGGGTACCCATGTAGTATGTCATATATCGGGTATGGGTATGTATGCCGGAGCTCTGGTGAGAGAGGGAGACGTTGTGTGTGTGTATGTGTGTGTGTGTGAAGAGACTAAGAAAATAGGGATGGGAAGGGCAATTTACCCTTTCGAAACAGTTGTTTCGCTTCTCGGCCTCCGCCCGAGCCAGGTCCCGTAGCCGGTCATATTCGGCCTCGGCGTCGAGGCTGGGGCGGTGGTTGAAGGCTGTGAATAAGACATAAAAGGTTAACTATCTGCTTTTCATCATTCATTTTTTGCATGTGCTTAAACTACTTCGGGCAACGTAGACCGAGCGCATCGTAAAAGATTGGGGTTATGGATATGGGGCGATAAAAGATTAAATTTATCAAAGTGTGGTCGGTCGACCATACGGCGGTGTGCTTAGATGCAAGGCATAGCTAGATATGTAGGTAAGGTAGGCACAGTTACATACCTCCGTCTCCCACGCGGGTTAGTGGAATGGCCATTATGTTGGTGGTGGTGAGCGTGCAATGCGATGTGAGGTTGCGGTCGGTAGGCTATTCTTCCAGTTTACATAGGTATGTGTGTGTATGTGTGTATGTGTGTAGTTGGGCAGATATCTTGGGTTTCTACGATGCTGCTACACCTGTAGGTAAATATGCATTTTCGGTTCGGTTCACCGTATCAAAGCCTTTCGAGGCGGGAAAACGAACGTTAATAGGCCACAAGCCCATTTCTTGACGGAGCTGTTTTGGTCGGGCCTAGTAATGACGCGACAAAGCAAGGCCGTTTGTTGGCCGATCTGCACCTCACCCGCTCCCGGGGGCGCTACTGTAAGTGGCTGGGAAAGCCTTGTTTTCTCCCCTTCGCTATCATAAACATAGTTACATATCATTGATACTAAAGTCTAACCTACATATGTAGGTATGTATGATGTATCTAGGTTAGGTATATATTGTGCATAACGCTGTACAATGAAATTCTAACTGAGACCTGATTCGCGAATCACTATAAAAATATATGAAGACACCTGCACGTATCCTGGTTTTCGGGATTTGGCAGATGGGGTTCCTGCTTCTTGGGTAGTAACACGAAGTGAAAAAAAAAAAAAAAAAATAGATAAAATTATTTACTTGGATATGAGGGATCGAAACCGTGAGGTAGGTAAGTAGATAGACAGGCTATCCAGAGACGAACATTGAATGTGCTTCAAAGGAATTGTGTAAAACGTGTACCTAGGCAGGTAAGCTTTATTGATAGGTAACATTAGTTAGTAGACAAGTAAGAGAAATACATGTAGCAATTGCAGAGTTTACAGGTGCTTCTAGAAGGATTCATTGATTATACAACTGAGGCATGATCGATCATGTTCTTCAAACCCAGGGGTGGCTGAGAAAACTATCCTTTGCTGAAACGGATTATTGTATACCAATTCATGCGCATGAAAGCTCAGCTTGGATAGACCTGCCCACTTAGGGAGGAAAACAGGTCAGATAGGTCAGATCTGTGAAGATCCTCCGGAGCTTGTTCACACCTCTTTTATATGTATCATCCAAGTTGTGTGGAAGAGAGAAAGAGAGGGAGAGAGCTCTGGATTAACTGGAGACATCCTATCTGTGGATTAAAGGGGTGACCTAAAGACTAAGGCGAAGCTGACAGTAGCGTATGCAGGGATCGGCTTTGGAGAATAAATGAAGGTTAGGTTAGTTATGTAGTTATGTAGGTACAGACTGTACAGTGAGTGGTTTTCTCATAATCTATGTAATCCCCAATGTCCAGATCGGCTTGCATCTAGATTGGTCGCGAGGGAATTCGCTGGACCGAAAATAGTGTCACCCGGACACAAAGGCGCAAATTGCAACTTCGGAGAAAAGAAACAAAGAGCTAGTTACTACATGTAGGTAGTCATCAGTAATTATGTACTACTGCACGTACTTTATTATTTATATATAATGTACGTAGTAACTAAATGTACAATACACTTGTGGGTAACTAGGCATTATTATACTAGGTACCCAGGCGTATGTTGTCTCGTTTCCAAGGGAAGAAATGTTCCGAGTAGATGAATCGTCATACCCAATCTTGGTGGCTGGGATGGCAAACGACAAACGCAAGACTGGACTACCTGTGGTGTAGTTAATGTGTTTGCGATTTTATCGAGTTCATCGAGTTCATCGATCAACTGATCTGGCCTCGGTTATAGGTTCCGTAACGTAATGTTAGAGTTGTAAACATACCTAGGTTACATAGTAATATGCCAGGTTAAGCCCGTTCCTTGCCATCGTGTGAACACTACAGCGAATATAGACTGGCGTCAGGGGCTATCGCACCTCTATACCCTGACTTATACCCACTTGATGGATCGACTTCTCGCGTGGTCAACATGGGCTAGTATTATTACAAGGCCACGGCTACCTCTCTGTAGCTACCTCTTTGTCAAGTCTGTTCGTGTTAAGAAGTTCTGGGGGGAATATGATGATAATTATTGTGTCTTGAAACTTGTAGAATCCTCTAAGTAAAGTGAAGGCCCAAGCGTACATAATATAGGGCCCCCCTCCTCAAGGAGATCGTCTATGAAAATCATAATATTCGTAATTATCATATAACTAGTTATACCTTATATACGAATACTAGCCTAGGTATAACTAGTTATGGTATCTTTTCTTTTTCCTTTAAATTGGTAGCCTCATCGCGTGGCAAATAGTGGTGACAATGACAACGGCTAGGCCGTTTATTTCAGACGAATTTGATACGGCAGCATTATTACATACCTATGTACGAACATTGCAGTACCCACCTAGTTACCACATTCAATGTTGCTTACTGCAGGTGGTTTCCAAAGTTTATAAATATCTACCTATAACTACATGATGTCTGTACAATGCCTAGCAGGCATTCGGTGTAGGAGACATTTAAGCTTACGAGACCTACATACCTACTAGACATCTTACAGGTCAGCTCATCTCATTCATCCTGCGATTTAATTCCCTTTTGTGTGTGTCGTCCAAGATCTACGATTGTGGAGCAAGCTCACTAACTACATATATGTAGGTACATATGCAGGTATGTATGTACTATGTAGGACCATTGTTGATATGTATGCTGCCTGGGTACTTTGGGGAAATATATGGCCCAACCCCCTTATCCCGCTCGTTCGCCTGCCTGTGTCTTTTTCTAGAAGCATTACACATCCACGCAACAAAGGGCTGTGGCGCACCCAAGAAATCCCGACCGGGGCTGATCAGCAACTATAAGGCACTCTGCGGCTGTTACGCAGCGCAATGTATGTCTGTTTCAGGGCTCACGTAAGGCGCAGCGGCCGTACACACAGGGGAGATCATCTGTAGGTCTAGATAAGTAAGTACATATATATATAGGCATGCAGGCGTGTGGAATGAGTGATGAACGACTGGCTATTCGCTCTGAGAATATGCAGGTTTCTCGGTGGTGGGTAGTAATGGACGGACCTGCAGCCAAGTTGTGGGCAAGGGCCCGAGCATCCTGATGTGCCATTGTAATCGGTTATAATGCTCGCCTAGCCATTCAGCGTTAGATGTGTTTACCTACAATGTCCTATGTATTGTACCTAGGTCCTACACACTACTACTAGTAGTATGTACAATACAATGAATACATAGACTAGTGTCCATGGAGTTGCCTACCACGTCTACATATCACATGTAATAGGCAGGCGACAAAGGCTACATCAGGATAGCCCTTGGAACATTATTCCTTTTTTATATCATATACGGCTATATGATTGGTGTAAGTGACAACGGTAAGTCCGGGCGTCTTGAAGTTGTCAGTCTGTCTCTGTCTGGTAAGGCTGGAATACATACCTTAGAAAGGCATTCCGTACAATGTACTATGTAAGTCATAAAGTGAAGGGTCCATATTGCGCCGTTCTTATTTCCCACTTGCATCAACCATACATTGGATATGCATCATATATAAAGTATGTATGTAACGGATCGTAAAACACATATTATAGAATATAGAATGGATCAACTCCAGTTTCCAGTTACCAATGCCTCGGTCATCTCCTTGTTCTAATAAAAAAAAGTAGTTCTGCTTCCGTGGGTGAGATTGGTTAGTTGATCTAAAGTATTGTATATAACTACTTTTAGACCAGTAAGCAGTTGAGTATCAGAGACTCAGAGTATGTAATGCTGACATGACATGTTGATACATGTACATACAACACAATACAATGAAATATAATACTGTAAGTAGGTATTCTCGCCGAAGATTCCGTTACTACGTAGGCACATAGTATGATAGTAGACACATGCCTGATCTAATATGTAGGTGCATATAAAAGATTCTGATTAATAATTGAGATCCGAGAACTACTGCTATCATTGTATATACCTTCAGTTCAATGCTGTTCAATCCAATCTGATACTACTAGTACTATGCCGTAGTACATACATAAATGAATGTTTGAACTTGAACATTGAACATTGAAGGTAAAGATATTAAGATAATAATAAGATATGGATGTAAGTAGTATGCATGTACACAAGATGCTAACCTAGCCACTACCGAACCTGTCTCCGTCCCCTTACCTCCCAGGGCTGCCCTGGACAAACCTACTAACGGTTAGGTTACTTATGTACCTAGGCTAGTACCGTATATACCTAGTAATATATGTAGTATTGTAGTTCCTGCCTGCCATAGGAAGGCAAATTGAACAGCTGCCAAAAGATCAATACTATCCAGCACTACTACCTGGGTAGGTAGGGTAGGTACTAACCTAGGCACGCTGTCAACGGTAATTACATTGTACATATGTAATAAAAAGGTACTTTGTACAGTTTGAAATTGCGTCATTTAACACTGGGGAGTTCGTCAATTCATCTGCGCTACATGCACATTATTCATTCGGCTAGTAATAATCTGGCATAGCGCTAATGGTGTTCCTCGCATAACCTCTGATAGGACTAACCATATATAGCATAGAGTCTCCTCAGTTGCTACTACTTGCTACCATCCCCCGGTCACTATATTCCACACCATTTCCGAATTGATCATATTGATTCTTGCACCCCTTCTTCTCTCCCCCCCCTCCCTTCTGCAACTAATCTTGTAGGAATACAGTACAAGGGGTGTTCCGGCAACAAACCAAAGCTTGCGCTCAAAGCCGCTCCACTTGCTCATCCATCTTGCCCCGTCACAATCTCTCACGTCCACCCTTATTTTTTTTTCCTTTCCCTTTTCCACCATCAGCTTTTCCTCGTAACGCTTGCCGCTCCTTTAACCTTCGGCGAATTCATCATCATCTATTTCCTATTTTGAATCTCCTTGTCATTGCAATTGACATTCTCTAGTAAGTCGCACTCTCTTCACCTTCATCTATCTAATATCCCCCCTATTCTACCAACTATCTCAACTATCTACTGTCAATCATCTACTCTCCAACTCCCCAACTTTCCACCCGACCTCCTTTCGCACATACCAACATCCCGTATTATTATACAAACTCATTGTCAACCTCTGCGCGTGCACGCAACCTAACCAACCACCCTTTTGCGATCGTCCCGGAACCCTTCAAACCGTAACTCTCTCTGTAATTGTCCAGTGTCAATGAGAAACGCGATCACTTTGGCTTTGAAACAGACTGTAACCTCTGTTGAAGGAGGCTTCCTCCTGATTATGACTATCAACTTATAATAGTGTCGAGACCCCTAATACTAATTTTCATCCGTTCTATCCGTACAGCCACGGTTCGATCCGGAGGACCTTCGCGATTAGACGCCGAGTCTCTTTTTTTTTTAATTACCATATTATATTTTAATCTAGTCGCGTCATATCCGTCAAGATGGGCTGTGGAATGAGTACGGAGGAGAAGGAGGGCAAGGCTCGAAACGAGGAGATCGAGAATCAGCTCAAAAGGGATAAGATTTTGCAGCGCAACGAGATCAAGATGCTTCTTCTGGGTGAGTGACTATGGCTTGATTGCATAGTGTTATAACGCGAGAATCTAACATCTGTAGGTGCTGGTGAATCCGGAAAGTCGACCATCTTGAAGCAGATGAAGATCATCAACGAGGGCGGTTATTCGCGCGACGAGCGAGAGTCGTTCAAGGAAATCATCTTCAGCAACACCGTTCAGTCTATGCGTGTTATCCTCGAGGCCATGGAGTCCCTCGAGCTACCATTAGAGGACCAACGCATGGAGTACCACGTGCAAACCATCTTCATGCAACCCGCTCAAATCGAAGGCGACGTCTTACCACCAGAGGTTGGAAATGCAATTGAGGCTTTGTGGAAGGACCGTGGTGTCCAGGATTGTTTCAAGCGATCGCGCGAGTACCAGTTGAATGACTCGGCAAGATAGTACGTGCATCATGGTCTTCAAACTACCTGGGTACAATTTTACTAACGTGAACTGCCCACAGCTACTTTGACAACATCGCCCGTATCGCCGCCCCTGATTACATGCCTAACGATCAGGATGTCCTTCGGTCTCGTGTCAAGACCACCGGTATTACCGAAACAACCTTCATTATTGGCGATTTGACATACCGAATGTTCGACGTGGGTGGTCAACGTTCAGAGCGAAAGAAGTGGATCCATTGCTTCGAAAATGTCACTACCATTCTGTTCCTTGTCGCCATCTCGGAATACGATCAGTTACTCTTCGAAGACGAGACGGTCAACCGTATGCAGGAAGCCTTGACGCTTTTCGACTCGATCTGCAATTCGCGGTGGTTTATTAACACCTCCATCATCTTGTTTTTGAACAAGATTGATCGATTCAAGGAGAAGCTTCCAATCAGCCCGATGAAGAACTACTTCCCGGATTACGAGGGTGGTGACGATTATGCTGCAGCTTGCGATTATATCCTCAACCGATTTGTCAGCTTGAACCAACACGAGACAAAGCAAATTTACACACATTTCACTTGCGCGACAGATACGACGCAAATCCGCTTCGTCATGGCGGCCGTCAATGGTATGTTGAATTTTTTGCGTCAATTGAAAAGCGCTGTGACTAACTATGGATTTAGATATCATCATCCAGGTGAACCTACGTTCCTGCGGTCTGATCTGATTGTAGATGAAGAACAGTCCATAAAACGAAATCCACGACAACAGCAATCCTACCTCCCAAAATACCCATAGCATATTCGACGGCCGCCAGTAATGCTGTAACTCTGGCTAATGACCTGTACTCCTACCACGACCTTGCCGACGGATCTTCTTCCATGTGTTTGTTTTGCGCCTGAATTGTCTCGCATACTCCTTTTGCTCCGTTTTACCGAGGCCGCATCGCCGACCTCAATTCAGGTCTCCGTGGTGCTGCTGATTGTGGGATCGGGGGGATCTGGGGGGTGGCTCGTGGGACAGTAAGAAGGATATTTGCATCCAAAGTCATGGCAGATTACATATCTTGTTTAATTATGAATTTGCGGTGACGCTGGCAAAACCCTTTTCTTTTATTTTCTTCCTTTTCCTTTCCTTTTCCTCTAGGACACACACACACAAAGTGCCTGCGTAGATGGCCTAAAAAATCTGGTCGGGGGCTGCATTCCAAACTAGCAACCCCTGAGACCGCTAAGAAAGGGGGGAGGATGACTGATGAAGCTATACCAACCGGTGTGTCGAGATCTGCTGAGACAGATGCTGAGCCACAATGGTTGGATCGGTGTGAAGATGAATAAAACCAACCATTAATCTTTACTTATTATGTATACCCTTATGAGAGTGTAATGTGCCGTAGTCAGCATTGGATAGGTTTTAGCGAACATGTATTTTGTGAAGTTTATGTGAAATTCAATTCTCTCAATGCCTACTTCTTAATTGTCTTGATTCTCTCAATTCCCTTAATCCTCCTATGCTCTTTAATTTGTCAACAATTCAATGTTAATGGTGCCGTTTAAACTGGATAGATCTTGTTAACTAAGTTGGGGTACATAATTAGAGCCCCAGTGTCTCCAGTGATGTGTTGGTGTTTAATGTTACTGTACGACATTATATGGAACTATATACATGTATGTATGTATGTATGTATGTATGTATGTATGTACGATATGTGCATGTATGCAGGTATATATGTATGGCTATGCTAGGTACGTAACCGTACGTTATGTAGGTAAGTATGTGCTACGATTGGTATATTGATAGTTAATAGGTATTCCCTTACACTTACGCAAAGTATGTTAGGGAAGGTGCTCCTACCTAGGTTAAGTTGATGGCAATCAATTATGGCTACATAGTACTAACTATGTATATTAGTTAAACTGGTTTCTTTTTTGGTAAATAGGAAATCAAGCGTGAACCTGTACCACTCCAACAGCATTAGCCAACCACAACTAAGCAAAATAAAGATAAAAGGAAACAAGAATATTGGCTTGACATTGTAAGTTGAAGTTGAGAATATATCTTGTACTAACATTGACCGCACTCATTCTAGTTTGGCTTACTACTAGGTAGTTACTTCGTACTAGTACCTGCATATTATGTGCCTAGGTTACTAGGTACCTAGTAGTTTACTACCTAGTAGTACGGTACTAGTACCAGCATTTAAGCGCTTACATAAGTACCATCTATTTCACCGAACTTCTGCCGCTAGCAATCCTAGCCAAAGAAAGCAGAGTCCAAAAAAGAAAGTTTCAAAAAGGTCTGTAACCACAGCTGTCAGGCAGCTGAAACAAATCATTAACCTTCCTTTCAGATCACCAGAACAACCACCAACTGTCTGCCAGCGGGCGGAGTTTCTTAAATCACCTGTCCAAGATGAAGGGAATTCTGGTTCCCGGCCGAGGCCGACCGAGCAAAGTCACCAAGCCGACTACCCCTTCACGTCCTCGCCCCGGTCGTCGAGTCGGCGGCATCAATGACTCTTTTCCTCAAACCTCCGATCTCGAGCCACAAGATGATGACAATCCCGACGCCAGCGGCGATGAGGATAGCCATCATCATCCCACATTTGATACAGAGGCTGCTATAGCTGCCGCCGCCGCCGCTCAACATCATCATGAGCAACAACAGCATCAGCAACACCTAGACCTGACCGCTGCCAATATTCTAGCCAACAGCGTTCAGAATCCTGATGAACAGCATGACGGGCTTGGTGGAAGTCATATGGAAGATGATGTCCCAAGGGTTGAGACTACTGCTGAGATCGCTGAGCGATCTGGGTATCATAATATTGTTATTGAGAGCGCCTTAGCCAAGCGACTGGCTACTGAACCCGGTGCCCGACCTGCACAACAACGTCGACCCGAACAAACTCTGAACCTGGCTCGACGTAGTAACGTTGAGGCTCTTTTCGCGCACATTTCAGGTGAAGAACCACCTCAGCCCTGCAAAAACTGCCATAAAGGCCATGGGCCGTGGACCAGTTGTGTTGTGGTCAATGGCCAACTATGCGGTAGTTGCGCTAATTGTTGGTTCAATGCATCCGGAGCCCGTTGCTCTTTTCATGGTATGTCCTCCTTATTATACTACCTAGTAGTGCCACTTCACTATTGTTCTATTTTTATAGGGTGCTAATTAGATGACTTTAGAAGCACGCAACCCTCCAGCAAACTCCCAGATGCTCGGCGGTGATGGCATGGGCTTCCAGATGCCCTCTGTGGCAGCTTCTGCCATGGCACCCTTTACATTTGCGTCGCTTCCAGCCTCTAGCGACCCGCAGGTCCGGCATAACGTACAGCAGACCATTGCGCAGTTCCGCGGTTCGGACAAAAAGACCCGCCACATGCTCTTGATCGAAGCTAGTGCGCGCATAATGGCTTCTCATATTATCCAGTACGAGGAAGCCGTCGAGGAGGAACAGATGCAGTCCGGCCAGCAGGGAGCTGCTCAAGCGGTTATGACTGAGCAAGATGGTTCCTAGGTAGGACACCATCCTCATCATACACGTGAGAGCCAGTATCAAGATCGAGAAGTTGACTCCCAAGGCATAGCCATACGCTCTCGCCCTCGCCCTCGCCCTCGCTATCGTAGCATTCGCCCTGCTCCAACCCGTCAGCAGCACGCTGAAGTGCCCATGCAGCATATGCCCCGGTACCCTATCCGGGGTTCCAGCCAAATTGCATCTCCATCACAGAATCCCAGACAGGGAACTAGGCTTGGCGGACTTGGCTTTGAGAGCGCGGCCCTGTACCCTGTCCCAGGCGAGACTTCTCCATCGGAGCTACACTATCCCTCACCATCCGCCAACCAACCCTATCCCGACTCCGATCCCAACTTCCGGCAGTCTCCATAAATTCCTCCAGTACTTATTGGTATCTGATCGCTTTTGGGAGGGAGGGAAGGAAAAGTCGGTTGAATATACCAAGTCGAATCTTACGATAGGCCTTCGAAAGCAATGCTCCTGAATTTTCTCACGGTGCATAGGAGTTTAGGGTGGAATCGTTTGTTTTATTGGTGGCCTCTTTTTTTTTTCCCTTTTTTTTTCTTTCGCTTTGCTCTTGCATTTATATACGTTGGGACGATATCAGTTGCTGTCAATACATACATAGGTTCCAATATGGGTACACCAGGTGCTTGGAGTTGCCATACGCATGAGGCAAGGATGGGCCCAGTCTGGCACGACATGCTGACTAGGTGCCTATATGAACTTCCTACCTAGTAGATAGTTGTCGCTTGTCCCTGGGACATCTATCTTTGCTTTGCAGATAGGATGGGATCGTGTCTCTCAAGGACTTGCTGGCTTGCTTGCTTGCTTGCTCTTACTGCCCAGTAACTTAGTCGGTTGCCTTAACGATGAATAAGATATATATGAGAAAAGAAACATGCTGTGTTAAACTTGTGTAATGATGATGATGATGATGATGTGGTGGACTTCTTGCTGTGCCTATACTTCCATGCCTGAGTACCTACGTGATATACCTAACCTGAGTACTAGGTACGTAATAAGACACTATCTAGGTACCTACCTAGGTAGGTTAGATGACGATTGCAAGGCACCTGGATATCGCGGATCGATCTGGCATTGTCAAGTAAATTTACACCAAGACTAACCATATACATTATATCGTGCTACGAATAGAGAGGGGGGGGGGAAGGTCAATCAAGTGTTTGTCTTTAGGTAGGTAGCTATCCATATATTATTATCTCCTGGGAGCCTCTGTATGTAGCAAGACCACCTAGGCTAGGTAGGTTACTTGGGTTAGGTATGTAGGTTTCTATGAGTTTACTTTTTGTTTCCCCCTCCACGTCCAATCTACCTAACGATACCTAATGAAAGTCTCTGAAGCAAGCATCACGCGTAAAATCGGGGTATATTACAAACTTCTTCGTAGGCGCATGGATGGATGGGTCTCCTATCCTACTAGGTATCCTATCCCCTTCGTCCCCGTCTATCATTTTGCCGTCCTACGTACCTAGGCAGGCAGATACCTGGTCTAATCTAGTCGCTCTTACCTACATCGGTAGCCGGATCCTGGTGCTCCGCGAAGCCCTCGATGGCCTTACCGCGGTAGGTGGACGGGTGGCCGTGGCTCCTGGCGTACTTCCGGATCTTGCCGTAGACGTCGGGCAGCGCGAAGATCCAGATGAGCGGGATCAGGCAGGCCATGAGGGTGTCGAGGAGCCAGTTGTTGCGCGGGGAGCCGCCGAGGGAGCCCCAGCGGAAGACGTGGCCGAGCAGCGCCGTGGTGATGGCGTAGTCGCCGCTCTCAAGCCCGCGGAGCGCGCTGCTGGCCACGGCGTCGGGCGTCGAGACCGGGTCCCCTTCCTCGATGATGCGCGTGATCTCGGGCTTCGTCATGTTCTCGCGCGCGAAGCCGGGGCTGCCGATCGAGGCCGGGTAGATGATGTGAACCTTGACGTTCTGCGGGTACACCTCGAGCTCCTGGGCGAGGGTGTCGGCGAGGGCGCGCAGGGCGCCCTTGGCCGGGTTGTAGGGCCCGTAGCCGATGCAGGGGAAGAGGGCGAGCACGGAGGAGGTGAAGATGAGGTGCTTGGGCTCGGGGACGACGGGGGCGTCGGCGCCGCACCACAGGCGCAGGATCGCGTGCGCCATCTCAGCGCTGCCCCAGAAGTTGATGTCCATCTGCGTCCGCGTGAGCGACAGCGGCGCCTCGATCCAGAAGTCCGGTCTCGAAGTGCCCGCCACGCACCACACGACGTCGAGGGGCTTATCGTCGTTCCAGGCCACGGCGCTGGCTAACAGGGGCGCGGCGTAGTCGGGCTTCGAGACGTCGGTGGTGAGGTAGTGGAAGCGCTGGGTGTCGGGACGCAGGGCGGCGGCCTTGAGCTCGACGAGGGCGGCCTCGAGCTTCTCGACGCTGCGGGCGACCAGGATCACGTTGGCGCCTTTGGAGGCGACGAGGCGGGCGGCGGCGCGGCCCATGCCATCGGAGGCTCCGGTGATCAGGACAGTCTATACAAGGAGATGGGTTTCTTGATTAGAACATTTAGGAACATTTAGGATAAAAACGCAACACGGAGCTAGCTAGTGCTTACGTACCTTGCCGTCCAACGGTAGGTGGTTTTTGCTCCAAGAGGCCCCCATGATTATTAAATTTTGGTAGAGATGTGAGTGGCTTAGTGTGTAAAAGAGTGTCAAGACAAGAAAAGCCAAGAAGGTCAATTGGTCAACTACATGTACTACTTACTAGGACTGTACTATGTAGTTACAGTACGGTCAGTACCTACCTTAAATTCCCTTAATATTGCTGTTTATGACAAACTTAAAAGGGGAACCATCAATTGGTACATATCCATATTAAACTACATACATGTAGCACAACACATGCATTTAATTCGATGAACCTAGGCAGCTACGCCGTACATCAATTGATATAATTCTGCCTAGTAGTTAGATTGGTCGCGACTACGACTATCCTGGTTATTCAGGTACCGTACTGGAGTCTCGAGCAGCTGTCAGCCAAGCACCAACAGGTGGCACGTGCCTTGATAACGATCCTCCACACTGCATTGTCATGAGGGTCCAATATTCGTATCGATAAGAGATAATCAAGTTCAATCTTGAAAGTTTGGAACTTTTTTTTCTCTTATTTCTTATTTCTTATTTCTTAGAATTCCCTCTGGATAACCCCCACGCATATCTTCGCCATTCTTCCAACAAACCTCAGAACAAGCGCCATAACCAAAACTCAAATTTGCGATTACAGGTTCCAAACATCATGGCAAAGAAGAGAAAGGCTACCAGCGACCCTTCGCAACCAAAGGGTCCCCGCGAATATAATCCTGCCGATGCGAGACTCGGCCCCATCACTACCTACCAAGACATTGCCGATTCCGAAGATGAGCATTTTATGGAAAAGGACGAAATTATGTTCGACAATGGCCCCAAGTCCAAGAAGCAGAAGCGATTGGAAGAGGAAGACGCTTTCTTAGAACACTCGGACGAAGAAGCTCTTGCATACGATGACGAGGGATCTGAAGACGACGAGGACGAAGACGACTACAAGCGCAAACCTACCAAATCCTCTAAAAAGGCTCAGGACGATGGCGATTCTGAATCTGGCCAGGGTGAGGAAGGGGGGGAAGGAGATTCTGGCTGGTGGGGTTCCTCCAGGAAGGAATACTATAATGCCGACAACCCTGAAACCGAGGCCGACGCTTTAGAGGAGGAGCAGGAGGCTCGGCGCTTGCAGAAGAAGAAGTTGGCCAAGATGGCGGAAAGCGATTTCATATTCGACGAAGCCGAGTGGCTCGCGCCCGAGGGCCAGGATGCTGAACAGAACGACGTCGTTACCGAAGTCTTGAAGGACGCCGAGATCCCCGCAGATTTGGGCCCTGAAGAAAGATATCGCCTGCTGCGGACGAGATACCCAGAGTTTGACTATTTGGCAGACGAACTTCAGCAACTGCAACCTCTACTCGTGACTGTCCAGCAAGAAGCCGAAAGTCAGCCACCTAAATCGCTCCCGGTGGTCAGATACCGGATCCTTGGCTGCTATGTCGCTACACTCGCCATGTATTTCGCCACCTTGACATCGCCAGCTAGAGATGTCAGTAATGGAACCGCAAAGACTCTCGACCCCACAGAGTTACGAGACCACGAAGTCATGGGAACTTTGCTTGAGTGCCGAGATGCGTGGAAGAAGGTAGAGCATCTTAAGATGGCAGATCATACGAAGGTAGCCGGTGATCTACTGTCTCCGCCAGACGAAGAACTCTCCAGAATCGAGGAGGAGGTCGAGGTAGAATCAGAGCTTACTGCGAAATCATCCAAGGCCGCGGCGGCAAAGAAAGCGAAGGACAAGGCCAAGGCCAAGGCAAAGGCAAAGGCCGAGCGTCAAGCAAAGGCCATTGAGGAATCACTTGGAGACCTCGATGCGCTCGTCAGCAAGAAGAACCCGAAGAAGAGGACAGAGACGAAAGCTACAGCCCCAGAGAGCGATTCCGATTTCGGAGAAGAAGAGACGCTGGATGCCAGATCGGCAGCCGAAAAAGCAGCTCGCAAGAAGAGTCTCAGATTCTACACCTCGCAAATCGTGCAGAAGGCCAATCGCCGCGCAGACGCTGGCAGAGACGCGGGTGGTGATATGGATATTCCGTACCGCGAACGGCTGAAGGACCGGGAAGCCCGCCTCAACGCCCAGGCCGAGAAGCGCGGCAAGCACAGCTCCCAGGGCGCCGATCTAGGCGGCGCCAGCGACGACGAAGACAACCAAGTCGCCAACGCGGTGCGCGACGACGAGGACGAGTACTACGACATGGTCGCCGCCGCCTCGGGCCGGAAGAAGGAGGACAAAGCCGCGAGGGCAGCGGCCGTCGCCGCCGCCGGCAAGGCCGACAGGATCGTGGAGAAGGAGGAGGTCGGCGAGGACGGCAAGCGCAAGATCACGTACCAGATCCAGAAGAACAAGGGCCTCACCCCGCACCGCAAGAAGGACGTGCGCAACCCCCGCGTCAAGAAGAGAAAGGCGTACGCCGAGAAGCAGAAGAAGCTCAGGAGCATGAAGCCCGTGTACAAGGGCGGCGAGGGACGGGGTGGGTATGCGGGAGAGCTGACGGGTATCAAGCCCGGGTTGATCAAGAGTGTCAAGTTATAGGGGTATAAAAGTATGTACCTAAGGTTGGTTAGTACTAAGCTTCTACGGATAGAGTACCTTCTAATACTTTCATTGTATACCTATATCTCCCTTCTTTGGATTAATAATGTGCCTACCGTATGTGATGTGTCCCCCCCCCCCCCCCCCATACCAGCTCTATTCGGACATGAATAGCTACGAGTGTCCATGAATGATGACACACCGGACTGGGCAAGGCTAACTAACGATGGCAGTGATATAGGTAGATCTATATCAGCTTCACTTCCACATAAAAACATAAAAGCTTATAAACACCCCAGTCGTTATACGTCTACCTTCTACTTTCTACCTAGTCATAATTATTACAATTATTTTATATATCAAAGTACCTCCACAAAGCAATACTTGCTGGCCAGTCATCCATGGTGTCCTAGCCTCGAGAGACGAATGAAACATTATTCTAGAGTCCGCCACACCTCATAAATCCTCTTCTTTATAGCTTCATGGCCAAGAGACTTGGGATGGAAAGTCTTGCCGTAGTACGTCGGAACCCACCACATCGAATTCTCCCCGACGGCATCTTCACGAGCAAACTGCAGACTTGGGTCCTCGTGCTTCGACATGGCCATATAGCACAAGGCTAACTCACCCCAATCCCCAGATCTCTGCGCTGGTGCGAGACAGGAAGACGGGTCCACCAAAGCCGAGTCCGAAGATAAGGTCTCAAGTCGAGAAACCCGTTTGGGCTGCGTACTATTCCTCGCGTTGTCCGGTCCCCCGACGAGGAAAAACCAAGAATCCTGACGCTCATAGTCTGGCTCTACGACTCCCTCCTCGCAGAACCGGTGGCCGTCAAACTCATCATCATAATCAACAAATACCAGCTTGTCTTTGGTAAATTTTGAGTTTATAGAGTCGACCGTTTTGCGAATCTTGGCATTAACCGTGAGTATCAATGCGTTCATGCCAAGTCTTAACTCCTTTTTAAGCTTGGGGCCCTGCCACCAAATTCCAAAGCTCCTGCCGTCACAGTCATCGGTAACGTCGTTGAAAAAGCGCGCGTAACCCGTAACCGTGATAAAAAACCAGGGCTTCTTCTCCCAGCGTACCTTATCCAAGATCTCCATGATGAGGATATAGAGGCGCTGCTCGAACTCGCCACCCTCGAGCTGGGCGCGCGCGTTGGCCAAGGCCGAATCGCAGGTCCCCGAGTAGAAATTATAGAAGCGAAAAACGCAGGCATTCATTACATCAAAGAAACCTAGGTCATTACCACCGATAGATAGAAGCGCGAAGTCGGCCGGTACGGATATATCAAAGGTATCGATTTGGCTTTCGTCACCACCGGAGAGAATTTGCGTAGTCGTAGCCCCGGTGCATGATAAGAACTGGAAAGCTGTAGAGTCCCGCCCCCCTTGACTGGCTTTCAAGTCGGCCATGATCAACACTGCATGAGCGCCTAAGCCGTGGCGGCAATCATCTTCCTTGTTTTTGAAACCGGTACCGATTCCAGCGCTGTAGGAATCACCAAATGCTACGAAGCCGGTGAGTAATTCCGGGTTCGTAGGTTGGCCCAGGGGTATAGGAGACTGAGGCCGTCTGCGATGACCAGTATCGCTGTTTCCGATTACATGTTGAGACCCCAGTTGAGACCCCAGGGAAAGCTGACGACGCGAGCGAGGTGTCTGGCTGGCGGCTAGGGCTGAGAAAAGGACGTAAGCAAATATAGCAGCCAGACGCATGACGAGGCTGGGCTATAGGTATGCCACCCGTAATTAGAGATGCATATACATGTTTCGAACACAACAATAAATGTAAATCTTGGACATATGCCTGCCTAGGTAGATAGTTATCGAGTCACCGCATGTCAGTGTTCTGGATGCCTGCTAAAGTATTATTTTGATGATAACATTGAAGCTTAGGCCTACACTTAGTAAGTCAGAAATCATCGAATCTGAGCCAAAGCCTTTAACACATGCACGGGCGCCAAGAACCGAGTACTGCAAGAAGGGTCAGCGCTACGGGTATATAACTGTTAAGAAGTGTCTAGTCTTTCATGGCCAGCATCGTGCTATGTAGAGTTGAAGTCCTTATAAAAATATAGAGGTCATAGACACGCGCACTTGTGTGTCTACATAGGTACTTAGGTATGGACAGGTTCAACGTTCAAATGTTGTTTGAAGATTTAAATTTTTTATTAGAAAGCAATTAAGTAGGAGAGAAAATAAAAGAGGATAAACAGATCCGAAACGGCGAAGCTTCTCAGCAGGAACGGGCTTTCATTCAGATTTAAAAAATATGATGACGTTTGATAAGTCTCTTGACCCCACCAACGTCATCGTTTCTTTTTCTATAGCCCCACTCCACCGTTGACATGAGCTTATAAGTAATGGCAACCAATAGAAGTTTCCAATTCTCATTCCTGGACACTACTGTAAGGCAGTTGCTATGTCGTCAAGCCACATGTGCTTGCTCTCTTCCTCGCTTTTCCCTCGTATTTCCTGCTAAACAGGCTACTACAATGTATTTATGTACTATACTAGCTTTTCTTTGTACAATGTTCCTGCCGTCCTAGCCATCATCCTTGCCCTGCAAGGGAAGCCATCTACGCCATCATGAAAGACGTCAGAGGTATGCCTTGTTATACTTGTATGTGTAACAACCATGAAGTACAAACATATATGTAACATGGAACTCCATATAATAAACCTAATCTAGATACATATGTAAGACATTGATGCCACGCCTTTTTAAATAAACCTTTCCTTACATTTACATACATATCCTACCCATATCCTACCCATATCTTACCCACACTCTCAACTGCCAAGTAAACTATCTACTATCCTACCCAAGATCTATAACCTAAGAGCAACCTAAGAACTACCATATACTTATTTACACATTACTATTATTATAACAACTACACCATGGAGACCGTAAACAACATGGCTAATGCTGCCGTAGCCGCCGTATGGGGCGAGAGCAACCAAAACGGCCCAGAGCCTATTTCAGGCCAGAGAGGCGACACTTCTAAGGGAGAGCCTTACGATGCTGGTAACATTGGTAAATACCTACCCCTATATTGTTTTATACACCTACCCACCTACCTAAATACTGACATAGCATGCTTGTTAAACAGAAGATCCTGCAGCTCAAGTTGCCAAGGCAGAGACAAATGGGGAGACAAATGGGGAGACAAATGGGGCACACGAAGATACCAAAGCTGCTGAATTTTCCAAAGAAACTGGTGTTGCGGCTGAATCAAAGGAGACGCCTAACAACCCATCTACCAACTTGAAGGCTAAGAGCATACCACAAGATACCACAAAGTCCCAGAACGACACACGGGACCCCGAAAATCCGCAGACGAACCCTAAGTCTGCGCCCACCGACGTTAATGACGCCGATGACGGTCCAAATGAGGCCCAGAAGTTGGATGGGCCTGGGCCTAAGCCGCTCGACGAGGTGGCGCGTGAGCATGGCGGTGATGCCGGAAAGCTGTCTAGGGATAAGGGTAAAGGCATTGCCGGCGCGGAGCAGCCTTCAGAGAGCAAAGAGGATGAGGAAGAGGATGAAGACGGTCCCAATGCGAAGAGCAAGGGTGAGGGTACCGGCGAGCAGTATGTTAAGAGTAACGGACTAAACGCCGATGGGGGTGACTTTGATGCCACAAAACCAGGTGCCGGACGAGAAGCTGACCGTAAGTACTACCAGTGGTCCAACCATGCTTTGGCTGAGTTGGTCCAGTCACGAGTTAAACAAATCATCGCTGACACAAGCACAGGTCTGATGGGAGAGAAAGGCATGCATGTTAACGACAAGCAACCAGATGCCAACGAGGCTTCTGCTGACGGCAACGATGCTAAGCACGCCGACAAGAAGGATAAGAAGAGCATCGGTCAAAAGATCAAGGAGAAATTACACCGACACTAATCCGGATTATCTTGTCGGTTTACGTCTTATGATCTCATGATTTCTCGTGATTCCCGTCCGTTTCTTTTACGAATTTTGCGGAAAGAGCCCTGCGTACTGGGTGTCTCTGGCACGCACAACAGATACCTAAAGGTACTGTTGAGCTAGAACTTCTTTCGCTTCTGGAAAAAGTTTTTGTATTGTTAGCAATAATAAGTAACCTACGTAATGTCATATACCGTTGATTCAAGATACCATTTAACCCATACGGAAGAATTCGCTGATTATCCCTATATGTTAGGTATATGGGTGTGATCGGCCATGTCAGTTATATGTGCTATATTCATGACAACTACTTACCTAAGTACTCCCCCCCCTTAACTTAAGTGCGTGGTATTTCGTATACCCAGAGACTTGACGCTTTCATCTACTTAGTAATACATAATCCAAGCCGGCGTATTGGGACCAATCATGTGTGAGCTGAGCTCGAGTTATACAGCATCAATATATGGATGTAGGTGGGCAGGTATCGTAACCATACCTACATAGTAGGTAGACACTCATCTACCCTGCCTCCATATCCCACGAAGGAATCATCAGGCTCCAAGTGTGTGTGTGTGTGTGTGTGTGTGTGTGTGTGTGTGTGTGCGTTGACTAATAACATACAACCCACCTAACCTAGGTATATATCTAACAACCACTTGACTCGCTCGCAGGAATGAGATGGACATCCTTCTGATCAGGATTAATAATACATAGGTAACCTGTAGGTTAGGTAGGTAGGTACACGTAGCATATGGCCTACATGTATGTATCTATGTACATATACTACCTATACCTATACCTACCTAACCTAGGTATGTATGTAACTCGGATGCATGAGTACATATGTAGGTACCTATCGTCGTCTTACCTACATGTAGGCTCCCACCTATATATATATATATATGTACATAGGTATGTAGGGCTCGATACCTACCTAGGTACCCACCTAGGTAGCACACCCGACACAACCCTTGATGCTCGCGCGCTCAATACTACATGTGTAGGTACCTAACCTAGGGTATTCTAACTACCTGCATATCTATCTAGAATCTAGATAGAAATATTGAATTATACCTACCTAGTATGTAGCATTGTGCAATAGATACATACTTAGGCATTGTATATGTATATAATTAAATAATGTACCCTAAATAACTAACTACCTGCACCTGTAAAAACATTGGAAAAAAAAAAAAAAAGAAAAGAAAAGAAAAAGAAAAAGAAACTCCAGTTTCATGCATATGTATGTTGATTGCATGCACATCATACCTACAGTGTACTTATCGATCCTTTCGCGCTCCTCCCGACGCCCGAATCGTTGTTGTGACGCTACCTACCTAGCATGCCTACACTAATGATAATAGGATCTGAATCCTACCTACTACATCCCCTACCTAGGTATTATTAGGTACCAGGTATGCAGCACATCACGATCATATCGACGAGTCATATATGATTTGATATCTTATTTTCTGTTTTTATTTATTTGTTTATTTTCCTTGATATAAAAATCGTAAAAATGTCGCCCGGGTCTAAACCCATCTATATAGATAGCCTTGACAAAAGGACATACGCCTAGGATGGCAGTGTATGGTTCGGCATGGCACAAGCCGTTTCTGATGATAATAAAAAAACAACAACACAAAAAGTAAAAAAAAAAAAAAGGGGGTAGGGGCCCTTATGTTCCCGTAAAATCCACGGAGAACATACCTTAAAACAACATAAAAAAATAGACCAACTACGTAGTTGTCTGAACAGCGAACGATGTCTATGTGGTACTCATGTACAATAAAATGCCCTTGATCATGGGCCACTTTGAATAATCCCGTTGATTCCTCTGATATCCTTCTAGGGTCGGGATTTCCCTGGAACCTTTTTGTTCGTCTTGATTCATCGCTTACTTCGTTGTTGGTGCTGTTTCTTTTTGTCGTAGAAGCCATCTAGATTCCACCGAAGAACTTTGGCGTCCCCTGCTTGCTGACTACTCTGTTCGATGATACATCCATGGCTGACTGGCGTCCTGAAAAAAAATCGCACGTATAGTTCCAGAGAGGTATCCCATGATTACTCTTCGGTAAAGATGAAGCAAAATGACAGATAGGTATCTTACTCCACATTGCATCCATGACTCCCCAAACCCCGTGTGGAATTTCCCAATAGCCAAATCATATGCACGATCTTCGATGCTGGGGAAAATTCTTCAAAAACAAAAACTACTAGAAACGCTCAGAGAACCTCCATCGCCTGGTGAGCATCGTAACCATGGGTATATCGCCAAGCTGAAATGGGTTCTACCTTCCTAGTAATATGTTATAGCTCCACGTGAACATCGCAAGAGTAGTCTAGTTCGGCGTCGAGATGATGTGATTCGTTCACTTATGTCGTGAGCTAGTGAGTTCGTGTTAGCATTTTCTGCTTGATATCATATATGGCTGATTCGGGGAGGCCAAATGGCTAGCTGTGTATTGTAGTTCATCGCGGAAGTGAGAGCGGGCCAGCTCATAAGAATCCGGACTCGGCCAAAACTCTGTAGACACAGCAAATAAGCCTCCGTGTAATTCCTACTAAGATCCTCTTGTTATATTATGAACGTACCTGACAATCTTCTCGTCCTCACGCTCGCGCGGCTCCACCACCAAACTCTTATCGTACATCTCATGTACGTCCCCGGCAGCTTGCATGTTGCTGAGAATATAATCCTTCAGTTCTGGCACAGGCTGAAGGGAATATGGCACATTTTGGTACTGCTGGATGTCGCGAATCACATCGGCCGTTTTGGCACGCTTGGCGAAATTAATCATGTTAGTCTTCTTGATAATCGAAGGAATACCATCTTCGATGAAAGTGAGATCAGTGAGATAAACGCCTGTGGAATATATGATTAGTCGCCAGCGAATAAGATGCAAGATGATGGCGCATAAGCAGTAGGAGACATACCAAAGAAAGGGATACATGGAGGGTTCGCAGCATGCAGAGCCTCTCTGTATTCACCAAAGTTCTTCGTGCTTGCCATCAGACGTCGCATTGTCTCTAGAACTGCTATAGTTCGAGCTGGAACTTGATCCCAGGTTCGCTTCAGACGAGCAATGGGTGCTGTGCCGAGGGCGGAGATAATAGAGGTCAGGGTAGAGAAGTTGTTAAGACCCCGACATTTCTGGAAATCGTTAGAATGGGACGTCTATCATGTAGTACTACTAGATAAGTTGGTGGACACTTACATCTGCGACGGAAACGAAATGTTTAATGACAATCACTCGCTTCTTTACATCCATCTGGGCCAAGATCATCTCGGCAACCCAATTTGTCATTTGGTTAGAATGAAGAATCAACAACTTCACGTTCGGCGCTGGTTCGGGCTCTTTTTCGCCAACCTTCTTCTGCCACGTCTTGTTAAGGCATTCCGTCGGCTTGATCTGGCCGTAGAGTTTGGACTCGATTATCGTCAACTGGCGAGCGAATTCAGTCACGTCGATATCGAGGAACTTGAGTTTCTTCATGTTCTTCGGCATGATTGGCGGTGGGACATTGTTCGCAGGTGTTTGGATGAGGCGTTTGGATAGGGCATCCTTCCCGCTGAGCCGCTGGTCTAGGATAGTTATTAAATTGCTGGCAGTGGGCGTCTCTGTAGATTTAACAGCGTCCCTTGCGAACGCGTACACGTCGCGGATCAGCTGCCTCGTCTCATCGGTCCGCTCTTCCATCCAGTAGTTTTCGAACCAACTCTTGATGATATTTACCACTCGGAACCGAATCAACTTCTGCTTTCGATCTCTCCACATCTCATAATCCCCATTGCTCAACCCTTCTGGAGGTTGAATGTTATAACGCTTGACTAGAAGCTCGAATAACTCTCGGGCCGTGGTGAAGGATCGGTATGTTAAGAGGAACGTGTTGTTGAAGCTAAAGTCGGATTTATCGTGCCTTGTGAGTTGCTCGACTAAAGCTAATAATGAACCACCCTTGACGGCTGCTGGTGTGACCTTGAGATCCCAGGATAAGTCTTGTTCAAGGTCAAGTCGTAAGAACGGAGGCGTTTCCTCGACTTGTTGGATAGGAGTTTGGGGTACGGCGCTTTCTCCCAAAATTCGTGCAGCCTTTGACATATCACCGGCCTTTCTGTGTATGGGTGGACTGTCCCCTTCGGTATAGGATAAAGAGCCCATGAGGCCTGGCCTACCATCTAATGGACTACGAGAATCTACGCGGAGATGTAGTGAGCCGTAAGTAGGCATCGTATCCCTCCTGGGATAATCCCTCGATAGGCTGTCTTCTCGCATGCGGGTCTCGTGTGTATTAATTTGCACCTGTTCAGAAAGGAGCTGGAGCGAAAGCCCAATGTGAGACGAGTTCATTTCCAAGGCTCTCGCACATTGCCTGACATAGTCGAACCTGCCTTCTAACGACTCGCCACGGACCTCGCTCCATTCATCCCCTAAAGGACCAGCAACGGCTTGGCATCCTAGGACGAGGTCGGATATGTTGTCGTAGATGCTTTGTTTGTTGGTGCTGAAATCGGCGAGCTGGGGTGTCTGAAAAGTATCACCCAATGACGATAGGTCGATAGACTCGATCAGCGCAACCCAAGGCTTGAACATCTCCAACACCCTCCCACCAGCGATGCATACGTTGTTGCCAATGAGCTCATGCTTATACGGAGATACGACCTTCTCGGATACCCCCAAATTTTTCTCTAGCTCCCTAATGCTGGAAACCAGCATCCTCTTATACTCGTCGAGCCTTTCGAGAAGTCTTCCGTCCAACATAGCAGTTGGCTCGTTAGAACCATCGTCGTCCTCAAAGAAATTCGACGTAATGGGATCGCGAGGGCCAAGTCCATTGTTCTGCCAGCTGCCTCCCGTTGTACTGCCGATGACGAAGCCAGGGAAGAGGCGTGGGATCTCTTCGCCCCTTTGCTGCCTCGCGACCTCGACAAAGCTGAAAACACCACCAAGTACGCCGTCGGCTTCCTGCAAGCATTTCTGGACTGACTCGGCGTTCGGCCAGTCCGCCGCAGCTATATGCGACGAAATAACTAGCTTCGAGAACTTCGACATCATATCTCGGAAGTGAGGATAGAGCGCCTTATTAGTGGAAATAATGGAGGGCTGCCCAGAATGGTTGTCAGTAGTCCCCGATCCAGCCGCCAAGAGTAGTCGCAAGTGATCAGAAATATCCTCAGCGCGGGCAACATATTCCGACCGGTTGTTAGTCATAATGGCATCCTTGTAGCGATCGATAGCGTGCTTCATATTTGCTATGAGGAGGTTCCATGTTAGAGGTTGGGCAGTGCCGTCGTCAAAAAAGGAGCGAGGTATCGTGGCAGCTTGCGGGAGATTGAAGCTGGTACCGGTGAAAGATGTGGCAGATGCCAACGTCGGCACGTGGCCGGCAGCGGACAATGGGATATTAGTGTTTATGTAAGTCTCAGCTCGCGATCGTATACCCTGTGAGCCATTCATAGAGTCCATAGACGGTGACGGAGAGACCCCAACACTCTCGCTACCGAAAGCGCGACGCCGAGGAGGCTATGAAAATATTACGTGAGCAAGCTAGAATAGAAGAAAAAGCACTCATTCCGGCTTAAAAAAAGAAAAAAGAGGTTCACTTACTAGGGAGCTTATAGAGCTCTTCATGAGCAATTCACCTTCGAGCTCCGAAGCTGAGGTCGCTTCTGAATCATCGTCCTCGTCTTGCATCAAACCTCGGGCCATCATCTCCGGAGGAAGTCTTGTTTTCTCCGGCATGTTCACGTTCATGCGGTCCCTCGGCCCATTTTCGTTGAAGGAAGTGGGTGACTCGAGCGGGAGTTCCATGCTGCTTTCTCCAGTCATCGTATTATAGTAAAACAATCTCCCGTCAGGCGTGGCTTGTGGTATCCAGAAGTCGGCGCCAGATTTCCTAGTAGTTCTTGTGCCCTCAAGAGGCAACGCGTTGAAATCATCTTGATCCGACTCATTGTCGTCTTCGTATTCTTCCTCGTATACTACTCGATCCTCCAACTCATCATCTCCGTTCTCTCCGTCGCCATTTTGCATATGCTCGGGGATCTCTTCGGGGTTCGTGATGGCCTGGCAATAGTTACTTGGAAACCATCCGCGGACTCCATTGATCACACCATCCCACCACCCACTTTCCAGCTGAGTGATGACCTGGATGACGTCGCCCTCGTGGAAGCTCAGGCTGGTTCGGTCGTCGGCCTCATAGTCGTACAAGGCACGCACGTATAACGTGCCAGGGGGCGCGGTGCCTAGTATACCGTTCATGGTGTACGTGTGCGTATTCTTATCGCGGTCACCGCTGGAACGATCCAACGATGCCGGGTTTCTTAGTTCAATTGCAGAATCGGGATTATTTTCGATGGTGTTAGATCGGGATCTGCTGCGCGAATTGTACTTGTTATCTTTCTGATTTGTTACTATGGCTGAAACTGGAGACTGCGTCATGAGCATTGTGATGTCGGATGCGCTAGGCGATGACTAGACGGGATTCCGAGAAAAAGAATGTATATTAAATCATGTCCAAGTCGACGTGGGGAGAAATAAAGCGGGAGAATGAAACTAGGTGGAGGAGGTCGATTTGGCACAGGCTGTGCTCGGTCTAAGAGATTGTATCGCAGTAAGATGAAAAGTAATATATCGGATCGTTGATAAATACCGCCGCCGCAATTAATCGTGGCAGAAATCACTAATGGGGGATTTTTGAATAAGATAAAAAGGGGGGAGGGGGAAAGCGCGTGTTCTTGATAAAAAGGTCCAATTGAAAGGTCGAAAGAAGGAAAGAACTAAAAGAAGGATAGAAGGATAAGAGTATACGGTGTAGTTGGTGAGTAGTCCGAGTAGTTCGAGTAGTTCGAGTAGTGTAGGCAGTTTTTGAGTAGTGTTGAGTAGTTTGAGTACTTGAGATAAATAGATAGGTAGATTAACCTTTTTGGTCACACTCTCATGCTTCTTAACTTTTTTTTTCTCTTTTTTTTTCTCTTTTTCTTCTTTTTCCTCTTAATTCTTTTAATCTTTTTTCTTCTCTCAATCAAGCCTTCTTAACCCCGTTTGAAAGGTTGTCTCCAAGCGCCAAAGATCTTGTTGCTTGGTGTGGATTGAGGGTTGGAGATAATATGAATGGTGGACGACCCTTCCTGACTGGGCGGGTAAAAAAGAAAGGAAGGTAAGGAGTTTCAATTCGCTAACGAGAAAAAAGACTAACTAGTTCGGTTGTTCTGGTCTGGTTCTTCCTGGCCCGTTACCTATTGTATTGTACTTCTATTGTACTTCTATTGTACTACCACGCTGTTCTCTCCCTACATGTAGGTTAGGTACTTACATTATATTATGTATCTAATCAATTATGTATTGTATTATTGTATGTAAATCCCAAGATCGGAATTACAACCTATGGGAGTTCCGGAACTGTTGCACAATACCCGTACAATACATACATTTACATACTAGTACTAGTTATTGTTTGATGGGCGATAATTAAACATTATTTTTATGATGTCTGACAGCGTATATTGCGTGTACTCCGGTTGCACGTATTCTGGTAGGTACTACCAAGGGTTTGTAGTGGTGGTACTATGTAGACTGGTAGTTAGTGTGTTTTGTAGGTATTGTACCGTTATGTAATAGCCCTGGAACAACCTTGGAGGGTCAGCTAGTGCTTTAGCTTGCTCAACGGTTCTAGTCATCATCTAGTTAGTTAGTTAGCTGTAGCGGGTGATCTTAGGTCTCTAACCTAGTACTGTATTGTACCTACCTACATAGGTAGATGCCCAGGTGGTCTCCCAGTGCCCCAGTGCTAGGAATCCTAGGATAGCTGGGCCCGGTACCCCTCTTCCTCATACATATATCAATGATAGTCGTCAATATCTTCAAATCCCGATCAACTCTTCGGTGTTGACATGACTTCTTATGACTGCTATGAATATACACTGACTACCTACTACAGCCATATGAACCCAGAAGCGTCGAATACCTACCACCTACCTACACGTACATACAACTTCACACGGGTGCTTGCCACTTCCGGATCATGCAAGTCGAAGGCAGAGTTCAAACCTGCAGGAATATCAGGAACGTTGAAAAGTTGGAAGAATACATACTCCCGTTGTCGAGAATAATGCAACACTGAATAACGCCTAGGGTAAATAGGTAGGCCGGCAGGCAGGTCATACTTGTCAGCTTCGAACATTTCTCGGAAACTCGAAAGAGAATGAAACTTGGGCGTAAAATGATTTATCGGATACACAAACTATCGAATCTCGAATCTAAGCCGAGTCATGTCGTAGTCGAGTCGATTCCATTGATCATGCTGATTCACACATACGATACTAACACTACATGTAATTGTTGATTCGGTCCCGACTGAATACTTCCAAGGCCCCTTTTAGGATGCCCACCAACATGTTATTTATCATGCTGGTGTAAAAGGGGTGGTATGAAAAAATAAAACTTCTAGAGAAAGGTAAATAATACCATTATTCATCAATTGATACATGAGTAAGATAGATGATGCGTGCTACCTATTCCACGTTAATGTGCTTACCATCCAGCCAACTAGTACTTGTATACCAGTAGGTGGTGCTCTCGGTGCTCCTTTACATACATAAGATAACATGGAAGCTTACATAGGTACCTACTTACCTACATGCAGTACCTACATATGTATATGAAGACATAACTAAGCCATGAGCCTTTTTATATCACCATAGGTAGGTATGTATTGTATGTAGGTATTGTACAATACCAACAACTTGATCAACTCCTATCGGAGCGCATCTTGCTACAGAAGTACGCATGAAAGTGAACTGATGTTTGGTAGCAACATACATGGATTAGCAATCGCCAAGGAAAAAAGAGGTAAGCCCTATGATGGGTGAATTACTACTAATAGTAGTAGAGCTGGAGATTCAATTCGTTGCCCGGATAGGAGGGAACTTCAGGGAAGGCTTCACGCGTGCAATGCAGCCTGCAACAACCTCGTGCTCCTACGCTTGGCGAACCAGCGATGCTGTACATACTGCTAGTAGTACAGTGCGACGTTCCCAATAATGGTCCCGGCTACGAAATCCCAGTAGAATTGTACATACATACCAATAGACGTACAGTTCATGAGTACTGTATTGCATCTGATGCAACCTGCCAGTTAATGTTCCTCTCGCATGTTCAATACACGTGGAGACAATACATGTGCAGTTGTACATACTGTATCTACTGTAGTCTCTACATACATGTATTGTATTGCACGATGAAAGGATGTGCTTTTCGGAATATTTCGAACGCGCATAGAAGGGTTTTTGCCCACAGACCTCACCCCCGTCATCACAAGTCCCGGGCAATGTCGATACTAGCAACCTTCCACTTCAAGGACCTTGCCCTGTTGCGATGGTGGCCGAAATCAAAGATCGTTCGATCAATCCTTCTAGTACACTAACTATTTGTATGTAGATTACCCAGGTATGTTAATGGATGTATGTACCTGCCTATCAAATCAAACCCCGAGGCTCGAGCACCACCCCCCGTTTGCCTATTATGTTAGCCAACCCGACCTTCTGGAGACTAGCTAGGTAGGTTACAGGTAATGTATGTATATCTGTACACATGTATAGCCACCCCTGCAGTAACCTCCTTGGAACTTCGAGTCCGATCTAGGATTCTACGGCTGGTTTTGGTAGGGATAGAACAGAGGGAGGAGGGGTTTCTGTCACTGAATACAGTAATCTAACCTACATAGTAGCGATTGTTTGCCCAAATTATAAAGGACGATCTCGAGGGAGGAAAGAAGGTCGATATAACTAGTTAAAATCCTACTGATACGGTGTGAGAAGTGAGCAACGCCAAGTAGTAATAGGTATGTGGTAGCATTGTGCAATATTAGCAGCATTTACATCAATGATGAGTCCGTACTTTACAATATATCCCCGCGTATAGCGACGATTTGAATTTCATGTTCACTCCGCCTCTGGTCACCCTTGCTATGTAATACCTAATCGTCAGCCCTCACTACTACCATGAAGAACAAGATTTCCAAGATCTAGTATAACAACTGTATATAGATATTGCACCTAAGAGGTAAGGTAACCTCAAGAACAACGCAAGACAGGCAACTATAGTCACTCCTGAAAACAAGGACATATTGTAGAGTATCGACCCCCCACCCCCCACGTCTCAACTAACTCTACTAGATACTATCTACATGTAGATAAAACAGGAACAGCCAGGCCATGTGGTAGGAACCAACGGCACCCTGGAATCCTCCAGCTCTTCAATCCCACCATGTTTGTCACCATGCCTACCTGGTTGTCATCTGCTCGATCCTGCGACGCTGGCTGCACAACATCGAGGAAACGCAAAAACGTCTGCTCTCTCTTGCCCGCCAGTTTCCATCCCACGTGAGGAGGTTGTCTTAGAAATCCTGCAATTCAACGAGGGCCGACACGCCCCTCCATGCAGTCCAACCGCACACTGCGTCAGTCCAATGTCGTACTCGTACCAGCCTACCTTCATGTAAGCACTGGCAGACATAGACGTAGACATTGACTATGTAACCTGTGCTGGAACTGTGTGACACAAGGAAGTTTTGGAACGGGCTATGGCTCGCGGGTTGCGACAGCGGGAGCAGCGGGACTACCCATCCAACGACCGTCGTCGGCATCATGGAGTCCCAGGTTTGATATCAAGAACGAGCCGCCCCTTTTTCATGAATGGGAATGCACTACTACATACATACCATAGTAGTAGGTCCAAGTTCTGACCCAACTTTTCTTGTTAGCAAGATTTCAATTTCATATATACGACTTGGGCCTCAAATATATAATGAATGTGGCCCAAGTGATTCGATTGATTGATTGCTTTGCTATTGGGATCTCCTCCAATAAGCAAGTCTCAACCGCGACTGTTTGTCCGCTTGGCTCAGACGCAACTCCTTCATTCGTCTTCCCTCTCATCTCGGCGGCCTCTGGCAATGTTTTGCGGTGAGAAGAAATAAGAGAGGAAATCGATTCCAAGAGGTAATTGATCGTCTTTCTCGTGTGTATTTGCCGATGTCTAACAATGCGCACCTCAGGCCAGCCAGTTGGATGGTTTCTTCCGCGTCGAGTACGAGTATAATACCTAATATTACCGGCCAAGCCGTTTCTCATCCATAGTTCGATTGCACAAACAGCGCCAGAAATGTAATCGCGTGTTACAAGTTGTACACAATATGTGTGTGAAATAAAGAGCATACATAATTTAGGTGTTTGACCACTCCAATTGGCTCTGCCCTCTCA